GGTGGGGGGGGGGGGGGGGGGGGGGAGGGGAAGAGCAAGGCAAGGGGTCCCGTCAGGGTCCTGGTTTTGGGGTTTTCTTTTTGGTCGCCGAGATGTGCTTCGATTTTCGGTCTGTCTGTCTATGTTCTTGTTTTTTTGTTGTCTATTGAGTATTTGTGACCCTGACCCTTCCAAAAAAAAGAATCCTTTCCCTAGTATTATTATGATTATGTTCAGGAAAGAATAAGAAAAAAAAAATATAGAAAAAGAGATATGAATGAAAAAAAAAGTGAGACAGAGTAGGTTGGATATTAGTTAGTTAGTTAGTCATTTCCTTTTCAGCCTTCAGAAGAGGAAGAAAAAAAAAAAAAAAAAAAAAAAAAAAAAAAAAAAAAAAAAAAAAAAAAAAAAAAAAAAAAAAAAAAAAAAAAAAAAAAAAAAAAAAAAAAAAAAAAAAAAGGGACAAAGAATAGGTTGGAAATAATTTAATAAGTTAGTAATTTCCTTTTCAACCTTCAAAAAAAAAAAAAAAAAAAAAAAAAAAAAAAAAAAAAAAAAAAAAAAAAACAGCAACACAGGCTGTGCTCGACAAGGATCCTTGGGACAATCCTTCCCAATGCCCAATATTTCAAACCAGCCAGCAAGCAGCACACGTACGTTGTTGCCGTCGAGAAGGAAAAAAGAGAAGCAGGGAAAATCTTCCGTACCCAGATATATACGGAACATTGGTCCTAGCAGAGAAAAGAAAAAGAAGGAAGAAGAAAGAGTACGCCAAAGACCCTCATCAGTTTCCATGCGGCATCAGAGAAACCATATCTGACAAGCCAGAATGAAAATAAAAAAATGAAAAAAAAAAACGAAAAGCTGTGCGTGAAATGAGCATGATTAGTCCAGTTGTGGTTTTATTCCCCCCCAAATGCCCTGATGAGTTAGTTAGTTAGTTATCCCTTGTGTGTGTGTGTGTCCCATGAATAATCCCCTTGAAAATGGCTTGCTTTTGGTGTTTTTTTCGGATTTTTCTCCCAAAAAAAAAAAAGAAAATAAAAAAAAAAAAAGAAAAATAAATAAATAGAAAAAGAAAGAAAGAAAAAACCAAAATATTGAGTGGGCGAAAATAGAAAGAGAAAGATAAAAAAAAAATCCTAAAAATTGTTAGAAATATCAAAATCCTGCATGGGTTTCAAGTCCCTGTTCGAACCGAACCCACAATGTCAGCCTACTCCGCAAGACCAAATCGAAAGAGAGAGAGAGAGGAGGTGGTGGCAGGCAATCCCGATCCAGGGGAAGAGGGTTTGCCGGGGGGGGGAGGAGCATTGACTTACGCAGGGGGAGGGAGAGAGAATAACAAGGAAGTCGAACAACCAAAAAAAAAAAGAAAGAGAGAAAAAAAAAAAGAACAAATTACATATGCATGAATAATATCCGTCGGCACGCCTTTTTCCTTTTTGTCAGGGGCCCTGCTCATATTACTATTACTATTATCATTATTATTAATAATGCGGCCCCGGCAGCGTGTGCGACTCGTCGTAGGAATCGTACTCGAGATGATGCGAAGGTAAGCCCAAGGACCCATGGCCGCCGCCGCTACTGCTACTGCTGCTGATGTTGGGGGCGGCCGTGGTGGTGGTGGTCGTGGTGCTGGAACTAGTGCCGGCATGCATTGTGGCGGACATGGATCTCGGAAGCGACGCGGCCCAAGCCGGCGCGGTGGCGGCAGCGGCAGCAGGCATGGTGGTGTAGTGGCCGTGGTACTGTTGTTGGGCGGTCGTGGTAGCTGTGGTGGTGGTGGGGCTGGTGTGATGGTTGTTGGGGTCGACGGCGGCGGCCGCGGCGGCCCAGGAGCTCATGCTGGGAGGCTGGGGTAGCTCGGCGCGTGAGTACGGCACGCCGGGGCGGCTGATGATGGATTCGCGGCGCGAGTCGGGTGGCGAGAGCAGCGAGGCGGGCGCGGCAACGGCGGCGTGCTGGTGCTGGTGCTGGTGGTGGGCCAGCAGCTCGAGCTTGGGCGACGTGCGGCACGAGTTGGGCGGCGTCAGACGCGACCCGCCGCGGCGCACTTGGCAGGTCGGGCAGATCTTGACGAAGCGCGAGATCAGCTCCTTGGGCACCCTGGGCGGGCTTAGCATATCATAATCATATTGGGAAGAAAAAAACCTACCACGAGTAGATGCGGCGCACCTGCGCGGAGGTCTTGTCGCGGCCGCCGTGCTGGCACTGCTGGTGGGCGCGCGTCAGGATCTTGAACAGCTTCTCGCGGATGGCCACGGGCTTTCCTTCGTGGCAGATCATGCGCTTCGTCTGGGGGATAGTAGTTAGTGAAAGGAAAAATAAAACAAAATAAAAAAAGAAAGAAAGAGTATAAAATAAAATAAAATAAAATAAAAAAAAGGAGAGAATACCTCGATCGTGCGCCCGTCGTTGGGATCGAGCTTGAACATCTTCTTGACCCAGAACCTGCAATTGGATATCAGCGGGGAAACGATTGGTCCTCGGAGGACACAGGGACACACCTGAACTGGGCGGACTCGATGGCGGTGTCCTTGGGGTCGAGCAGCACGGTCCGGATGTTGCGGGCGCGGCGCGAGTGGATCAGGGCCTTGTCCTGCTTCTTGACGGAGAGGTCGTCGACGTAGCTAGGGCGGTCAGATGATGAATAATGGAATACAATAGAATAGATAATATAAATAATACACACCTCTTCATCAGCTGGTCGAACTCGCGCACGTCGGGGAAGCCGTCGAGCGGCGGCATGACGGGCTCGGACAGCATGGAGTGCTCGTTGAACGACTCCTGGCTCTCGATGTCGACGGCGCGCAGCGAGTCGTGGAAGTGGAAGCGCGCGGGGCGGGCGGCGGCGGCGGCGGCGGCGGCAGCGGTGGGCGTGGGGGCGTAGGCGGCGGCGGTGGGGTACGGGTAGGCGGCGGCGGCGAGGGCGGCGGCGGGCGTGGGCGAGGGCGGGTACAGGGCGGGCTCGACGGAGGGCTGGTGGTGCTGGTGCTGGTGCTGGGTGTAGGGCGAGAGCAGCGGGTGGGCGTAGGGCTGGTGGTGGTGGTAGGCGTGCGGCGGGGGCGCCAGGCCGTAGGGGGCGGAGCGCGGGGTGTAGGCGTACGGCGGGGCGTCGTCGGGGTAGTGGTGGGCCATGGTGGAGAGGGAGAGAGAGAGAGTGAGAGAGTAGGGAGAGAGAGAGAGAGAGAGAGGGAGAGAGAGAGAGAGAGAGAGCAGCGCGTGGAATTGGGCCTATATACACCGAGTCAGCCTGGGGCTGGGCTGCGAGACAGCGAGCGCAGGGGAGCAGGCCATGGGCGGGCTCGATCGATCGGCCGGCCAGTCAGTGCGTGCAGCACGGCGGCCGGGGGAGGCTACATACTAGTAGTAGGTACAGACAGACTGACAGACAGACTGACAGAATGACAGACAACCGACGACGGGTCTAGAACGGCAGCACGGGCCGAAGCGACAGCGGCAAGGCAGACGCGGAGAGCAGCGCAGCGATGAAGAAGCTCGGGCGAGGAGGCACGGCATGGTTATTATTATTGAGATTGTGATGATTATGGGAGTGTTGTCGACACGAGCCGGAGCCTGCCACGCGGGGGTTCTGCAGGCGGGTAACTATCAAGATGGGGGGGGGGCGAGAACCAGAGAGCCACAGAGCGAGCCATGGACCAGCAGCGCAGCGCAGGGGGGTGGGTGGTGGCCCGCAGGCTCCGGGGCGTACGACGGGCCAGCAGGCAGGCGGGTATGCAGGCAGGGCTGAGCGAGCCGGCGGCGGGCGAGGGCGCGTAGCGACATAGTGAGGGAGCTAGTTGACTCGTTAGCTGGCTGGCTAGCTGGCTACGCGAGGCCACGACGATCGCGAGAGGAGAGAGACAGCAGACAGACAGCAGACAACAGACAACAGGCCGGCAATTGCCAGTCGCCGGCCGATACGAGGATGGATCGTGCAACGTCGGCGGGCTGGAGCACGATGGCCGGCGTGCTGCGTGCGGAAGTCCTAGCTAGGCTGGCTGGCACGGGGCGCCGGAAGCGGCCTGCCTGCAGTAGCGCGGAGTACGGAGTGCGGAGTCCGCCGTACTACGGTCAGCCCTGCCGGCCAATAAACGCCCGCCGCCCGCCGCGTCGTCGCCGCTCCGAACACGAGCCCCGTGCCACCCACTGTGCTGCACGGCGCTGCGCTGCGCCCACCGTCCGAGTCAGTAATAATAATAATAATAATAAGAATAATATTCTTGTTCAAGCGCCGTTTGCATTCCGTCTGCGTTGGCCGGACCACCGCGTAGATCTCCCGCTCAGTCAAGATACCAAGATCGCGCTCTAACGGCCGAGCCGCTCGCGCGCATGGACGTCCTCATGAACCGATGAATCAATCGCCTCCATATTATTATTATGCTCCCGTCCCCTGCCGCCCACCGCCCGCTAGCCCCGGGCCCAGCCCCGGGCTGATCAATCACGCCGTTATCGAGAAACTCTGGTCCGGAGTACGGACGACTCCCCATCGCACAACCATACGCCGTGCATCTTTGCAGCAATGAGAAAAACAAACACTCCTCCCCCCTGCAAGCCCGTTGTGATGCGCCCGACATCGCTGCCCTTTCTCTTCTCTTCTCTTCCCGTTGCTTTTCTTCTTCGTCTGCCCGCCACTGATCTCGCGACATGTCAAGCACCCTCCCGCCCCCAAACCCACTAACGCACCGCCAAAAACAAATCCCTGAAGAACGACCGCCCATCACTTTCTGTCCCCCTTGACCCTCTTTTTTCTTCTTCCCAATCGATACGCGTTCCCCACGGATGTGCCGTAGTCAACGAACTAACTAGCTAACCATCTCGCCAAGTCACCGGCCCACCGCCGCCGCGATCGTCGCCCCTGTCACTAGTTAGTTCACTTACTCTCCGTATAAACTCACGACGGAGAATTCGATCTTCGCTCGACCCAGACAGTAACCACGCCTCGTGGCGATCAATTTCCACCATGTACCTGTACATGTCCTCCGTACATAAACCACTCCTCCGTCGACATGCATCCTGCATGCATGCATGTATGCGCTGTTGGAAGACCCATCCAGCTTCTCTCCCTCTCTCCCTTGGTCCGCGTCCCCCCCCCCCCCCCCCCCCCCCCCCCCCCCCCCCCCCCCCCCCCCCCCCCCCCCCCACCAAGAAAAACATCTGCACTCCATTCTATCCATCCACCCATTCACACTCCATCCTCATATCCTACGAAAACAAATTCCTCCCTCCGGCCCTCCCCCTCGTATCGCGCGCGTCCTGTGCTGCTGCTGCTGTTTTTGCGAGCTGTCTCACTCCTGTGTCGTGCCAGAGCAACCTCTTTGACCTAGCTGGAAAAAAAAAAAACAGCTTTGCTTATGTGGCCACGCCGGGACAGCTGGCGCCACGCTAATGGTTGCGCAATCTATCCAGGGGGGCCGTTTTTTTTTTTTTTTTTTTCTTCTTGCGTTGTGTTGTCTGTGGGATTACACAAGACAGAGCTCCCTGGGTTACGGAGGGCAATAGACTAAAAAATATGGAAAAGGAACCACGGCGAGCATGATATATACTAAACAACTCCATTTCGAAACAAAACTGCTGTCTACTAAACCCATCTTCAAACAATGGACAGAAAGCACTCAAGATATCCAAAAAGCCAAGCTGATAACACAAAAAATCCAAAGCACAAAATACACAAGAGCCCTTTGAACTCCACAATGTGCGCGCAGCAACGGAGGTCAGTGCAAATAGTACAGCTAGAATACACAAGGGGGAATGCTAAATAGCAAAAAGGGGGGAAGGACGCGATGTCTCTCGATCGTCAAGTCGTGAAAAAAAATGCAAGGCCAGGCCCTGATAGTGTTGTGCGTCGTATGTTCCTCGCACTTCGTTCTGGTCTGGGGCCCAAGTCGAAAAAAAAAACATAGTCATCGTAATTCTGTTCATGTATCAGAGACGGAGGAGGCCCATCCGATCTCAAAATACCCGTTCGTAGACGCACCGCCGGGATCTGCGTATATCCCTATTAATTAAGGTATTATCGAGCATTAATATAAAATCGTCAGGGGCCGGAGGGGGATAAAAGAAAAAGAAAGAGTCCACTGGAACGCCAGTATACCGCCCGCCAAAGCCCCAAGTCTTTAGCCCCTTTTCTGAAAACGATGCCCCCATTCTCAACAGACGTCCGACATTGGAGTGTCCAAACAGACCTCCGTCTTGACCAAGTCCCGGATCGCCCATCTCCACTCATCTCCAAGTTTCTTGCGGTCTTCGCTAACCCACTTGTTCACCTTCCTCCTCCACTTCTCCTCCTCGGCCCGCTGTCTCCTGATAAACTCCGGCCCCACGTCGAATTCCTCAGTGATGGGCCATTCATCCGAGGAATCACCGCTCTTGTCGTCTCCGGGATCCGCCCCCGCGGACACCGTGCGGGACGCCGCGCTTGACTTCGGCGGTCGATCGTCGAGGTCCTCCAGGCCCGCAAACACGTCGTCTTCGTCATGCGCCACAGTGGGGGTGCCGGGCTTGCCGGAGGCGGGGGAAGTCAACTTCAGCCAGCACATTCGCTGCGGATCGAAGACCATGGACCCGACGACTTGAGCGCCGCTCACGCCGCCGATGTTGCTGATGAGGGCGAGGGAGGTCTTGGACGGCGTCATTGGAGGGGGCATATCAAACGCCGCAGTGGCGTTTTCGTTGCCCTCCCATCTGTACAACGCCGGGTTATATTTCATTCCTTTGACAGCTAACGGGCGCACGTGTCAGCACGGAAAAGTAACAGTAGTCCAGGGAACTTACACTTGGCTTCATGTACACCACTTCCTAAAGGTTTAATTAAGTGCGGTTTACTGATAGAATCCCGGTGTCTATGCCCATGTCTACCTTTAGTCAGAGTAGGGCTGGGAAGCGGCCTGCCAAACGGTTGTGACTTCCAGTTTACGTTGATGGGCGCCAGCGGCCCGTTCTCGCGCTCTTTCTGGTTATTCGCAATGCTAGCAATCGTCTGCTCACGGGCTTTTCTCGACGCGTTCGTGTCACGAGCAAACCGGGGCGTGTAGTCTGGCCGCGGCGGGCTCATGGGCGTGCTTACTGGCGTCGACGGACTGGTGACGTCGGGCTTGGAAGGAATTGTAAACCCGGACTGGCTAAGTCGGTTACGAAGCGCCCGAGGCGGGCCCTTTTTGATGGGCGCTTTCACAAATTTACTTTCAGTCGTCGCCGACGTGGGAAGGTCATCGAAAACATCAAGTTCCGTGCCATCCCCAAAGTGTCTCTTGCGGTTCGGCTTGGTGACGGTATGCTTCGCCGCAGCAATGAATGACCCAGGAGGGAGGTCATTGCTTCCACGGCGAGTGGTATCAGACAAGGCTGACGAGTTTGAGACCCTCGACGTTGATCGCTGGTGCACAAATATATCTCCAGAGCTGTCTGAATCCGCACGGCGAAACTGCCGGCTTGTTTTTAGGCTAACATGGTGCGACTGGGTAGGGGAAGCCCCGGCTGGAATAAAAGGAATATGAGAGCGTCGTTGCGGGCCAGGCCGAATGTCACTAATTGGCCGATCAACGGGCGTTTTTGGGCGCGGAGACAGCGTGGCTCGAGTGGAGAGAGTGTTATCCGGCCGCCCAGGGGATCGTTGAAGGCTTGGAGATATAGTGGTATTGAAATTCCGTAGAGCTGGAACGGAGCGCTTCGCTTTGAGTAACTGAGCAGTTGTGGTCGTAGGGTCGTTTCGAAGCGTCTCCTTTGAGCCCCGACTGCTTGTTGGCCGGCGCGTTGAGGGGTTTGAGGATACGGAACTAGTACTGGAGACAGAGACATTCGACAAAGAGGAATGGGCGGCATGGCCGCTAAGTCGTGAAGTAGGACGCGTATACCGAGACACTGGCGCCCCACTTTCGGACACAGGTTCTAGAACGGTTGAATGTTGCCTCTCATGGCTTGAGAGCCGCGGAATTCGAGTGTTGCTGGTTCTGCTTGTAAAGGTGATAGTGGTTGCTCCGCGACGAACTGGGCTGGCTGGTCGCTCAACCTTTCGTTTGATATTTCTGTTCAGTGTTAATTTTTCGGTGTCGAATACCTCCCCGTCACCAATCTCAATACCAGAGAAAAAATCATCTCCGGCACGATTCAACTCTTTTGGGGTATCTGTCGCAGGGAGGAATTCGGGCACATCGGGCGGCGGAAGCTCCTGTCTTTTCTGGAGGGATTTTTCAAAGTCCAAGGGGCCGTCGGGAAGGACAAGACCATCGAGACCATCTTCACTCTCCGCTGTCAAACAGCTAGAAACACTGGGGCTTAATGCAGACGCGGTGGAACTACGGGCTGAAAATGTCTCTCTCTTTGTTCCGCCGAAACGAACTCCAATGCTTCCCTCGGCCCATTCGGCGTCAAACTCGTCACCAAAAGTGTCAGACGCTTTAGAGTCATCTCGACGATTAGACAAACGAAGAGGTTCGTCATCCGAAGGGAGTACAAGATCGTTTTCAAAACTGTCATCTAGAGCAGTGCGTTCCTTTGGCGGGGGTGTAGTGAATGGATTTGATGGCAGCAGGCGTGGTTTGGACATTTTGATGGTTGGAACATCATCGAAAGAGGCATCTTCCTCGGTATCTCGAAACTTATCTAGGTCACCAAATAAAGCCCTTGGAGCCGGAGAGCGGTTGTTAATAATTTCCGTGAAAAGATCCAAATCTCGGGACTTTGATGGGCTTGTCGGTAAGGAGCTCAGGTGGAGCAGAGATTCGGGGGAGGTGGCTTCGTGCTTGAATCTCAGCTCCAGCCCTCCAGTCAGTCCGGCGAGGTCTAAGTCGTCCGACCAGTCGTCACCCGGAACCCGTTTTCCCTTGCGGCCCCCAAGTCTCTTGATTGTTCCTCCAAGGAGCGCCGATTTGGGTATTCCATCAGGAATGGGGATACCCGCGTTTTTCGCAGAAGAAATCGCGTCTTCAGTCCCAAACTCATCGTTTTCATTGAGCAGCAATTGCCAGCTCTCTTCATCGCCGTAGTTAGAGTCTCGATCAGATCTGCAAGACCTGCGAGACGAAATAGAATCGCGGTGGCCGGAAGGTCGAACAGATGATCCCGTCACGGATGCCGCAGAAGAAGTTGTTCGAAAGTAGATATCTTCCCCACAATGGAGATCTTCATCGTCGTCCCAGCATTCGATCTCCTCAGCTTCGAGTTTTTGCAATCGCGAAGAGGTGATCTCCATCGTATGAAGTGCGAACCGACGCGGAGAAACTGCGCCTCCAGCGGGTATTCCCAACCACAAATTATAAGATCAACGTATGTTATTTGCGTCGGGGTCGAAGCGGGCAGAGAGAGGCTGGGAAGTCATTCCTTGGAGTCGCGCGCCGGTGCTTCTATTCGGGATAACGGAATCGACCTAAACGGAGGAAATAAAGAATCACCCTCGCGTAAGCAGTCCTTTTGATGTCGCAAAATCAGGATATTGAAAGAATGACGATGCCGGCTAGATTTCACTTGATACAAAGGCTGGGAGGAAAATGTTTCACATCCACACAAAGCTGCGTAATTTAACCAGATGGGTCTTTGCAAGGGTCGTTGGCTGGGCCGTCGTAATAAGCTCGCGAACGTCTGGGGATTAGGGCGGGGGTGCTCTAATGAAAGAATGGAAACGCAACAGCAGAACAACGGAATAATGCTTTGGGCGACAGCAGAGCACCTCCTGGCGTCGCTGTCTGGCGATGGTGAAGAGTGCAGGTTGTGGCCAGTTAGGATGTGTGGATCAGCTTCGGGCGCCTCCTGTGGTGGGCGGGCCGGTACTTACCGTTCATAGGTGGTTGGGATGCAGGTCGTACAGTAACTTTACAGGGTTACGATACCACGCATACGCGCTTGGGCGCCTAAGCCCAAATAGGACACTAAGCGATCGGCTGGTACACGTGACTCAGGGAGTCGCTTACGTGATGCTCAACCACCCAGTCTTGACTGCAAAGCTGCAATCTTCTGCGTTCTATCATCCTGAGCAGTGATTTCATTGTAGGGAATTCTAATTGAATGACAATGGAAGCCCCGACATATTGGCCTGCATACCTGTGGATTGATAAGGCGACTATGGTTCTCCGTTCTATTTCGATAACTTGGCAGGTTTCCACCCGCCGCTTTGATAAAGTTGGCTGATTTAACGGATAGGCAACGGGCAGGTTGAAAAACGGTTGCCTTTGCCATGGGACTGAACTGACTCGCCCCGCAGACCAAACAAATATAATCAATTAAAATTCAACTTCGTCATCACTTTTTGGATATAACCTGCTCAGGTCGAATCTGGCCAAAATGTCGACCTCAAAGAGCCTCCATGACGTAACCGGCTCGTTCCTTGTAGCTACGGAGTAGATTCATCGTCCTGCAAGATCTCAAGAGCACCTCAGATATTGGACTTCAGAATATATATACTTGCATAGGTCTTCTACCAATTACACTTATTCATGCCCCTAAAAACATAATGTCTCAAACTGTTCACACTTACTTGCAACAGCGGCAGAACGAGCCAGAGCAGGACTGTGGGGATGAAGAATCCGACTTTGCCTTGACACAGCTACCAGACGACATTCCCGTCTACCGATATCAAAGCTTGCCCCAATTGGCAGCGATAGCCTATACTGTTGATAATGAAAGTGGATACTGCGTCTTTCTGGGTGTCCCTCAGAGTGATATTAGTGAAAAGCGTGAAGCAATCACCTTCAAAAGTATCACGTTTTATCCCAGATACAACGTACTCATAGGAAAGATGCCAAGGCGATATCACGAAGCTGCCATCAATTGGCTACATGGCGACCTAGTCGTGAAGGTGGAACAAATGGGAATGCGATTCATATTGCAGCTAAAGAGCGTGGGTGCAAGCTTGATCGCGAACAGGGAGCCTGATTATTGCATTAGGCCCAAAAGCCTTCCTCATGGAAGGCCTATGACATGGCCAAGCTTGGTCGTCACAACAGAGAGTCAGGAGATCTTGCGGGATGACCCATATTGGTGGACTCAGCAGTCTAACCACGACGTGAAGGTGGTGATCACCATTACAGTATCAAGGACCAAGATTACCATCAAGAGGTGGGATGAGCAGGCGCTACTCAAAGAGGACATTGCGGTGGAAAGGTACCGGCAACAGCCTGTCATGGTGATGGGCCATCCTCTGCGGATACCTTTCCAGGATCTGTTTCTGCGAGACCCTATAGGATATCAGGGCGACTTGTTATTCGGCGAGTATGATCTGAAGGAGTGGGCTGAGAGCATTTGGCAGGAGTTCTAGATTATGTAGAGTACCGATTTTTAACGGGGGTACGGAGTATATGGCTACGAAGTACTAGCCCGGTAGTTAATTTCTTAAACATGTTAAAGATTCTTGAGTATGACGTCGTTTGTGACACGTGATACAGGACATCGGGCCAAAGACCTCGCGCGGCAACCAGGCAGCAGCGGCAGCAGCAGCAGCAGCAGCGGCGGCAGCTATGGAATAGATATGGGCTGGGAAGGTCGCCTGAGCCGTAGTCTGAAGCCTGGAGGCTCTTCTCACTATCTCTAAATAAGAAACTTCTTTCTGGTCTCTTACTACCGCAAGAATTATTACAGTGTATACCCGATATGGAAACAGATCGGGTCCTTCGCATCCCACGAGCTGACAGCCCCGATGAGGCCATATTGATTAAAGTCTCAAAGTCGGGGAGTCTTGAGCTTGATCTGAGCTTTGTAGCCACTGAAGGCGATAATCCATACGTAGGGTCTTGTAAGCGATACCAAATGTCCTCTACGTCAATCAGCTAACGAGGAGGCAATTTAGTGAAAACAACTCACATCAATAAGTTACGTGCAAAGGCTTATCGTGGCAGCGATGACGAGTGGCATGGGATTCTCTCATACGTATTCAACCAAGATGAGAATGCTATTAAATCAAAGGACTGGACCACAGGGTTGGAGGCCGTGGCATCAGTCAAATCAGTTGACGATGATGATTCGGATGATGAAGGGGCTCATGAAATTCTTATTACCATTCGAAAACGAATTGATTCAATTACGGTATTTCCTGTCCTGCATTGACACCCTACCGCATCTCAATGGACCACGTCATCAGTCTCGCTGACAACTGTTATTTTATTAGCAACGGCTTGGTTCAATCACTCTACAGCAGGACGACGACCAAGCCATCCAGTTGTTTGATTGGGCTGGGATTGCAGTCATTCGAGGAAATGCACTCACCCAGGAAATATCCTCTTTACGTACGAAGTATCAGGACGCAGAACGGACAATCAATCAACTCAGTACCCAATTGGAGGAGTTAATTCAGGCGAAAAAGGATCACGACGAGCAACTAATCGCCAAGTTTGCTCTACTGTTGAATGAGAAGAAGCTCAAAATTCGCAACCAGCAGCGGCTCCTAGCCACAGCAAAATTAGATCCTGTAAAAGGTGAGTGGCATTAAGCTCGATTATTTGATTTCTCCACCGTTCATTTCTATCTAACTGACAATGACCTCATAGTCGCTGAGCTAGAAAAAGCAGTTGCTGCTAAGAAGTCAAGAAACCCCACTGCCAGCAGAAAGTCAAAGCGAAAAGAAGTCCCAAGCGACTCAGAGAGTGAGGATGCCTTTGACCCTATGGATGTCGATGCAAAAGGAAAAGAAAAAGTAAAAGAGGCCGGCGACAACGCTGAAGATCAAGAAACTGCGACTGAATCTGATAGAGGCTCGACGCCTGAGCCATTGGAGGACGCGGAAACAGCCTCGGAGGAAGAAGAACCTGCTGGTGCTAGAGTAGAGGAACCCGCCCAACTGCCATCAAGAGGTAAGGGACGCTCTGCTGGCCTATCTGGAGATAAAATAGAGAAGGGCCCTAGTCGTCCTGCGGCACCAAAGCCTCCGTCTAGTCCGCCTCCACGCCGTGAATTACCCTTCGCACGGAGGGGAGGCGCCTCCAAGCCGGTACCGGCTACAGAGAATAAACCGGATGAAAATGATGTTGAGACTGAGAGCGATGATGAATTATAAAATAATGTAAAGTTGGAAGTATTTCTAACAGGTAACTACCAAGAACTGATCATCTACATTTAAGAATAAATAGAGAAAAAGCAAAAGAAAAGCCCCGTCCAGCCTCAAGAGCCTTCGATAATCAATCATATCGTTCTAGATAAATGTCTTACTTCCTTCGTGTAGCCTTTTTTAAAGGATCTCTTATATACAAGTCGAGATACATGGGGATGGAAGCAATCGTATAGCGCAAAAGGTGTAGTTCAGCCCTACGAAAAAGAAATCAATACAGGTGGGAACATAGGAAACAGAAAACGCCGGCCACGACAAGGACATGATACTGTGGTGTCACATGAGAATGAATCAAAGTTTGAATAAAAAGTGCTTTATCAACGTAGATCAGAATTTATTTATTGAGCAACGAAGTATTGAGGTGCTGGTTCACCGGCAGCCATGAAATTAGTATCTGGGTTTCCAGTTTCTTTAGCAGCCGAACATCTCGCCATGGTCGTCGAGCTAGAATCTGTAAGTATTTTTCTGCCAAGAAAAAAGGGGAGAATAGGGCATACCTTCTGGAAATAACATCTGTAAAGTAAAAGTTTTCGATAGGTTTCCTGAGCGGTTCTCCAGATGCCTTGCTTCCTTTGTTTTGATCTACCAGCTGGATTTTACTCAGCTGACTGAGGGATGTGGGCTCCACAACGTCGTATCTTCTTAGGGCAGGGTTGATTTCCTCCATTCTGTCTCGCAACATCTCAACATCATCGTAAGGAAGTTTAGCACCAAGGAACTCGCTGACAGCCCTGATAATCTTCCAGTCTTCCCTAGCAGCTCCAGTGAGTGATGTGGCAGCGCGTGTCATTTGTACACGGCCTTCTGTGTTGACATATGTGCCAGATTTTTCAGTGTATGCAGCTCCTGGCAGAACGACATCCGCAATTTCAGCTCCACGATCTCCGTGATGACCCTGGTATACGACGAAAGCACCCTTAGGAATATCAGCTTCGCTGATTTCATCAGCTCCCAAAAGCCAGACCATTTTTGGAGTGGTTTGGGCAACCTCAGGCGAGGGAGTTGTGAATCCAATGTCATAAGCGCCTGATCGCGAGGCAGCGCGCTGGAGAATGTTGTATCCTTGCCATTCCGAGGTATTAAAGTTGGCGGCATTTTTATCAACGAAAGTACCAATGGTTTCGAACATAACCTTGGCATCAGGGTGTTCGGCGACTGCACTTCCAACAATAATCATAGGCTTCTTGGCTGCCGATAGTTTCTTTCCAAATTGGCCAGATAGTGCATTCTTGAGAGCCGTCACATTTTCTCCAAGATGTTCGAACTCGAAGGTGCTTTCAAAGTTTTCGCCAACAAGACCGATTTCTAGGTCAGAACGAAGCCATTGTTTACGAATACGGGCATTGAGAACGGCGGCTTCATGGCGTGGGTTTGTTCCCACAAGGAGAATGGCATCTGTTTCTTCGATCCCGTAGATTTTCGAGTTGAATAGATAATTCGACCTTAAATCGACACCGTGTGCGATGGGAGCACTGCCTCCGGGTTGATCAAGGGCGAGATTCTCGGAGCCAAGTTTATTGGCAAGATCTTTCATGGCGACAAGAGATTCGGTTTCAACAAGGTGACCTGCGACAACCTTGAATTCATTGCCTTTTGGAGCTAATTGTTTATGTGCGGCTCCAATTTCAGTTAAGGCCTGTTCCCATGTAGCTGGGAAAAATTTGTTGTCCCGTCTGATCAAAGGGGTAGTTAGTCTCTGAGTTTTTAAGCCGTCACAGGCGAATCTGGTTTTGTCGTTAATCCACTCCTCATTAACATCATCGTTAAGTCTTGGTAGCACGCGCATAACCTCTACGCCTCGTGAATCCACCCTAATATTCGACCCTAATCCATCCAGAACGTCGACAGTTTCAGTGTGTTTAAGTTCCCATGGTCTCGCCCTAAATGCATATGGTTTCGATGTCAAGGCACCAACAGGGCAAAGGTCGATAACGTTGGCGGATAATTCGGAATCCAGGGTCTTTTCAAGATATGTACCGATTTGCATATCGTTTCCTCGTCCACTTGTTCCAAACTCTGGGGCGCCTGCGATATCGTTGGCAAAGCGGACGCATCGGGTGCAGTGAATACATCTGTTCATCGACGTTTTAATAAGGGGACCAATGTTCTTATCTTCCACGGCACGTTTTCCGTCAATTTCATGGAATCGTCCTCGATCGGCACCGTATCTCATTGACTGGTCTTGTAAATCGCATTCACCTCCTTGGTCGCAGATGGGGCAGTCTAACGGGTGGTTTGCTAGTAAAAATTCCATCACACCTTCTCTAGCTTTATGTGTAAGTGGTGAGTTGGTCTTGACGACCATTCCTGCTTGGACGGGCCATGCGCAGGACGCAACTGGCTTGGGGGCGCGCTCGACTTCGACAAGACACATACGACCTGGTAAATATATAAGTTAGCGACCCGTTATGCAAGTAGATGTTGGAGAGTGATAGCCATACAATTTCCTGCAATATGTAATTTTCTATCGGAAGTTCGCGTAAGTATAAGGTATATATTCCAAGGTCAATATATGAACTTACTCATGGTAGCAGTATCTATAAAGTTTGTTAGTATCCACAAGTTCAACCTCAACCTCTGGGCGGATAAATACCGTGGAATTGTTACTCCAGCCTTTTCGCAAGCTTGAATGAGAGCAGATCCGGCTACACCAATTTATCAGTATCGTTCTGCGGTGAGGAGGTCCTTGACTGCGGGATACCTTCTATCGATACTTTCTTGCCATCTAAAAAGATCCAGCCATCAGCAAATATCGCTTCGATACAATAGCTATCGAATACCAACCAATTGTGAGCTCAACCTCTGCGGGCCGAGGGGTAGTTGTTGTAAATGTACGACCGCAATTAAGTCTGGACCATCTCCTCGAGCGTGCCGCCGCACGAAACAATTGCGGCCGCATCCTGAAGAGACAACAGAAACGACCACAAATGAGACGATGAAGAGGGTTAGGAAAGGCGACAGGCGAGGAGGGTGGCGGGTGAGGCTGCGAAAGCAGACGTGAAGTCGTTTGGGATGTTTTGTGTTATTTCTCTATCAGTTTCCTTTTCCCTGGCGTTCCCTCACAAATCAGCGGCCTCGGATTGGCTCAGGGAGTGATGAGTGGAAAATTAGATGTTCCGATCCGGCGAGCTTTCCCCCATCAAAATTCGCTTTCATCGATTTTCTTCCCTTTCTCTTTCTTTTCATATAATATCTCATTTCACGGACATGGTTTATTGTAGGAAGGAGAGATACTTAACTCAAAGCTCTTCTTCCTCTACAGCATTGTCCCAGAACAGATTTTCGCGCCGAGCTGGAGCATCCTAGGGTTTCAGCCCCATTAAGGCATAGTTCCTTACCGACGGTCGCTACATTTCGCCCTCGAGAGATTTAAATGTGTGAATAGCGAGGCCTGCATCACCGCCCTAGAAATTCGAACGATCGATAGATATGATTCATACTCTGACCCGCTATCAATCGTCGAATCGTTGCTAGCAGCCCATCACCGACACCATTTTTAACACTTGATCGGAAGCTAATTGGGCTGTTGGAATTTTATCTACGATATTTACCAATATGGTGAGGGTAATAAAATGTTAAGTCTAGAAAATTGTATCAAAAAAGAACGGATCTTGTTCTGTTGGATTTCCAATAAGTCATAGTTGCGACCAAAAGTAAAACGTGATGTATACAGCTTTGAAAGACAAACAGATCTATACATTATTCACGACCAGGGTCGCATCCCATGCCGCCGTTTTGAACGCCTTCCATCGAAAAGTAAAAGGTCCAAATGTTAATTCCTGCCCTTCCAACGCCGGTCCTGTATCATTACATTTATTTCCTAGACATCACGAAATATATTGCGGCTGGTATGGTGTAGAGTCGCCAGGTTGCCAGGTATGTTCCTGCTTTGTGCCTGGCGGCATCCACGACTGGACAGGGCTTGTCTTCCGAGACCGCCCATTTGGCTCGTCGTCGTCCTTTTTCCCACTGCTGGACGAAACTGGGACATAACTGCCCGCGTCTTCCATGGGCCCTTCTTTAATTGAAGGAGGGAATATATAGCCGTTCTGGTTCCAGCCTCTATTGTCGGTATTTTTAACGTCGCTGAGTGGGAGTATTGGCGTCTTGGAGTGGAAATGGTCAGCATTTGCTCGTCGGTCAGCTGCATCCTCGTGGCTGTTGCGGTCGTATAGGTATAAGCCGAGGAAAGTAAGGGCAATGCCAATTGCTTGAATTGGTGTAGTAGAGTTTCCAAACCAAACGATAGCCACGACAACAACAAAAACGCGTTTTATCAGGGATGCAACCGAGTAAGAGACAGGTGAGATCATCGAGAGGAGAGCAAAAGCCAGGATATTTTGGGCGAAATGTGATATGCCGTTAAAAATGAATTCGAGTACCAATGGACCGTGGTCCAGACTCCCTTTTTTTTCAGTAAGGTCGATAGCTCCATCTTGGAGGAGATCGACAAAAAGTGGATAGCCCTCAGAAAAAAACCAGATTGGGGCAGTCAAAATAAATGCTAGACCAGAACAGTAATACAAAAGGTTTAGTTTATCCAGTTTGCGGCCAGTAAGCGATTGGCCATCCGATTCAAGGCGGGAGGCTTCGTTAAAGAGTTTCTTGGAGAATATGTTCTGGGAAACGAATACCAGGGCCGCGCAAAAAGCGCACAAAATGCCGAAGAGATTTGTAGAAAACCCAGAGGAGCAGGCGAGCATCACGCCCAGCGTAAGCGGTACAAGGGAGAGGTATGTAGCACGGGCATATCGAATGCGGAAGATGAAGCGGTACGCAAGAACTGTGAAGAGTGGTGAGAGGCCCTTGATGGTATGGACGAGCGAAACTGGGATCTGAGACGTAGCCATAGAACTGAGAATATGGCCAGCGAGCTGAAAGAGCGCCAGAGGAAGGGCGGTCGAGATGACTTCTCGGGATGGATGACGGATTCCATTTTTCAGGGCCGGAATTGCGGTTTTCAAAGCAGGAAACACGGACGCTAGGTAGGAGAGTATTAAACACCAACCCGACACGAAGCCAAACTGAACAATTGTGAGCGTAATCGGTTTTGGGAGAGCGTTTAAGATTTCTTTTGACGACGTGTTGGTCAGCGCAGAGGTCATGTACCAGATCACACAGAGGCCCTGAGGGCAACAAGAACAGATGTTAGCAGAGTCAAGCTTCCAGTTCATGAGAGACGATACGCACAATCAGTCGATACGAAACGGGAGCCTTCAACGCCTCAGCCAGCTCCTGAGCATTGACACTGACACTGGCACCTCTCCGCTTGAACGAGCCAATGGCTTCGCTGATACTCTTCCGCGGCCGCTGCCTTCGCGTGTTTGGCGGGTTAAGTGAACCCATTCCGTTTTTCCTGGGGAGCCACGTTCCATCCGGCGACAGCCCCCGGTCGTTCATCGGTGGGGGAGCGTTCGAATCGGCGGGCACCTTGAGCGAGTCGTCATCGAAGGTTGGGAACTTTTCCAGGGTGCCACTCGAGGCCGGAAGGGTCATCTGCGACGGCGGGTTCAGGGACACGGTGGGCGGACGCTCGAGGACGGCCGTAACACTCATGGCGAGTAGTTGTTGAGTGGTTGCAGGTACGCTCTGGAGCCGGGGCAGAGCAGCAGTCAGCAATGCTGGGAGAGCATGTTGAGACTCGGAATCACGACTTTTTCTTATCGTGTTTCGGTGATCAACAGGGAGAACCAGCCAGGTATTAATAGAATGGGCTTAGTGGGCGCCGCCCCCGGGTCTGATTGGGCGGCCGCGCCCACGTTCCCCGGCTCTCATTCCCGCAACATTCGTTTGTCCGGACGGGCAGGGCAGCGGCCCTTGGGCGCAATATGGGACGGCAAGGCCATGCTACGGGCCCTGCTGGGGCCTGCCGTGCTCTGGCTGCCCGCGCAAAGGAGCCCCGGACTTGTTGTCCTCTGCGCACTAGCTAGCGAGGTACCTAGTTACTTAGCAATCACTGGGCTGACGGAGTGCAGCAGGGGATCCAAGTTTCATGATGCTAATTTCCAAGCTCATCTCCACCGCGTCAGCTCCTTTTCTCCGGCTCGCGTTGGACCTAACTTCGACGGATTACTTAAGGTAGTTAACAGAGGGCAGCTATACTCTGTAAGGGAAAAATAGATCTGGTGGTTGTTGAGATCCCACTGTCTGGTTCGCAGATACGGAGCGTGAAGGAGCTACAGCCTGCGTAACTAACTAACCCTGGGTACAGAGTAGCCAGCGTAGCATTGCAACGCTTAACTACCTACGGAGTACAGATTGACGGTCGACAGCAATCACCCCACCCCGCCTCTCAACTCTCTTCACTTATAAAGTTCGCCTGATAATATGGAATCAGCGCAAACGAAGGAGCAGATCCTTTCTGGCTGCCTTCTTCCTCCATGTGTGTACCCGCGAGTTCTCGATCGCGGCGACCCTATTGCACCCACTGCCTCTGAGTCGCGACAGAGCCAGCAGAAAATGCCACGTCTCTCCCTATCCCAGGTGTGGGATATTCTAGGCCCATTTCAGATCGGTACTCGAGGTTAGTGGCTTCCGTTTCACCGTCAATGGTGCAGAGAGAGGGTCTCCTAATGCAATCCCTCAGAGGCCACTTGGGGGTTGGATCCTCTTGAAACGCAAGGAGGATTTCGGGCCCTGAGGTATGATCCGGAGGAAACGTTTCCCAGCGCTATCGGCAAAGGAGGCCTGTGCCATTGGAGCAAGAGTCACGCGAAAGAACTAGTTGCTTCAGATGAATGCACGAAAGCAACGCTTGATCTGGAGTTTCCCAAGATCGACTGGTCGTTCATTCGCTCTGTATATGGATGGTCCGGCCTGCAACACCAAGCCTGGGCGCGAGGCATTCTTACCGTCTCCGGCCCGGACCCAGTTACCGCCGCTGTTTATGGAGACGGTGTCATTGAACTTCGGATAGACGGAGAGCTCTACTTTGGTGGAGATTTTTATTCGTACCGGCGAGCGCCGTTGATCCTCGAACTTAGCCAAGGCGACCATACAATTGAGCTTCGCCTTGTCTACGATATCAGGTCACAAGGCGAGAGTGACGTGCCGCAGATAAAAGTAACCCTTGAGTGCACGTCGATTCCACAGAGATTGAATGTTTTTCCAGATAGTTTCCTGATTGCAGATGTTGTTGACGGAAAGCTTGCGAGCCCATATGGAAGTGTAAATTTGCACAATGCTACGAAATCAACAGCCAATATCCGCTGGATGAAATGTATTGGAGAAAACGCAAGTTTGCCTTGCTGCTTGATGCTTTTGAAAGCGCTGCTTACACTATTTGCAGTCATCTGGCCCTGTCGTGACAATACTTCACGGCTTCATCTCTATTGCGCCGTGGCAATCTCGACCGTTGGCGTTTGCGCTTGATTTTGCCTCGCAAGTTCCTTCGCAACTCTCGTTTGAAATTGGATACAGCTTGGGCATGAACGGCCAGATAGAGACAACCAGAGTCGTACCAAATCTCAAACATCGGAAGATTTCTGATGCGCAGAAATTCACCTTTCTTCATCCTAGCGGTATTGTGTCTTATGCGGTTTTGCGGCCTCCTCCCGACACCAGTTGCCGCAACGCTCAAAGGGGAAGTCTTCCTCTGCTGATTGCGCTTCACGGAGCTGGAAATGAAGCGGACAGTGATCAGATTCGGCATATGCTAGATGGTGTATATGGCCGTCGTGCATGGATATTGTTTCCAACGGGAGTAACGCCTTGGAGTGGCGATGATTGGCGTTCGCTGTCTTCCTTTTGCTGAATTGAGGTATTGTTTGCTGATTTAGAAATAGACACCTGGGGCTTCGCCGACGTCCAAGCAGCTGTTTCTGCTATACCGAATTGGATAAGCTGCATGTCATGGAATGGCCCCGGAGCCTCCCTCGATGACTGGATAGTCGCCGGCCATTCGAATGGAGGTAAGCCACTGAATCTATAGAATTTTGGTTGACATATCTAGTTAACAGTTTGAATCATTAGGCCAAGGGGCTTGGTATCTCTTATCCCACCAACCCGACAAGGTGATAGCCGCAGCCCCCGTTTCAGGATATACATCCATTGAAAGTATGACCGTCATGTCAATATTCAGACGGTCTAGTGGTTGACAGATGTCTACCTAGACTATGTGCCGTTTAATATGTGGCGTAATATGGAAGCTTCCCTAGCAGCAGTCCTGGAGTTTGCTAGGCGGCCTTTTAAGCATGAGCTTCTGACCGAAAACTTTTCAGGAATCCCAATACTTCAACAACACGGAGCTAACGATGATAACGTACCTGTATATCACTCTCGACTTATGCACCAGTTGAGCTGGGAGGGTGGGTTCACCACAGAGTACCATGAAATACCTGGGGCTGGCCATTGGTTTGATGGGATAATGACGACACCTCCTCTTTCTGATTTCTATCTCCGTCACACTGAGGGTGCCTCGCCCCCTCGCCTACCAGAACAATTTTCCATGGTCATTCCATCGTCACCAGATATGGGTTCCAGAGGAGGCATCCTTGTGGATCAACTTTGCTCTCCAGATAGATTCGGGCACATGCGTGTTTTCCGCGATATGAAGCAACATCTATGGCGTGTTAAAACCGGCAACATACGTCGTTTTCACATTATTTCACTGGAAACTTGTTGCCCCCGCCCAGAGAAAATTCTTGTTGATGGTTCGGAACTGCCTTTCATACTATCACCCTCTGAGACGACCACTACTTGGTATACTCGAGACGGTTCCGGCAGCTGGACAGTATCTTCAGACAACAATTGGCGCAACATATCAGAACGGTATGGGCGACAAGTAGGAACCCTAGACAGCATCCTTAGGACTAGAGGCTCTCTAATTATCTATTCGAACTCTCCGGGAGGCAATAAAATTGCGCTACAGATTTCCCGCAATTTATTCCAGTATTTTGCTGCCGACTGTAGTTTGAACACTACAGTGTCTCCTTGCTACGATATCCCTGCTTCATCTGGCAATATTATTTCTGTCACGACTGGCAACCAAGTTCCAAACGGAAGTCTTCCTCTATTTCCAATTTCCATAGGAGACGATTGTTTGAAATTCAGCCAGCCAGATGGCTCAATTATAGCAAGACTTGAATTTGAACCTAGTCTTGGCGCAGTATTTCTCCGACCCCTGAAAGACGAACGACTGGAGCTCGTAGTCTGGGGTGCCGACCTAGACGGACTCCAGCTTGCAGCTCGCCTAGTTCCAACGCTGACCGGTGTAGGTCAGCCTGATTTTGTCGTTCTCGGCATTTCTTCTCGCTGGAAAGGTGCTGGGGGCGTTTATGCGGCGGGTTTCTTTGATCACTCTTGGCAGATTTCACGAGGGTCCTATCTACCTTAACTTGCCTAGAAGGATCCTTTTTAGTGCTTATTGCCGCTATATTTCTTATATATATAGATGAAGCTATAACTCCATTGCAGTGCTCTAGCTTCAATGCACCTTGTATTAATTATCAAGCTGGTCTTTTTTAGCTTCCGTTGGCACCGAGATACCCAGACCACGAGAGCGTAGTATCTCCTACCCCGTTTCCCATTTCCAGATTTCGAAAAGGATGAAGTATGACTCTCTTGACTGGCAGAGCCTGTTGCAGTTTTCAACCTTTGCCAGGTTTTTCTTGCTTTCCGTGTTGTAAAAAAACACGTCCGCGTTCGCGCAAGGCGTCAGTTACGTGTATGTCTTATATGCATGCCGATTTCTCCTCAGTTAACTCATATCTATGTTTTATATCATGGTATATTTGCTCCCCTTCCTATTGCCTTAGGCATGTTGCTGCTTTCTTGCTACCGTCAGATCTTTAAACGAGCCTAAAACATCTTTCTATCCATCCTCGGCGGAAGTTCGCACAGGCTGGTAAGGTTGCGGCTCTTTCCGCTGGCCGCTCCGCCTCGCACCTACTTCCTCCCCACCACCTCATCTATCCTTCCTCCCCACCACCTCATCTATCCTTCCTCCCTCCACCCACCCACCACCTCCCCAGTGTCCAATCTCTCCCAGTCGCTCTTTCTGCGTTGTGCATATTTCCTGCCGAATTTTCTGCAAATCTCGCATTTTGAGCCATTTATCTGCCTTCTCTGTTTCCATTCCCATCTTCAACATCATCCAATATCTGTGTGGTCTGTCTTCTGTGGTGATTTACTTCAATCTGTGTCTTTCCTTGTTCAAAAATCACGTTGAAATTCTTGCTAACGCGTGTATTGACTGTTCTTTTGACCTCTTGTCTTTAAAAAGAAGTCTTGCCTTTTTTAAAAAAAACTTATCTTAAACGGCAGTTTCTTACTCTCTTGCACCTTTCATTCGGCAAAAAAAAATACTGCAACATCGTGACAATGGACCTTGCTGTCTCCAACTCGCCTGCTACGTCTCGTAGGCCCTCAGCTCAAATCCAGAGCCAACCTGAGGCTATTCAGGTAAGAAAAACATTATCTTCTCTCTTTTTTTTGGCTCTCAAAGTTGCCCCCGCTCTGATGGAAACCGAGCAGCCGAAACATGTCAATTCGGCAGATATCACTCCCAATCCGCTTGTCAGTTCCAAGTTGGGAAATATGGGCCGCCCTTCGCTCAGTGAAGACCATATGGGCAAGGTTTGCTACTCTATCATACATGGGAAGAAACTACATTCATTTTATTTGCTAAACATTTGCCTCACAGAAACTTGACCCACTTCAACCTTCCGCTATGGACAAGATACTTGCTAAGCTTTCTCCAAAGAACCGCTCCTCCATTGGCTCTTCCTGTGAACAGGCGGCTCCCAAGGCTGCTTCAAACGTTGCTGCTTACGTTTCATCGGTTATTAATGAGCCCACGGGCATGGGGGGCAATGGAGAAGCTAATAAGGATCAAGTCGATAACCGGGAGGTGCTTCGTCTGCAGCAGGAATTGATGGCTGCAAATTCTCGCATTGCTATGCAAGAACAGGAGCTTGCTCAAACAAGAGTCATCAAGCAAACACTTGATCAGGCTATGGGGCCTTCCTCTGAGGTTGATTTCGGGGGAAGAGATGTCACTGAGCATACTCTTAGTACATTGCAGCATGCATTTAATGCATCATCTGTCCGTCCCCTTGGTACTCAACGCCAGGACTTCTGGGTAAACCAAGATGATTCTCACTCTGACGTCTCGGAAGCCGTCTCGGCAGGTGGTTATAACCAGGCCCGTGGGATTTGGAACAATCCTAGCATGGCCCATACTGGGTTTCGCGATTTCAGTATGACGGGCACCACCGCGTTTACTCCGAATTGGGGTACCCAACTTACCCGTCAAGCAAGTTTAATGTCAAACCAACGTATTTCCCCTGGACCGGGCAGTCCTCCATTTGAGCAAGGACAACCGTTTTCCCAAGGCCTGCGCCGTTCTGTTACCCAGGTAAATCGTAACAATTCTTGTTTCCCTCCTCAGAGCTCCCCATGGGGCGCTTTCACTGCAGGAACGACTAGTGCCGCACTTCCCAGACCTATTAATCCGCCCTCCATACAGACTGGACTATTCAATGTGGCCCCCTATCACCCCCGTCCCATCGGAACCCCCCTCTCTCCAACTGCCGCTGAATTTACTTCATTCAACAGTGGCACATGGACACCAACGGTATGCTCTGCTCTCCGTAGACGTAGAAATCCTTTACTAACTGATATCCCCCACAGACCAGCAGCTCCCAGACCTACGTTTCGCCACTCGAGCCAATGAACTACCGGCGTTTACTTGATAAAAGTGTTTCTTGCGATTGGAAATACATTGTGGATAAGATTGTCTGCAATAATGACCAACAAGCCTCGATCTTTTTACAACAGAAACTGAAGGTCGGGACTTCAGACCAAAAGTATGAAATTATTGAAGCTATCGTTAGCCAGGCTTACCCCCTTATGGTCAACCGCTTTGGAAACTTTTTGGTCCAGCGCTGCTTCGAGCATGGGACGCCAGAGCAAGTCATTTCTATTGCTAATGCCATTCGTGGCAACACTTTAAGTTTGAGTATGGACCCTTTTGGTTGTCATGTTATTCAAAAAGCATTCGATTGCGTCCCTGAGGAGCACAAGGCTGTAATGGTGCACGAACTTCTTCGTCGAATCCCCGAAACCGTGATCCATCGTTATGCATGTCATGTTTGGCAGAAGCTTTTTGAGTTACGCTGGAGCAATGAGCCTCCTCAGATCATGGCTAAGGTTAACGAAGCTCTTCGTGGTATGTGGCATGAAGTCGCCTTGGGAGAGACTGGCAGTTTGGTTGTGCAGAATATTTTTGAGAACTGCGTAGAGGATGAAAAGGTAAGCTATTCAAACATTCTATCCATATTAGTACTTACTATCGAAATAGCGCCCTGCCATTGAGGAAGTTCTTGCCAAAATTGATCTTCTAGCCCACGGCCAATTTGGAAATTGGTGCATTCAACATATCTGTGAACACGGCGCCCCCCACGATAAAAGCCGCGCCATTGAGCACATTCTTTCTTGGGCGACTGATTACAGTATGGATCAGTTCGCTTCAAAGGTGGTAGAAAAGTGCCTGAAAATCGGCGGTTCCGAATTCCTCGATCGTTATCTCACTAGAGTTTGCACTGGCCGTCCTGACCGTCCTCGCATGCCGCTAATTGATAGTGAGCTATTCCTTTCCATAGGGGACAAACTAATACTAATTTAAATATAATTTAGTTGCCGGAGATCAGTACGGGAACTACTTGATTCAATGGATTCTGATGAATGCCGCTACTCACCAACGAGAACTTGTAGCAAGCCACATCCGGTAAGTAAAATAGCGAAACTAAATATCCTACTATTATTAACGCCAGAAATTTAGGAAACATATGGTGTCACTTCGTGGCTCCAAATTTGGTTCTCGTGTTGCTATGCTCTGTTGCAATCCAAGCCACGTTACCCGCCCGGGTCCAGGGGCTGGCTTACAAGTTAATCGATTTACGACTCCGAACGAAGATCGTTTCGCCTCGACTACATCTACCAGCAACAATAGATTCAATCGTAGCGGCCAATGGACTCCTGCATATCCTCCATTTCGCTAATTTGAATACGTTCTCTTGCCAGTACTCATCTACTCCGCGAAAAATCAATATTTCAAACCAGTACTTCCTGTTTAAGCCAGCGTACTTGAGCAAAAGCTTCTAAATGTCGAAATTCGATTTACGTTCAGCAGATTTTCCTCTTTCTAGGATTCTCGGATACGTGGATGTCCCTGCTTGGCTCAATACTACTACCGTTTTTAAATCCTCTCATATGGCATTGGCTTGTTGGAGTCGCCTTGACCAGCATCCCAATCTGATCCCTTTTCTTTAGTTTATTTTTGCTTCTGTGACTTTTTCTTGCCTGGAACTACTTCCATTTCATTCACTTAAATTGCCATATCTCCTGTGATGATGATCTTAACCTGAATGATTAATAGGCGTGGGTTTCTCCTGCGTACTTTGGTTTACTACATGAAGGACCCTAGTTCCCTTGTGTTTCGAAGGAGCTGTTATGTGCCGATGATAACCTTGTATTCTTTTGTTGACCGTTATTCCTGAGTGCCTCCTTATTTTGCCCCTGAATGCACGACGGTTAAATTATATGAGGAATCGGTCTCCAGTGTATGGGCGAAGTTCCGGTCAAGTTCTCTTAGCTACTTTATTTAATTACCTCTTTGTGTATGCTTAGCCTAATAGAAAACAGTTTCGAGAGATGCTGATAGTTTGAGGAATAGTACCAATGACTACAGTTTAGATATGAAAGCCCAAATACCACCTTATATAATAGCACTTGGCCTTGGAATATATGAAGTAGAGCAGTAGATTGAGCCTGGAAAAACCATTATATTGATATAATGTGTGGAGTAAGCTCAGCCTATTAATTTTATCTTGGGGAATATAAGTCGTATCTTCGTAGATGCTACAATCATACCAAAGAAGGCAGTCAAAATTCACACCGCCCCCTGAGAATTTACCTCCACGGGCTTTTCCTTCGAGTCAGACTCGCCATTTCCAGTCTGTGAATTCTTCTCTTCTTGAAGCTCCCAGGGCTTCAGTCGCCTCGTCGCTGTGCTGGGGCCCTCTTGGCCGGTCAATAGCGTGTCTGGAATTTGTTGAATGCCCGGAATCGGCTGGCCGGTTGTGATTAGTTCAACAATATGGGCAAAGGAGGACGGGTAGGCAGGTTGTTCTTGTGTTGACGGTGAAGAAGATGTGGCCGCCGGAGCCTCTTGGGATGTGACTGTTGTGGAGGGCGGCTCCGAAACAGCGGGGCCAGTGGATGTTTCGGTGGACGAGGGCTCAGCAGAGGCTGCTGGGTCTTCAGAAAGGGACTCGGCGTGCGACTGAAGCCAGGTCTTGTATGCGAGAAAGTCGAGCGGCGGCTGGATGGATTGTTTTCTATCCGCGCAGTTTGGTTAGCTTTGAGGTATCTAACTAGTGGTCTCGTGCGTCGTTTTTTTACCTTGAGTAGTAGAAACATTTAGCTCTGAGGACCAGGTCGTCCGTCCGGTTGATCTGCTCTTCTGTCGCTGGGGTGCCGGGCTGGCGGAGAATCATGGCGAGGCCGAGCTTGAATTCCGTGTCTGTGGAGAATGGGTATGAGTGTAGCTGTTGATAGGGGTCTTCCGCAGGCTGCGGGGAGCTGTTTGCAGCGGGTTGCGTGGGGCTGCTGGTCATTGTGGCTTGTTATTAAACGGATATAGTGAGGATTGGGAAATTAGGTGACGAGCTGAGCAGGAAGAAGTACGATGGGCGCGTGGTAGGGTAGCTTGTGGAGGTTGATCTGGTCTTTCTTTGGGTGTTCCTAGGGGTGGAAAGAGGATGATAGCTCAATTGCATGGGTGTTGTGACTGTAGGTAGAAAATGCTTTGAGAAGAAGTTGCTGGCTTAAATGCAGTAATTTCTCGAGGCTTGTTTGATACCTCCCGCACAAAGAGTAATCTTCATATGCCCAAGTTCATCACAGAGTGCTGGGAGAGTTCCGTCGGTTTTGTTCCTCGGCACAAAAGATGCGGCTGCAATCATCTCCCCACAGCTTACATTGGGCATAGGTGCATCTCTAATCTTCAAGTGTAGAATAAAGCAATGGGAGTACAATTGGATTACATATTAGGTTATAGATTCTATGTCTTTGTATTGTGTAGGATAGATACTTTTCTCAAGGCCAAGAGGTAGATAGATATGGTACAGACAATGCACCCAAAGAATGATCACCCCCCAAACGCCAAAAAGATATGCCACGCTTGCTGAATATCAAGCACGATGTAAAAAATAAATAAAAGGTTTGAGGTTAAGAGTTGACGGGTTACCCCGTATCCATCGCGTCCGCCCCAGTATTTCCATTGGCATGGTGATCCCCCTGCAGAGTGTTGGGAGAATACGCTTGCGTACATCCGCTCTGGCACCCGGGGCAATTATGGACGATCTCATGAGAAAAAACATCACAATCGATACAGAAATGATTGCGGCATACGGTGCACTCATATCTGCTGCTCACAGACATCCCCTTGACCTGGCCCTCACGAGCTTCCCACTCCGTGTGGGGCGGCACAGGCGGGAAAGGCTTGCCGCACGCGAAGCAATTCATGCTGCTGGAGGCCCGGTTCCAGGGTACTTCGACCCAGTTCATGAGCGGAAACAGGTGGTGGTATGATCGAGCTAGATGTGTAGACAAAATTAAAGTTAGCCCACACGCAGGACACTCAGCGGGCAGCGTGCAGATTTTGCTGCCGCATCTGGAGCAGAGATAGCCTCCGCGCGATGGCTTCGAGTGGCAGGCACAGAGCGTCGGCGCCGATTCCACCGTGCGCGATGGAAATCCCATCAGCAGTAGGGAATTGGCCGACTGCTGCTGTGACGTCACGGGTGGCGTGGTGATTTCCATCATGAGCTCACGGAAATGCTGCTCGTGCAGCACAACGCCGTAGCCGCTGTCGTCGCCGCCGTTGGTCTTTGAACAGATCTCTCGACATACGGCGACTTCGGCGGCAAGGCCAACAACACCAACGCGAACTTTATCGCTGACCAGGGACGCTATCGTCTGGTGGATATCGCCTGGGTCGGAGGATAGGAGAGCACCAAAGACCACCAGTACTTCGCGGGTGCCGTGGCTGGGAGTGTGACTGTTGGGGATTAGCTTGGGCCTAGAGTACAATATTAGCGCTTGAAGCACGCAGGGCTTACAAGAGTGCTCCGCGAGCCATTTCGAGGGCGTTTTGCAAGCTGGGGAGGCCATTGGGGTCTTTCGCCCGGAGGGCCTCCATGGCCAGGATGTGCTCTGCCGGATTGCCGCTGATATCACTGATTCTGACGGCCAGCCCGTCCCGCATCCCAATAATTCCCAGCTGCGAGATTGGGTTCTGCTCGAAGTATTCAAGCACGAATTCCTGGGCGTAGCGAAGGGCGAGCAGGTAGCGTGTCGGGCGCAGATCCTTCTCCGACATGGCGATAGACAGATCAAGCACGAGAATCAGGTGCCGAATGATGCCGCGCTGCAGCGGCGTCGTATCTCTCAGTAGCCTGTGCGCAGGGGCGGGCAAAAATGGTCAGTGACATGCGCAGGCAGACCAGGGTCGGGGGGCAGACAGCGTACCGCTTCCGCTTGCCAGCTTCGAGCAAGCCGTCGACTGTGGCGCTGATGGTGCCGTCGGCGCCCTCCACCAGCGTCTCCCACGTCCTGGCGACTTCGAACTCGTGGGCATCGCGCTGCTTCTTCTTCTGTTTCTGCTTCCCGCGGGCACCTCGCGTGCGACTGGGCCGGGGGCGGCGGGACTGGCGCGCGCTGTCCAGCTCGGCGTCGTCCTCATCGTCGTCGTCGCCGTCCGCCAGCTCGTCATCCTGGTCCTCGGAATCGAATGCGGCGACGTACTCTTCGTCGGAATCGGCCATCGTGTGCTCTGACAGTGTCTCTGAGTCTAGGGTCGGAGTTCGCTCGCAGAGAAAAGCTTCGGGCTCGCTAGTTCCGGGATTTGCGCGGCGAGCCATGGCCTGGCTGGCTGGGCGCGGGCCCCTTGTCTGGCAGAAAGTGTGATTTTGGTTTAATTTTTTTTTTCTTCGTTCGCGAAGCACGCTGGCTCAGCACTGTCTGGCGGTGTTGCCAACTGCTGGTGAGTTGATGCTGAGCTCTGGCTGAGTGCCTGCCGCGACGCTGTGCCCGCCTAACTACCGCCTGCCGCTGTGTTGTGCTGCGCGCCTCGCCGCTTCCCGCCCGCGCGCTCGCAGCTGCCCCGGGCGGCTCCCACCGCGCGCATGCTGTCGCGCCTGCCAAAGGCTATTGGCGGCGCGGGACGTCATGGCCTGGCGCCGCCGCCCGCCGCCCGGCTGCCCCGCCTTCTCCCCCTCCGCCGTATTTCTTCGTCGCCTTCCCCGCCGTCGACTCCGCTCCCTCGCGCCTCCAGACTCCGTCCGCTGCCACGTCTGGGCTCTCTGCATCCCCGCCCTGCTTCCATTCCCACGCGACACTGCGCAACTGCTTTCCGCATCATGGCTCGAGACGACAGAGACACTCTGCCCGACGCGTACGTTCTGCCCTGCGCTGCCCTGCTCCCCTACACCGCTGCTGCTGCTGCTGCTGCACAAGGACTCCGCTGATACTTGGCTAGGGTAACCCCGTCGCACTATGCCATCTCTCTCTATGACATCCAATTCGGCGGCTCGTGGGGCTACAGCGGCACTGTCAAGATCGACACCAAAGTAGCCAGTCCCACGGCCGACATCGTGCTCAATGTCAAAGCAATTGACGTCCAATCCGCTGAACTTACCTCCAAGGCTGGTACGGGCTTCAATGCTTAGAGATACTCTGCTGGAGGAACCGCTGCTCACCCAGTGTCATTGTTGTAGGATCCAAATCGGCCAAGAGCTCTGATATCTCCTACGACAAGACCTCGGAGCGGGCTACCATCAAGTTCGCCGAAGCGATCCAGCCAGGAGACTATCTCCTCGAGCTGAAATTCACCGGAACGGCGAATAACCACATGGCTGGCTTTTACAGGGCCAAATACCGATCAACTGAAACGCCGGCACCTGGCACTCCAAAGGAGGGTGATGACTTGTACATGTTGAGCACACAGTTCGAGGCCTGCGATGCTAGACAGGCATTCCCGTGTTTTGATGAACCGAACTTGAAGGCGACATTCGACTTCGAAATTGAAGTTCCGAAAGAATTGGTGGCCATCAGCAACATGCCTATCAAGAGCACCCGTGAGGGAAAGACGCCAGACCTTAAATTTGTGTCGTTCGATAGAACACCAATTATGAGCACATATGTTAGCAAAACCACCCCCCTTCTGTATATTCCGTTATTAGCCCTTCTAGCTCTGATCAGCAAGTTTTTAGCTTCTCGCATGGGCTGTTGGCGACTTTGAGTACGTTGAGGCTCACACCCAACGCAAATACAACGGTGCCTCCATTCCTGTTCGTGTTTACACTACCAGAGGCCTTAAGGAACAAGCCCGCTTTGCTCTTGAATGTGCGCACAAGACCGTGGATTACTTTTCTGAAGTGTTCCAGATCGACTATCCTCTGCCAAAGTCTGACCTCCTGGCTGTCCACGAATTTGTAAGATTCCAGATTAAAGGCAGGCCATATTAACTTCGCTCATCACTAACGACCCTCTTTGTAGGCTATGGGTGCCATGGAAAATTGGGGTCTCGTGACATACCGTACAACTGCAGTGCTCTTCGAAGAAGGCAAATCTGATGATAGATTCAAGACTCGGGTTGCATACGTTGTTGCTCATGGTCAGGAACATTGATCCCCGACCCACATTTCTCCGCCGTTGCTATGCTGACTGGCATCATAGAACTGGCCCACCAATGGTTTGGCAACCTTGTCACCATGGATTGGTGGAACGAACTTTGGTTGAATGAAGGTTTCGCTACCTGGGTCGGCTGGCTTGCTGTAGATCACTTCCACCCTGGTGAGTATACAATTTCACAATACCCGAAGCTCCTCGCTGACTGTGCTTTTAGAATGGGATGTTTGGTCGCGCTTTGTTGTAAGAACTGTCAGAGGTAGCTATCTACTGTTCTGTAATTGACACATTCATAGGCTGAAGGAGTACAACAAGCTTTCCAACTTGATTCCCTTCGTGCTTCCCATGCCATCGAAGTTCCTGTCAGGAATGCACTCGAAGTTGATCAAATTTTCGACCATATCAGCTATCTGAAAGGAAGCTCCGTGATCCGTATGCTTAGCAGCCACCTTGGCCAGGAAACCTTCCTGCGAGGAGTGGCTAATTATCTGAAGGCGCATTCATATGGTATGCTCGCGGTTTCCATAACCTAGATACCACAACCGCTGACCGCTAGATAGGTAATGCAACAACCAACGATCTCTGGTCTGCCCTGAGTGAAGCCTCAGGCAAGGATGTTACTAGCTTTATGGTTTGAAACCCACTGTTCAATTGCAAAATTTTATGCTCATGACACTTAGGACCCGTGGATTCGAAAAATTGGTTTCCCTTTGGTGACTGTCACTGAAGAGCCTAAGCAAATTACCGTTGCACAAAAAAGATTCCTTGCTTCTGGGGACGTGAAGCCTGAGGAAGATGAAACCGTGTGGTGGATCCCTCTAGGAATTAAATCCGGAGAGCAAGCCAAGTCCATCGGAGAGCGTAACTTGACAGCGAAATCCGATGTTGTTCAGGAGGTTGGTGAAAGTTTCTACAAATTAAATCAAGACCAGTGTGGCTTCTACCGTACAAATTATCCACCAGAGCGGCTTGTCAAGCTTGGAGAGTCGCGTGACCTTCTAAGTACTGAAGACAAGATCGGCCTCATTGGTGATGCCGCTGCCCTAGCAGTGTCTGGAGAAGGAAATACGGCTGCGACGCTCGCTCTAGTTGAAAACTTCCAAGATGAGCAAAATTATTTGTAAGTTTTCTGTTTTATCATGACCCAGAAAACTGCTTATACGTATTGCAGGGTTTGGGTACAGCTCATGACATCTCTTGCCCACATCCGATCGGTCTTCTCATCGAATGCTGAAATTGCTGCTGGGCTGAAAAAGTTTATACGTACACTTGTCACTCCTGCCGTTGAGAAGCTAGGCTGGGAGTTCAAGGCAGATGAAGGTGACCTTACTGGGCAGCTTCGTCAATTGCTCATCGCTGCAGCTGGTAGCTCCGGTCACGAAGGGTATGTCCTCTCTTTTGGTGTCTGTGCGGTAGAGTTCAATTTTCTAATATATATACGTAGAACTATTACAGAGGCTAGACGCCGGTTCCAGGCTTGGAAGTCAGGTGACAAGAGCGCGATCCACGCTAATCTTCGGAGTGCAATCTTTACTATAAACATATCTGAGGGTGGGCAGGAAGAATATGACACCGTCAAGGAAGAGTTTTCTAAGACGGACTCCGTTGATGGCAAAGAGATTTGCGTCGGGTCCCTCGCGAGAACCAGGAATCCGGAAATTCTCCAGGCTTATTTCGAGTTCTTATTCTCAGGTACTGTCCCTACCCAGGACATCCACACTGGAGCAGCCGGCCTTGCCGCAAATTCCAAAGGCCGGGATGCATACTGGGCCTGGCTCAAGGCGAACTGGGATCGCGTCGAGAAGAAGATGAGCGCGAACAAGGTTGTATACGAACGATTTGTTCGCATGAGCTTATTAAAGTTTGCCAGCCACTCAACAGAAAAGGATATTAACGAATTTTTCAAGGAAAAAGATCAAAGCGGAATTGACCGAGCCTTGCTTGTGGTCTCGGATACTATTCGAACCAATGCGAACTACTGCGAGCGGGATGAGAAGGGCGTTCTGGAGTGGCTGAAGACTCATAACTACGTTTAATTCTCTTCGAACACATGGCAGGTCTCTCTGGATGTAATTGTGTGATACTGAATCCTTAGATACATCAATCTATTCCAAGCTTTCTTGCCTATTCTCGCAAAAGGTCCTCATCGACAGTGTGTACCTAGTTGGTGTTTCACGTGATCCATCACCTGGGTCGTCTAATGCACTAGACCGTATTAGCACTAGCGTATTCTCTGGCGCTGGGCCCAGGAGGACTGACAACCTCAAAGCGTGTTCCAGTGATGTGAATGTCCCACAAGATTAATCAGTCTCAGCAGACCGTATTTCTCCTGCATCTTACCCTCCTCCTGCACTGGCTCATATTGCTGCTGGGAAGCTTTCCTGTACTTTTTTTTACCCTGATCAGCTCCCTCTACAGTTACCTTCAGAACACGCTTCATTATGAATCCAGAGTGGTAGGTCATATACCCCGTGCCTGAATTCCGAGCGGCTGCAGCCTATTTGCTGCGTGACCGCTCGGACTTTCTGACTATGAGATCCGTCTTCTAGACTCCTGATGTGGCTAACAACGGCATGCCTTACACAGAGTGATCCCCCCTTTTCCTGTCCTCAACGGCTATTTCTGGACGAAACTGCCGCTCGTTACGCGTACTAACAAGATCAGATACGACTATCTTTTCAAACTCCTGCTCATCGGAGACTCCGGTGTTGGAAAGTCGTGCCTGTTGCTTCGATTTGCGGATGACACATACACAGAAAGCTACATCTCAACCATCGGTGTCGACTTTGTGAGTTACTGTTGCCCCCATCGCCTGTTTGCGGCCTTTTTTTTCTGGTCCTAGAGCCGCCAAGCATCTTCCTACCCGCCCAGGTGCTAACGTTCTGGATCACAGAAAATTCGAACAATCGAGCTCGATGGCAAGACTGTGAAGCTTCAGATCGTATGTACTACCTCTCTTTTACTTTTTTTTTCCTGGGTGTGAGTGAAATGGGGAGTGTTAAATCTGAGTTTCTTCAAACAGTGGGACACAGCCGGTCAAGAACGATTCAGAACCATCACCTCGTCCTATTATCGAGGAGCTCATGGCATCTGTGTTGTGTACGATGTGACGGATATGGATTCTTTCAACAACGTCAAGCAATGGCTTCAGGAAATCGACCGTTATGCTACTGAAGGCGTCAATAAGCTCCTCGTCGGCAACAAGAGCGATATGGAGGATAAGAAAGCCGTTGAATATACAGTTGCAAAAGTACTGTTCACATGTCGTTCCCTCCCAGTTTTTGGACAGGTGGTTCTAATGTGTTTTACTCGTTAGGAATTCGCCGACAGCCTTGGCATCCCGTTTCTCGAGACTTCTGCTAAGAACGCATCCAACGTCGAACAGGCGTTTTTGACCATGGCTAGACAGATCAAGGAGCGCATGGGCACTGCCACAGTCAACAACAAGCCCACCGTGCAGGTCGGCCAAGGCCAAGGAGTTCAATCAGGGTCTGCTGGCGGATGCTGCTAAATTAGTTAGACGAAAACCCTCGGAAATAACCCCCTCTATACTCTCTCTGGTCCCCCTCTCTGGCGTGAATTGGTTTCTTGAAAGCTGGTGTCAGCAACGGGTAGTTTGTTGAATGGGTTGTCACTTTGATTGTTTTTCTCCTCCATATCTGGTTTGCACACCCATGACAGCTTCATGAAACTAATGTCACACTCAACAATATCTCTTGATGCCACATGTCTTCCATACTTTCTCTATGTCAAGATTACTCTTTTTATTTGCACTTTGCTTGACCTGTCTCTTAGAATGGCTGAGTTTTCCTCAATGTCCTGATGCCCACTGTAACTCTCATTTGCTTTTTTTTTACCTTGTTTTTCTTAATACGACTTGGTTTTGCTTGAGCCCACCTCGTGGGCCCTCTCTTATGTGCTGCTGCTGTCTATACCTTTCCCCGCCCTTCCTTCCTATGTTTCTGTTTGTGCCGGGGTTGGCACCTGTGTATCTCATGCCGCTAAGATGCAAGCTAGACGTTGGGATCAAGACAGAGACATTGGAATCGAAGACTAATAATACTAATCTATATTATTTGAGGGTTTCTTGAGCTGCTGGGCATTGCGATCGGATCTGATCATGCCATCGGCATACCCACTCGCCTGAGTCATGGATCTTCCGCCGGCGCGGCCCGCTTCAAGCCATCTCAGTAGAATCGTAGCAGTGGAACGTTGTTCTCCATACCATAGTCATACTGGTATTCTAGATGCCCATCGGTGTTTCAGGGCAGCCGTGCCTGGTTTCTCGGCCAGATGGCCTCCACATGCAGGACTGAAGAAAATAAGCAACGGTGATAAGCTGAGAATCTGCCGTGGTGGGTCAGCCTCGGGACAAGTGGTGCAGTTGCAGCATCGTTGGTTTTCTTGAGCGCACAAGCTGAATAAACGATCGCTTCAGCATGCCGGTTCAACCGCTAGAATGTGGAATTCGACGCCCACCACCTACTAGCGAGAGCTCGGCCGGAGATGCTCCGCTGCAGCTCAACTAGTTACATACGGAGTACATATGTAACTACGCGGTGGGAGAGCCGCCAGAATTTACAGCATGGTGCTGCACGCGGCGGCAGTGTTTTCAGCATGAAATACTACATCGACTGTCATGTGCAATACATAAACAAGAATAGCCCGTTAATTTCTCGATCCACGAAATCCTCATGCTCGCGCGCGCGCAGAGGAAAAGCGGTGGACAGGCTCCGAGCAGCGGACCAGCCAATCGACACGACGCGAAAGTGGCAGCCGAGGCACTCAGCGGCGCCGGGTTCATATGAAGCACCGCCAGACTTCCCCCAGACCCAGACATGCGCCTAACGAGAAATTTAAAGGACAAGCCGAGACGGTGGATGCGCGATCGCTGCGTTTCGTCGATTGATTTTTATTTTTATTTTTTTTGTTCTTGCGTCTCCTGCTTGAACCACTTCCGCTCCCTTAAGTTATCATCTAACTATCGTATCGGTGCATACATCGCCTTGCTGTGCCTCCCGCCCGTCGGCTACATAAGGTTATAGTTATCGTCGTCTCCAACTAGATAGTTACTTTGGCCGGTTTTGCAATCCGCCTTTCGTGCCCCTCCTTCTCACGCCTCGCCCGTCAACATGTCCCAGTCGAACACCGCAGCGGCTCAGAAGCCAAAGGTCGCCGCCATGGCTGCGCAGCAGAGCGACAACATTGCGCATGCCCTGGCTGGCGCCGGCGGAGGAATCCTGTCTATGATCTTGACGTGCGCCTCACTTTGACCTGCTACCTGTCTGCTGCTGTTTTCACTCCTGCTTCTGCTGCTGTCATTGGGCCCCCCCGGCTAACCGTGAGCTGTTCGACATCCGCAGATACCCTCTGATTACTCTCTCGACCAGAGCCCAGGTCGAGTCCAAGCGTGCGCAGTCGTCCACGATCGACGCTCTACGCCACATCATAAAGCGGGAAGGCGTGAAAGGCCTCTATGCCGGCCTGGAATCCGCCCTGTTCGGCATCAGCGTCACCAACTTTGTGTACTACTACTGGTATGAGTGGACACGTGCTGCCTTCGAGAAGGCTGCCCACAAGTCCGGCCGTGCTTCCAAGAAGCTCACGACCCTGGAATCAATGATCGCTGGTGCTATTGCCGGCAGCGCGACCGTGATGATCACCAACCCCATCTGGGTCGTGAACACGCGCATGACCGCGCGCAAGTCTGATGCCGAAGAGAGTCTCCCCGGAGCGCCGGCCAAGAAGCCCAAGACGACCCTGAATACCCTGCTTACCCTCCTTCGGGAGGAAGGCCCCAAGGCTCTGTTTTCAGGCGTTCTGCCGGCGTTGATCCTCGTTATCAACCCTATTCTTCAATATACGTTCTTCGAGCAGTTGAAGAATGCGCTGGAGAAGAGGCGCAAGGTTACTCCTACAGACGCCTTCTATCTGGGCGCGCTGGGCAAGCTGCTTGCGACTAGCATCACCTACCCATATATCACGGTAAAGAGCAGAATGCACGTTGCCGCCAAGGATGGCCCGAAGGAGAGCCTAAACGCAAGCTTGAAGAGAATTATCAAGGAAGAGGGCTGGTCTGGTTTATATAAGGGTAAACTGTGATATTCGAACATGTTGATTGAATTATTTCTAACTATTCCTAAAGGTATCGGACCCAAGGTCAGCCAAAGTGTCCTCACGGCCGCTTTCCTTTTTGCCTTCAAGGATGTTCTTTACGACACCATGGTCGCCGCTCGTAGGCGGACCATTCGCAAGTGAGCAACGGCCTGCAGGCCATATAGTTCGCTCTCCCTCTGTATCAATAAGGTTATGCCGTCATTATCTGGCGTCTGTTGTGGAGTGGTTGGTTGGTTGCATTATATAATCTTGGTGGTTTCCAGAACAACTCCTCCTTCTCTGTACAGATATGGGCTTAAAATGGATGTTCAGGAATTCTCATGTCATCTACAAAGTGCTCATTTATTAACAATAAATTTGTTATTTAACCCCTTTATACCCCTAGAATGGCACCGTATTCGCCTGCCCTAGTACATAGCGCCAACAGTTGGGTAGCTATGTTGAAAAATCCTATTTCAAGGAATCATGGTGTTATGGCTGCCATCGAGCACCTTTCGGAACCAATGTCTTTGTCAAAAATGATAAGGTAGAAATTAGGGTCATCTGGAAATAGTTACTCAGTTACGTCATAATCATTAATGGTAAGATGTGTACGGAGTACATCATCTATTTTTGCACCACAGGACTCTGTCTGCTGAACGTCCAGGACTAGGTAGCCATCACTACTTAAAAATATCATACTAACTTGATAGCAGCTATATGTGTTGTTCAGCCAGTTTGTGCTAACAGGTGGCTTGTCTAACATTTCCGAACACCCTTAGGATTGATTTTTTTCGGCTGCCTGCCATCGCTACCCGCCTCCAAGATCTCGCATGTTCGCACCGAGTCCCGTCCACCGCCAGCTTGACCTCGACAATTTCTGCGATGGACACCAACTTCCTCGTCAACCATGTCAATGAGGTGCGAGATGAGCTTTGGTGCGATAAGATCTACAAGGTACTCCAAACAAACAGCCTTTGCGAATGGGTGTCGACTTTCCATCCTGACAAGTGTCCCTGTCAAGTCTACGGCATGTTCCGTCGTGGTTCCTTCAATGCTGGCGGAAAGATGGTTTTTAGTGATGGCACAGCCTGGATGGTTCGTTTCCCTCGAGGAGGGAAGACCAGCATTGATTATGCTGATGAGAAAGTTGCTATGGAAGTCACAACTCTAAGTCTTATTCGCGAAAAGACTACTATTCCGGTTCCCAAAGTCCATGCATGGGGCGTGGCAGCTGAAAACCCACTTGGTTTAGGCCCATTCATTATGATGGACTTTATTGAGGGTTTATACCTAGATGACTTTCTCAAAAGTCGCAATGTTGAAAAACCCACCAACCTCATGAGGGAGAATATCAGGGATAATGAGGTTGAAATCATCTACAGACAAATGGCAAATTATATGCTCCAGCTTTTTAAGCTTGATTTTCACTGCATTGGTAGCCTACCGTGGCCTGGAGCTGGGTCGAAATGCACTACTCCACCACGCCCCCTGACATTCAAGGCACATACTATTCTACAAGATGGAGGAGTCAACACTTTTGGTATGTCATTAAGTTGCTCTCTATTTAAATTTGTAAGCACATTCGCTAAGCTCAACTGCTTTATAGGGGACCGACATCGAAGCTATGCAACAACAACTGAGTATTTTTGCTCTATTTTTGAGCAGGATTTGGAGCAACTAGTCAAACAGCCCAACACAGTTTATTATCTAGATGATGGAAAGGCCAAATATGAGGCATTTCACACTCTAAGGTCTCTGATACCTGATCTGGCCATCCTAAGTATGACCACGGTAAGTTTAAGTTAATTTGTGATGATCTTGGTTTAGGCAATCTTATTGTTCGGAGTGAGGATGATCTCACTGTTCTTGGAGTTGTTGATCTTGAATGGTCATATACTGGGCCAGCTCAACTGTTTGGCTCAGTACCATGGTGGCTTCTTCAAGATAGACCTATTAACCCTGAGTGGGATTATGAGAATGGAAAGCCTCCTGAGGTTGCTCCCCGATACTTCAGGTACCTGGAATTCTTTGTACGGATTCTAGAGGAGGAGGAAGCGAAAATGCCAGGGAATGAGGAAAAGGAGCTCTCCACACTTGTTAAGTGGTCACAATCATCTGGAGCCATGTGGCTTCACATGCTTCTCTCAGTTGGTTTTAATGACGATCACACCTTTCCATTTGCACAGCTGCGCGAACATTTTCAAACCAAATGGGGACAATGCCAGAAAGCAGTTATAAACATAGAAGAGCGTGACGCGTTTGCTGCGCAGAAGGTACGCGACTCAGAACATTACGAAGAAATGTTGGAGAAGGTAGAAGCGGATAAAGAACTTCTCAGCAGTGGGAAAATGACAAAGGAAGAATTTGTCGCAAATGCTTTAATGATAATATCCGGGTCCACGAATAATAGCTACGAAACCGAAGAATCCAGGAAGGTTGCACCTAACGGTCAAAATCAGGACAAACAAAAGAAACAACAGGCTCCAATGCCGCTCCAGTCTGAACCCGAATCATCGTACGAAGATCAGCCAGAAACCATAGCGGAACCCCGAGTCTATAGGCTGCTGTAATGCTACAGTTACCCGCAATGAATTCTAGGGACCAGGTGAGTGGTCCATAGTTGCTCTAACTGGTAATTACTGATTCCGAACAATATTGTTACCAGTGCACAACTGGGTCGATGTGGGTTGAACTGTCCCCAGAGATCTTGAAGAGTTACTCATCAGGTCTTGACCTTGTATAATCAGATTAAGTTACTGAATATTATTAGAACTACCAGAAAATTTTTAAAATGTAGAAAGTAATCATACGGTTTATATTGAGCTGCTAAGTCCTTTACAATTCTGAATTATACATATTTTAAGCACTTCTATTTCTTTAGAGATCTTTTTAAACAGAGTCTCACTATTCTTTACTGTAGACATCATTATGAATTAAAATCAATCAAGTAACTAAGATGAGAGTTTGAATTATTTTGAAGAAAAGAAATGGGTCTAGATGATGAAATGAGCTTGGTTCTTTACTAACTATATCTTCTATAGCTCTATATATGCTTTTTTATAGTCTGTAACACAGTTATCAATGGTCTATTGTTTTTATTCAGACTGTAGCTTTTCTATTGAGAGGTCTTTACAGTTGTGTTCTTATAATGTTGTGTAAGAGCTAAGCAGCTACTAGCTGAGCAGAACAGCAAGTGTTCTCAGTGAGCTCATCTTGTATAATAGATGTGACAAAACTTTCTTTCCAGATGTTGCTTCAAACCTGAGCAAAAACATGCCTTTAGACCATTTCAAAGATTTTTCCACAGTACGATCCCTAAGATAGGTGGTTGGGCCAAATGAATATGGATGGCAGAGAGATCTGGAGGGAAAAAGCGAGCTCCTTCGGCAGATTCTGTGGAATACGTATATCTTGAAAATGGATGAGTGCATCTTACACATTCTGGATCCCCACAGAATCATTAGAATGTGAAGGGCCCGCTCGTCTGCGCCGTACTGCACGGACATTTTCATTGGGGGCCGACCTATCTCAGAGCATGATCATGTAATGGCTACATGTCAGTAAGCAGTTGGACTTTTTGTACATGATATAGCATGGTGAGCTCGTAAAAGAGCCACATAGAAATGGCAAGTTCACCTGTACTCCGTATCCTAGAAGGGACCATGGGTTGGGGTTTTGACTAGCGATACTACCATCATCTGGAGAACCTCTCTGTACTCCGTAGGCCGGTAAAAAAATGCCAAGCCACCAAATGGGAAAATAAGGGTTATTACTAATCAGATGGCGATCAACCAATCTGGGAGTTGCATGAGGAGGTTCATGAACTACAAAAATATCACAGAAGAGCATTCACGGCTAGAACAAGGTGAGTTTATGACCTACTATCATCTAGGATGGTTCCATACATTCTTTCTTCTACTTATCTGGTGCACAATACTAATGAGCGTCATGAATGCAGAAGTAGACGCGTTATTCCGCATAATAATGCGCTTCCTCACTATATAAATTACCCCGTGTCATTCCTCGAAGCCTCTTACATCGGATGAATATAGCGGCGGCGTCCGCTGCCATTTACTGCGCCCAAAACGACGCGTTAAAGTGATATCTTGAACTCAACGCCAAGCAGCCCCTCCGACAGTTTCTCGACATATGGATGCGCACCGATACTGATAACTGGCGCTACAGAGCGGGCAATGCCATAACTAACTGACATTACATACTACAAACTTTACTACCCGGTTAAGAGCATTAGGATATGAAATGAACTAGGTACTTAGAGCACCTTGAAGAACCGCATATCATAACCTTGGCTTAATAATATTCATGGCGGATGGAGCAGCCCCAATGTCTAAAGAAGGTAAGTGAAATTACTTGTCCCTTTGGTGTTTGATATAATATAGCATATTTATTGACGCCGTGTCGCCCATCAGAGCCCCATGAAAGCGAAGCGGCGTGGACTGAGCCTAGGTGCGGGTGTTCGAGCAGGCCTGTCTAGAAGTGCTGAGATGACGCTGATACATGGGACTGATTGTGTAGAAATACCAGGACCACAAATTTCATTAGAAATGGCAGCCCCGACGAAGGTCCAGCACAGACGGCCAGGGGAGTTGGTTTCCCCTGAGGAAGATGACCCCAATGAGTCCGATTTGGACACGCGGACGCAATTATTACTCGATAGATTTACCTCACATCATTCGCCGGCGAAAAACAGTACCGGGAAAACTACAGCCAGTGACAATATGTCTGATTTACCGGCCAAACAGGTGCAGGGCCGGTCAGGTTGTTTACCGGGGCATACGAAAAGCTCTACGAATCCCCAAGAATCATCGTCCAAAGCGAAGCGCCTTGAGCATTATTCACCAGTGCAAACTGCGTCAGCGGGCATTCCAAAACGCTCAAAAAGGCCCACCGGAATGAGTGCAGTAAAACAATACGTACCGCCAATACAAAAGGGTTCCAGCGACTCAAATGGACTAGGTGCAAAGTCTCTAAAGCAGTCTCCATCCAAGGTAAAGCAAACGACACTGCCTCTGTCGCCAACTGTCACCCGAAAAGCTAAAAAATCCGGCCTCTTACCCGGAACATCTTCGAACACGCAGACCAAAACCTTGAAGCCCAATGGACGTCCGAAAAATATCTTGAGTCGAAAGCCGGGACAGCTAAACAACAAGAAAGCTATGGAATTGGCGAGTAGGCCAACACCCAAAACTACGCGAAAAGACCCTTGGCGAGCATACGTCCCCTCTAGCTCTGGCCAGCCCTCAAAATTTACTCCATCGTCTATAAATACGAATCAACCGAGAAAAAACCTACCGGCCCCCTTACAGCAATATGGCCGACCAGCCTGCGCATCGTCCTCTTCAGACGGCGACGAAATAATATTTCTATCTCCATTATCATCTCCAGATGCACTGTCTTCGAGTAAATATGAACCGATTGCGTCACTTTCATCTGCTCCTATTCCGAGCTCTTCCAGCACCGCATCAAGGCTTTCAAAAGCACCACGCTTACCGAACAATGAGATCGTCAAACCCAGAAACACACCTATGCTTACCCCGTCAATGACTTCAAGTGATGGACCTAATCCTAATGATCTTCCAACCCTAAGTGATATGAGGAAACCAGATATCACCCCTAGTAAAAAACAAGGATCGTTATTGAAATCACTGTCTTGTTCATTGCTAGGTGTAAATGGGATGAGCAGCAAATCTGGCAATGTTAACTGCACATCTGTGAGTAAGTTACGTGAAAAAATACAGCCGTCAAAATCACAGCAGAGAGAGCGTCAAATTGTTTCCAGTCCAACCAACAATGTGTCCCTTGACAATGAAAACACACTGAAAGTTATCACAAAACAAGAAACCTCGGCGAGCTCAAAAACAAACAACACGCCAGTTTCATTCCCCAACCTCCCTCAAACCATTAGAAGCCCACTGAACTCTCCGCATCTTAATAAAAAGCCATCATTTCAGAACAGGATTTTCCACAACAGCTCAACTACTAGCCTGCAAAAAGCCCCAAAGGCAGCTAAAGACGGTTCGATGGCGCCCAATTTTAACGACAAAGGACAAAGAGGGGAGCCTGAAGTAAGACGTTCTGGCCGCAGTCGAAGAGGGCCTTCAAATTACTATGCGCCCCCTCAGGGGTATTCATCGCGCCGCTTTACCCAGGAAATCATCTATTTGGATAGCGATGATCAAGAAGAACCCTCGCCGGAACCAATCATCGACTCCCACAGCCCACCTAATTCGCCCATGAGTCCAATTCCGTCCTGTCATAAAGTGGTTTTTCAATCTGATGACTTTCATATAACTCAAGAACCCCTGATATCCGGTACTCCCAGCGATATTTCCGAGGAAATCGGTAAAGCACATATTCCTTATCACCGGCAAAAAACCCGGAATAATCTGTCTTCATTTTGTAGGATGCGCGGCATTGTACATGTTGATTTTGATTTTAGCGAAATGCATGCAGTCTATACATTCCTGACGGGCGGAAATTCTACTTTGGAGGATGACACACCCATTCAGACACTTGTTTCCGATGCTCTTCGTCAGTATGAATCCGGTGGAAAAGATGGCGGGCAGTTGAACATAGATTGTCTTTTTAATGTTGCCGACTTGCAACATCGTGGCCCCAAAGCCATACACCGATTTTTGGAAGATGCAAAAGAAGGGGCACTCAATTCGTTTCCTTCTAAGCTTCGTGTTTTAGCCGGCACATCCAATCACCACATAAACTTCGATTCGAGTAATTTACAAGCTCTCCTCAGATCTCGTGAATTAGGGTATTCAGTACATCGAAACCGAACTCGCGTCAGCCGTCGTCTCGAGGACCTAAAGAAGTGGGAGAAATGGAAATCGTGGACCGGAGCGTCAAGTGATATTTTGGTGCTTGCTTGGTCCCCCGATTCCACGCGGTTCGCAGCAGCAGCAGCAGCTCAAACAGATGAGCACAGCATGCGATATAATCGCAACAACAACCTGCTGCTTGGTAACCTTTGCTCAAGTAAGCTCAAAGAGTTGCCCGACCATTGCATAGATCGGCCGATACCAGAATCAGGCCCAAATTCATACGAGACTTATGTCATGGTAGATCCTAAGCTATACATGACTGTGAACTCCTTGCACTGGACGAATTGTGGCAATCGCCTCTACAGCGCCAGTTTCGACAAAACGGTGAAGCTTTGGGATGTAACATCCCATAATAATGCGACATGTATCAATACTTTCTCACATCCTGAGAGAGTTCGGGAGCTGGCTGTTTCGCCGTTTGACTCTCAGCTCGTCGCCACTGGCTGCGACGGCCCGAATTTCTTTCTCTGGCGCGCTGATGACAATAGTGGCTTCTCACCAATTCAGCTCGATTTTCAACGAGAGAAGCGCGTTAAAATGACGCCGTCTGCGCTTCAGTGGAGTGCATATTCGCGGATTCTGGCTGGGGGGCTGACTGGAGAAGATGATTCTGATCATGACCCTAGTAAACACGGTCATCTCACACTCTGGCGAGTCGACGAGGCGTCTACAACGCCTTTGAAAGTGTTGCCCAATTCTCAAAATATATTTGACCTTGCATGGCATCCAACGTTGCCCATGCTTGCAACTGGGAACACTCTCGTTTCGTCGCGGGGTATTGGCATCGGTCGCGACGCACGATCGGCCGTTCGGATTTACGACCCTCTGAGAATAAGATTCCCCACTCAGTCTTATGAGTCTCCTGCATTAGATATTAACAAAGTCACATTCTGTCCTTCGAATGATACCTACATCACTGCGAGTTGCACAGACGGAGCTACCTATGTTTGGGATAGCCGAAACCCCTCCCAGATTTTACATAAAATGAAGCATGGAGAGCCGATTCACCGCGATAGATTTCCAGACCTTACTCGAGAACAAAGTGATTTCGGGGTTTCTTTTGCTCTTTGGGAGAAAGGCTTTGAGTTTTACACTGGTGCAACCGATGGGGTCCTTAAAAGGTGGGACGTTCGTCGAGCCACGGAGGATGTTTTACAAGAAAATGTCGCATCGTTCAACCAGGAGCTGATGTGCGCTTCAATCTCGCCTGATCATGCGAACATGGTTCTTGGAGACGCTGCAGGAGGCATCCATGTTATTTCTACCGCCCCGTGGGGCCACTCTGAGGAGAACTTTTCAACATTCGAACTAGAAAGGGCCAGTGTAATAGAAGCCGAAAAACCAGCAGATGAGGGGCGTTCGGCAGCTGCCGAGTTGCTTCTGTCTGGGAAGCTCACGAGACATCCCATTTTTGGGCCGGGCAAAGGACCAAACTACAATGGCCCTTATGCCCGATGGGCTCGACCGCAGAATACTGAGCCTGACAAGCTCGCTTTCACGCCCCTGATTCCAGAGGTGCAAGCCACTCAGCTTGATGGATTGCCCCCTCGTGACAGACGCGGACTAGACAAGAACACCCGAAAGAGATTATACAAACTCATTGAACTGTCAACTATTCGAAACCAGAAAGTGGGCAAGAACAAACGGAAACGAGATAGCAGCACATTCTCACGATCATCGAATTCCATCCGAGCCGCATCTACCCCCAGGCCCTCCCCAAAGAAACCTGTTATTTCGGGCTTCAATTCAACATCATCTAGAAATGTATCGCGTGATGTTACAGCAACACCTGTTTCTCGAAGGCATCTTTCCACCGTAGAGCCTTTCAAGATCGATCCAAACAATTTTGTTGATCTAACAATCGATTCGGATGAAGATGGCCCGATGCAGGAGGCAGAAACCACCGAATGGGATACGACTGAGGCCGAGGATACATTAGAGGAGGACTATTGGTGGCCCGTGAATGTGGACCCAAACCTCAACAGTAGATCGAGCTGATCTAGTATTGGGTCGATCAATTGATTATTAGTATTGTTTTGCCGGCATGTCTGAGAAATATCATTGGCTATCAACATAAAGAATTCATGTATGTTCTATAAGTGGTAGATTAATGAATGCTAAAGCGTTTCAATTCCAAACCCAAAATGTTGAAAAAAAGGTCAATCATGTACCTGCATACTTGTCCAGATCCAGATTTGTTCAAAGGAATTTTTGATACCTCTGGAGCATGACAGGTATATTATAAACCAAATTAGCCAAGGTTCTAACCCCTAATTCTCAAGAACAGAAGAACGTTGTGTAAGATATAACTATTTTAGGAAGCGCTCACAAGTAGTCATTAATAGTCTGCAGTTTAAAAGAAAACATGACAGCAGCCATCCAGCCAAAACCAAAACCCCATAGCTTGTACGAAGTACATTCATGCAAATCGAGAGAAAAATCCTAAACATATGCAATTAATCAAAGCCCCCACCAAAGTCCCCTCCGCCAAAATCTCCGCCATAGTCTCCACCTCCATCAGCATACCCATCCTGGTATCCATTTCCATAATCGTGATGACCACCAAGGGAATTAGCCAGTAACGCGCCACCTAACATTCCTCCACCCAGACCCAACGCTGCGGCACCTGCCATTCCCATACCAGCACCACGCCCACCACCCATCCTGCCTGACTGTACGGCAGGCGGAGGACCAGCGTGGTATGGCTGCTGGTATAATGGTTGACCATACCCGCCTTGAAGGGGGGCGACGCCGTATGGTTGTTGTGGTGGAGGATAATAACCAGGCTGTTGTTGCTGGGGCGGTCCTGGTGGCGCACTGTAGGGCCGGGGCGATGAGGACTGTTTGGCCTTGTTCAACAATTTCCCGAGGAATCCACCTTTTCCACTCTTTCCACGGGTCGTCTCCTGCTGAGGGGGAAAGGGAGAAGGGGTCGGAGATATTGCCGCATAATTTTGATTCTGGTCAGAAGCCCTTGCGTTGTTCGCGGGTGTATTATTCGCTTCAAGCACGGAGTCATAACCTTGTTTCCTAGCGCGCTCATTTTCTTGTTCCTGTAGCTCCGCAGCTAATTTAGCATCATCGTCCACGTTGCTTTTGGAGTCTGAAGCGATGACTGGATTCTTTTTATCTGATACTGCGAGGTTGTTTGAGCTTGAACCTCCAGTGACATGAGCTTTGTAAGGGTTATTCGATTCAAGTTCAGACGGACGGGATTCTGGTCGTGTCTTTTGATCTGTAGTGGAAGTGATGGGGGCAGCTGGGCCACTGGAGCCTGATGCTTCATATGATGGAGGAGCGTCGGCAGATACTGGAGGAGCGTCCCACTGGGAAACACCGGTACTCAAATCCACAAAATACCTAGGATAATATGGTTAGTGATACAGTATATCACCCCCGCCATAAGCGTAGACTCACCATTGCTTGTAGCCATCATGATATTGGGCTTTCCACCCCTCCGGGACTTGGGGAGGGGGAGGGGAAGAAGGAGGGGCAAACGACATCTACAAATAGTGTGAAATTCGCAGACAATCGAAAAATGAGAAAGGCTTAAAGTTAGTGTCGGTGTCTTAATCCTGCAGCAAGATTGAGGATGTGGAGTGAAGTGGAGATGACGTGCAGATATATGGCCGGCTCGGTGACGTAAGCGCAGGTCAAGAACGATGTGCTAAGCCACCCTCATTTGTGGCGCATACGTCACGTGGATAAGCGCCAAGCCTATAATTGCTCGCGCCAGAGGTGACAGGAAGGGCTGTACAGAGTATGGCGCAACTGACCCTAAGAGGGCTGCGATTTCAGAAACGACAGTTGAACGCCAGGCATGCTATTTTATCGTAATAGAAAGCAATAGTACAATAATATATAGGTAATAGATTCATCTCCTCCGTGCATCGTCCGTGGTTTCCCTGGCGGTGCTTGTAGCTACTCTGGCGGCCTCCATTGGACCAGGGCTCGTCCCTGCCATCCATCCTGCCAGGTCGAAGCTTGGTTTTGGAGCACTCTTTGAACCGCTGCCAGGAAGAACACCAGCAGCACGCTGTTTCTCGAATTCCTCACGTAACTCCGGGTCCACTAAAGACGGAATAGGCGGTTAGGGCCAGGCTGAGTTTTACTATGCAGAGTGAAGGGCAGGGTGCAGAGAAGGAACGTATATGAACGTACTATTATCCATCAAATAAGGCATTCCTACGGTGACTCCAAGGGCAAAGATGGCAAGGAGAATCATTGGGTTCTTGAATAGGCTGAGGGGAGAAACTATTTGAGGAATAAGAGTCAGTATTTAGATCCAATTTGAACGTATATTCGTCCAGATTGGACCATCAGCATGGTCACTCACATCCTTCCCGTTCCTCATAAAACTCTCGCTTGGCTAGCACCTTTGCCTCAAAATTGACCAAACCCGATCCTGCACCTGCCGCCTTCTCCACGCCTTTGTTATCCCATGGATTCCCACGAAATGTCTCCCAGACTCCGATCACATTGCCATCCGCACCAACATCAACACGATACGGCGCGAACACATAATCTCGAGAGTAGATATCTAGCAAATATGACGTCCGCTCTTTCGAATCTGGGCTCGGCCGAAGATCATGGAAAGTTATGGACGAGGATCTCGATAAGGGAGCCTTGAGTAGGGCCCGTTGAGGAGAAAGCGTGGTTAGAGTGGCATGGGTTGAAGGTGGAAGCACTGCAGGGTTCGGGAGAAGGTTGGACGAGGGGATCGTAATGGTGAGTACTGAGGCGGCGGATATATGAATAAGAAGTGAGAATATCAGCAGCAGTGAGGAGCGAACATTTGAGCGCTGCATGATTCCTGCTTCGGGTAGAGAACCGGGCTGCTGTGTGCCTATCTGCTACGGATTGTTGGTCGTTTTCCTCAAGTTTCGTACATACTGCTTAAATGCTTACATAAGCGGATATCACATGTAGCTGACCAGCTGAAAAGAACTAGCTTACAGAAGCACAGCTTTGGGAAAGAGTATATAAATATGGTATTCTACAATAGGTACAGGATCGAAGGGAACATAACCTCCAAAGTTCCCTCCACAGAACATATAAAGGCCGAAGAGAAAGGGGAACGGGTATATGTAAATATGCAGCCAAGATTCTATAGCTTGGCTCTCAACGTGTTGCTGCCCTCGCCGTTTTGAGGGGCAGTGGCATAAAGCTCGTCCAAGAGCTCTCGGAATGCTTTGGCAGCCTGAGGTCTTTTGAGCTTGAGCCTATACGACAAAATTAGTCCGCAGTTTGATAGTAGACAAAGAAGAATATACATACGTTGGAGTCAAAAGGCCATTGTCAATTGAAAACGGATCCACCAGCAATGCAACATTTTTTACTCGTTCGAACCCTGAAAGTTTATGTTTCTTGCCGGCCCGATCAAGATCCTTCCTTACGGTGTCAAGAACCTTTGGATCCTTGGCAGCCTCACGCAAAGCATCCATGTCGGTGGCGTCAAAGGTCTTTTTCAGAACCTTCCCTGCGAAAGTAGCGAAAATATCCGGCTGAATACCGAAAATGGCGACAAGGTGTGTTTGGACGCTGTCTCCATGAACAAAAGATTGAGCCAGGTATGGACACGCACTTTGATAGATACCTTCGATGCGTTCAGGGGACACATACTCTCCCTGGGCGAGCTTCAAAAGGTTCTTACGGCGGTCGATGATGGTAAATCGGCCATTTTCATCCACCATGCAGACATCGCCTGTTTTGAACCATCCATCTTCGGTCATTGCCTTTGAAGTTTCCTCTGGGTTTTTATAGTATTCTCTGAAAATTGAGTTTCCGCGAAGGAGCAATTCGCCTCGTGGGTATGGTTTATCATCAACGGAATATTCCATATCTGGTAATGACAACAAGCAAGCCTCTACGACAGCACTGACACCACCACAGTGACCTGCAGTCAAGTCCTGCGGCGATTGGCACATTGCAACGGCAAAACTTTCAGTCAGTCCATAACCCTGAACGATGGTGGTAGCAAATGCAAGGCGTAAGAATTGATGAAGAGAGCTATCGAGCGGTGCGGAACCTGATACCATGTACTTCATGCGCTCAAAACCAAGTCCAGCGGCAACTTTCTTGCTCCAGATACGATCGTATAGGGCATGTGTTGCAGTCGCATTTTCAGGCTTCGCACCAACCAAATTTGCAGTCTTGGCGGAAACAACGTGTCTTGACAGAGCACCTTTGAAGCCAGGTTGTTCCACAGTTGCCGCGCGAATAGCTCCACCAAAGCGGCCATACAAACGCGGAACAGATGCCAAGATAGTTGGTTTTAGGAGTTTGAAGTCGTCGACAAGTTCTAGAATGTTTCCGTGGAAATATCCAATTCTACCACCAGCCCACAGTAACGTTTGTTCAATCATCCTTCCATAGATATGGGCTAACGGAAGATAGGAACATGAGATATCGGAGGACGTTTGGAGGATAGTCGATAAAGAGGTCGAAGCAGCAGCTACAGCGTTTGCATGGGTGAGGACAACGCCCTTTGGCAAACCAGTAGTACCGGAAGTATAGTTGATCGTAATGATATCATCCGGGCGAGGAGGATTGTACGGTCGGTTGAGAGAAACGCCGAGCTTTTCGACTTCATCTAAAGTGTAGATCGTCACGCCAGCTTCGGCGGCTATAGGGTTTAGTATATCTCGTTTTGAGTGGCCCGCTTGGTCGTTCGAATCCAAAGGATCAAGGCAGACGATGAGTTTAAGGGAGGGTAGCGAAGGCTTCAGTTTTAAGAGTGTAGGAAGATGGGGAAGCGATGCGACGACGCAGGCTAACTCCGCATTCTTAACAATAAATTCGGTGGCTTCGGGGCCCAGTGTCTCGTACAAAGAGACGGTAAATAATGATTGAGACATGCAAGCCAAATCTATGCAGGTTAGAGCGCGACTCAAACCGACACAAAGCGGGGAAATCCTTACCAGTAATCTGCCACTCTGGGCGGTTCTGGCACCAAAGTCCAACACCGAAGCTCCTGTCCTGGATACCGATACGGCGGTGCAGTTCAACCAAGCCAACGCCAACAGCTGCACGACGTTTTTGCACTGTTTCATAATCCATCCATACATAAGGACCAAAATTCTGCTTGACAGGGTCCCACGGGCGCCATCCTAGACAATGATTTTTTGGCTGACGAAGGGCTAAAAAACCGGTCAGCTCCATGTCTCGTTATCTGTCTATAAAGCTAAAATATATGCCTACCAGTGCTTTCAAACATGTCATGTCCAGTGCGGACCTATGTGTTTGTGGAAAACAGTTAGTTCAGTACTACCCTCAAGTTCGGTTTATTCAGCGTACCTTAGGATCTAGGGTCTGAAGCAACTCTCCACTCCCAATTTTCCAATGTCGATACACTTTCGATCGTCCTGGCTTTTCTGACCCGGGAATAGGAACGGCATCAGGTGTTCCTTTAGGGCCAGGTTTAGAGAACTCGAGGGCTCGAGCCTTAAAAGGCGCTTCGGGAGTTGAAAACATGGCGATGCGGCAGATCTGCGGTTCTTGTCTTCACAAGCCAAAGAGGTCAGAGATTGGCAGTCCAGGATGCAATGCAGGCGATCCCAACGCAATGAACAAGCGGGCTGCGAGAACGCCGCAATGTAAGTGCTTATGAATGTACACAGATATGAGCCACACCTTAATATCTATCTAGGAAGCGCTTTTTGAACAGCTATTCCGGCTCCCTGAGCAGCCGGTGCACGTGGGCAGAAAGCGGGCGGACGCAGAGGAGAAGTTGCAAACCAGGCTGCCAGAAGTAAAGGGAATAATACAAAGCTTCAATAAAGAGCTGTGAATAAGTAATCTAAGCAGTTGAGCAGCAAAGAATAGGAGAGGCAGCCAACAGAGAGCAACAAGAGACGGGCAAGCACAAGCAAATATGAATGAAGGCAGAGTTGGGGCGCTCGACATGTGGACAGGGAACCGCGCTGCTGCTCGGTTCAGCTTTCTCTCTGGCGCTGGAAGTCCGGGGTGCGTCTTGGCGTACACAAATAGGCGCGGTGGGCCGAACAGGGGGGATGTACCGGTCGGTATCTTTATAGCAAATTGAAGGCGGGAGATACTTTTGGCTACTCGGGACATGTTAGCCACTGCATGTGATGCGACAAGAAAGCGCACCGCGCTACTCCCCAGATTGCCTGACTAACGAAGATTTCGAGGCCGTGATTGGCTCGCGCGGCCCCCATGCATCGGCCGAGGGCGAGCTCACGTGGTTTGAGCCTCGGCACATCCGAGTCGCGCAAACCGCCGCCCGGACAACGGCCGCAGCCAACGCCAGCTGCCACGACGGTCAGCGTCTTAGTCGGGGTCTCCGAGCGTTGACGCGACGGCCCATCGAGGGCCTTGGCGCGGCTAGGGCTCCAGGGAAGCGACAGGCCTTCAAGCGGCCCGACGCGCAGAACCGGCTACAGGGGGGGGAGCTGAACACCACGGATTCTAAACCTGTCGGCCCTACCAATCTGTTGTGCAACGCTATCGGAAAGCTGTACAACCCTGGTAGGGACCTATGGCCTGAAGGAAGCAGAGAGCCAGGGACATGGCTGTATGCCGAATGGAGGTCCACTACCTCCGCACTTGGGATTCCAAGCCAAGGTCGATGGGCACGGCTTGGGTTCTTGGAATACGGAGTAGTTGCTTGGTGAAATAGTAGTGGTGTCCATGTACTCCGTAACCAGATGGCCAATTCGCAAACAATAAAGGTGTATTTATTTGGTAGTTGGCTAGTTACTCCATAAGGATGCAGCGAAAAAGGACAAAGCTATGAACCTAAAACACCTAACTTCATTCCACATGCTCAAGGCTTCGTAATGACACCGAGAAAGCGCATTGAAATATGCGCGAGAGCGATCTAAGCATCGCGAGCGATAGATAATGCCAAGAAATAAGACGCAGTTTTCCACGCGGCATAGTCTGTGAGTCTGGTTGTTCATCTTGGCGCCTTGTATACTTAAAACTACCGCTTCACGATTCCATCACACAATTCTATTGTTCATCAGTTTCGAGTACGGTCAGGAAGAGTCTTCTCATCGACGCCAGCGGCTGTACTAACAGCAAAAGACTGTTCAAAGTCGGCAATAATGTCGTCAATGTGCTCAGTGCCGACGGACAGACGGATTGCATCCTCTGTTACACCAGAAGCAACCTTCTCCTCGTCGCTCAACTGCTCGTGCGTTGTGGACCACGGGTGAATTGCAAGGGTCTTGGAGTCGCCGACACTGGAACGCCACTTATGTTAGCAACATCAAAGTGTGATGCCCAGGATATATTCTTACTTTGCAAGGTTAGAAATCAGCTTGAAGTTATCCACCACTTGACTGCCTGCAGCAGCGCCACCCTTGACACCAAATGAGAGTACTCCGCCAAAGCCGCTCTTAAGGTATTTCTTTGCGCTCTCGTGGCTGCTGTGACTTTCCAAACCGGGGTACGACACCCAGGCGACATGTTCGTTCTTCTCCAACCAACGAGCAATTCCAATAGCGTTGCTGGCATGTCGCTCGGCTCTCAAGCTCAGAGTCTCAATGCCTAGTAGGAGTTGTTGAGCGCCGAATGGGTTCAGGGCAGCGCCCAAGTCACGAAGAATTTCAACGCGGACACGAATAGCGAACGAAATAGGACCAAATGTGTCCCAAAATTTAAGGCCATGGTATCCCTCAGATGGCTCAACGAATTGTGGAAACCGCTGTGCGTGTTTTCCCCAGTCGAATCTGCCGCTGTCGACAATGATACCTCCAATGGTTGTCCCGTGGCCGCCGATCCACTTGGTAGCGCTATGTACAACGATATCGGCACCGTGCTTGATGGGCTGGCAGAAGTAACCACCAGCACCAAATGTGTTATCAACCTATAAACCTGTCAGTGTCCTCCTTTTCTTCACAAGCTTGTTTTATCTTGACTGTCAAAGACGTACAATGAAAGGAACACCCTTTTCATGAGCAACTTTCGCAATAGCTTCGAAATCAGGCACATTGTATCGCGGGTTTCCAATGGTTTCAACATACACAGCTTTCGTGCGATCATCAATAGCGGCAGCAATTTCCTCCGGGTTCTCTCCCTTCACAAACTTGGTCTTGATACCTAGGCGCGGGAGCATGACCTTGAACTGGTTGTAAGTACCACCATAAAGGTTTGTGGTGGAAACAATGTTATCGCCCTGGTGCGCCAGCGCAGCAATGGCCATAAACTGAGCCGCCTGGCCGGATGAAGCCGCAACGGCAGCAACGCCACCCTCAAGGGCTGCTATACGCTTTTCGAAAACATCGACCGTAGGCTGTTGGAGGTTGTACCAAAATTAGTTTTTGTAAGAGAAGGTTCCAGCCGTTTAGGTTTGTGAGATCTTACGTTCATGATACGGCTGTAGATGTTGCCGAATTCCTTAAGGCCGAAAAGTCTAGCGCCATGGGCAGAGTCGTTAAACGTGAAGGACTAACAGACGGCATTAGCGGCGGAGGACGACACGCCGTTTTTAACGGCATTAGAACTAACCGTCGTAGCATAGATTGGAACTGCGCGAGCATTTGTCGCCGGGTCGGGTTCCTGGCTGGGTGTCACAAAGTTAGCGGGGCGGACAGGCGGGAATGCGGGAATGTGGGGAAGCTCACCCAGCATGAAGCTGAAGAGTCTCGAATCGATGAGAAAGATCGTTCGACATTTTGGAAAAGATAGAATTTCTTTGAATATATCTAATAGTGAACGTAGTGCTCAATGCGAGGTCGTCGATGGGTCGCAAAGAGGGGGGTGGCGGGGTATGCTGCTTTTATGGGCAGCGATGCGGTACTGCAGACAAGGGTACCAGGATAGTTAAGGGAGTGACCGGATAGGTACATGCTTGAAGGTGCAGAGACCAAGGCTTATATACAGACAGAACTGCCCTCAATAATACTGAACCAGCCGATCATCGGCAGACGAACTTGGGCGTTCTAAAAAATCGGCCTGATGGCGTGATTAAAGCTAAATTTCGCCGCGAGCCAGCTTTGCGTGCGCCCTTTTTTCCCCCGCTCCTCTAGTAATTTCGAGATAGCGAGGCGATGCATTATTGCTGTCGGGCCATGGGAATTAACTGAGGAGGAGGTGTCGTGTCCAAGCGCAATTGATACACCCCGTATTGCGGTCAGGATTAGAAGAAAAAGCGAGTCACTTGCCCACCTTTTCCCCAGCAATGCCTTGGAAAGGCTGCCAGCGATTGGGAGGGCCCAAGAACGGGTAAAATGCTGTGGTTTGGTAACGTGGGTGCGACTGGACGGCGTTGCAGCTGTGATAGGTTCGAAAACACACAGCGCCCCGGAGATACTGGAGCTGATATGTCTTGCTACTGTCAGTGCCTTCGAGGGTACCCATCGTTTTAAACTGTCAAAATTGAGAGGTTCTCTGGTATCCCAATTCTTTGTTCAAACACTATAAAAGCATCTTGGGGTGTGATAGGCTGATATCTGCTAGGTTAGTCACAGTCATTTTGCTCCCTTTCTTGATATTTCTGTGATGGCAGAAATGAACAAAATAACCTCTATAATAAGACAAAGGTCAAGCCGCGCTTAGCCAGCGTCCACGCCACGCAATATGCGGGATTCGTCTCAAAGGATAAGGTGGCTCGCAGGAGGCATCGCTTTCCAACGAAGTTCCACTGGAAGAGGTCTAAAAGATCTTTAGGTAGAGCTAGCCTTTTTCTCATTTTATATTTCGTCCTGAATCAGCCTCTTTAAAGATGGGAGTAGAGCCATCCGTTGAAGGCAATCTCCAATTAGGCGTGTGCTTTTTCGGCTTCTTATCCACCTCAGATGGCAACTGGGCCTGTTGCCATGCACGAGAAGTGGGGGGGGTGGTTCCATAGGGAAAGATGGCGATGGAGCCGGAAATTCAGATTGAAGTAGGTTCTTTTTGAGTCTTGTAAAGAAGCAAAAGATTGTAGCCCTTTTCAACACTTAGGGACAATTCGAGCAGCCGTTAAGGGCTGTTTTAAATTTGGCCTGCATGTTGAAACAAACAGGGTTGATATCAAAGAAATAGAGGGGGCCAAAAACCCCCAGAATCACATCTGCCGCCACTCCGCATTTGGCTGTCTTCTGTTGCTGGTCGAGACGGCGTTTGATTTCTGCCTCCTTCCAAGCCTCTGGCCACACCCAAGGACCCGTCTTGTCCGTCTTTGGTATCCATCTCGAGCCAATGGGAGGGTAAAACGAGCCGAGCAGGAAGCGGATAGAAGCGAGGTTTGTGAGCTTAATGTGATTGAAAGCCACACACAAGAGCCATGATTTTCGGGGATTATTAATAGAAGTCTGTTCGCATGACGATCCTTGGCCGGTTAGCCGCCTGCAGGTTACCAGTAAAAACGCCGGGCAGTTGGCAGCTGAAAGTGAGCAATAGACTAGCTTGGCTGCGGAACCTTCGTATTTTGCGCAGCGCTCCTGCGGCTAGTCAACAAGCCAACCATGGATGCTCCGGGCCTGGCTCGCGGAAGAGAGTTACGTCGCGCTGGCCGGTGCGAGGGAATCCTCGTCGGCAGGCGTGCAAACCAGCCAAACAAACAGGCCATTGGGTCACGTCGTTGTGGCTGGTGGACGCGTGGCAGCCAGCTGACTCAGCAGCAGGGCGGCGTATTGGTATTGTCACCGGCTGCGTTCCATGGGCCACTCGTGCTGGGACGGGTGCGGTGGTACCGTACAGGGGCCGTAATGGGCCGCGTCCCGGCCGTACAGGAACGAAAGGTCCTTGCATGAGGTTGCTTGCGCCACAGCGCATGGACTGCGGTTTTGCAGCCTTCTCGCGAGAAGCAACGAAAGCCGAAATGAAGTGAAGGATTCGCCGGATGTGATGTGTATAGTGCTGAATCACGTATAAATAACTGCTGTCTGCTCCGCATCCTGGGCTCCTCCTGCGTTGTTGGGGCTCAGTCTACGCGCCGAATCTCATCCATCACCATTCTCCCACGTCATTGCTGGCGCTATTTTAACCTCTTCTTAGCTGCGAAACGATTGCTGCTGCGCCAAACCTTCTTCACAGGCCAGTCAAGTGACCGACGAAACTCGGGCGTTAATTAAAGGGAATTTTCCCCGTAGTATATAGCCTACCACTCTTCCTTTGTGTCGCCATTTTATTATTGTGCTTACTTGCTCGTGCTGCCTCGATACTGTGTTTGTCTCATCAGCCTGCAGCTACTATAGGTACGTTGACTTCTAGCTCTGCCGCGCAAATCCAAAGCATTTGTATCTGCAACCTCAGGCGCCCTGCCTTCACCTCCAAACGCTTCGCTGATCAATTTTATCACTCTGCGGCGCACGTTGCTAACGGGTGCTCTTCAGGCTCTTCACAAGGCATCTATCACAGACGAACAGTCTTCATCAACCAAAAACCATGAATCAAACCATCACGCTCGGCATCCGCGCCGCCCAGGCGCTTCTAGGCATCATCGTCTTGGGTCTCACAGCATACGGTAAGCGCCCTTTAATCCACTACGACACAGATGCAGGAGCCGCGCCTAACATCAGTCCTTGAATTCTTTTAGTTGCCTCTAACTTCTGGAGCCTCAGTACCTCCAACTTCATGCTTTTTAATGGCGTCTGGACCGCCTTTATCGTCGTGCCATATATGGTCCTCGCCCCGATGTTCTTCCCTGTGGCCGCCCATATTTTTGCCATCATCGCTGTCGATGCTGTTACAATGATTTTCTGGTTCGCCGGTTTCATCGCGTTGGGCGCCGATCTGCCTGGCCCCAAATTCTGCCGCTCAAGTCCTTGCCACTCCCTGCAAGCCGCCACCGTCTTTGGTGCCTTTGAATGGTAAGAACAAAGTGTGATAGGCGTTGAAGTTCTTTAGGTTCCCGTGCTGACTGTCAATCTTTTGTATATAGGATGTTATTCACTGCCACCCTCGTGTTTGCCGCTCTCCCTGTTATCCGGAACCGTGGAGGCCCGAAGCCAAACGAAGGAATCCAACCAGCCGTTTAAGGACTTGGAAACTACGAAACTATAAAAACAGTCATTTCACTTCACTACTTTATGCCCACAAATGCAAGCTATCTTTACTTGCCTATATGACCGAAAATGTCCACACATGATACCCCTTCTCATAATGTCGGCTGGTTGTTGCATTCATGATATTTCATTATTTCTTAATATCTTCCTAGCTTCAGATTACCTTATACTCTTATATTCTAATACCATCAGATGATACTTCGCTCGCTTTCTCTTTCGTATACACAAGGCCGTCTGCTTATATCTCTCTCCCTAGAAGGTATCAATATACATTTGGTGAGTTTTTGCATCTGATCATTTGTCCTTCTACGCGGCCTCAAACAAGCGGACGAGGACGAGCAGGAATCATCAAGAAACATGCTCATAATTGAAAATATACTTGTCACATGGGATCAGAACTTATGGACTCTCCATACTCCTACAGTCCAGGATATCATATTAAAAAAGCCTTATAATGTGAATGATTATTCTTGGATTTCGTCTTAAATTCGACATGTTCATCTACTCCTTATGCAGTATATTCATTTCCAATACTAATTACGTAGTGCGCCATAGAATTGTAAATCCATTGGAAAAAGTTACAGGAGGAGGATTGAACGCAGTAGGAACCGCTGAGCATATCGCCAGTAGTCTCGTATTTACAGTACGATAAAATGTTGACACGCAAAATCTTGGGATATTATCTAAATCATTAAAGTGAACTGGGAGTGGTTCTTAAGATAATTGTGTCTTTACACACACACAGAGGCTCCTTTATGCAGTCGTTATCCATCAAATGTTGTCCTCTAGAAGAGGAACAATCGTATTGTGCATCAAGATTTGGATGCCAGGAAATCAGCAGCCTATTTCATGCATTTATGTGAGTAAAGTCTTCAATCAAACACCAGAGACACCAGCAGGATTAGTAACTTACCTTGTCAAGATTATAATCAAACTTCTCCAATGCTGCCAAAGATTCATCACGAGCATAGCCCATAGAAGTCAAACGTTGTAGAATAAGATCATCCTCTCCTGATTCCGCATTCAACGCCCATCCGGGCTGTTTAGTCTGGGGCGGAGGGCTCGCTGTCGCCTTAATATTGGCTTGTGAAGGCTCCGTAAATGTGGGTGGTTCGGTAGTTTTGGTGTTTGTGCTTGCCTTTCCTGTATCGTTTTGCCCCTTGGCTTCGTCAAGAACAGAGAAAAGGGCGTCCCAGTCATGAGAAGAGGGAGGTGGTGGAGAGGTTGAAGTACTTCGCTGGGCGGCTGGCGGATTTTCCTTGGTTGTTTGTTGCGTATTCGCTGGGCTGAAGCTAAAAAAATCAGCGTTTGCGGCGCTGGGACCCGATGTGTTTTGCGAGACATTGCTGTTAGTGGCTAATTTAGATCGGGCAGCGGGAGAATCAAAAGACATATCGAAATTCGACGGGTCTTTGTTAAACGATGATTCAAAATCGTCTTCATCATCATCGTCTTCTTCGACTTCTTTTGCAGGTTTGAGGTCCAAGCCAGCGAAAGCAGCTTCAAAATCTGCGGGTGCCTTTGGAGTGGTTTTAGTGGTTACGGAAGGCTGTGGAACGCCGCTAGCGACTGGAGCTCCTGTGGATGATATGACCGAATGGGGGGCATCTCCAGCAGTGGTTGGGTCTGATCTGCCAGGAAGCAGGCTTCCGAACTCGGGGGGTGCTGCGCCAGCAGGTGGCGGCGGTACAGCCGTGTCATAAGTTGGCGGTGATGACTGGGCATTGATACCAGGTAATGGAGTAGAGTTGTCCGTTTTGGCTGGAGTTGAAGTATCTTTTTTTGATGGAGTCACAGGGGCAAAATCGTCGTCGAACCCAGTAGGGCCTTCACTATCAGTACTATCATCGTCGTCATCGTTTAGTTCCCTGATGGGTGGGAATTCAGTTGCTGCACCGCCGGTTTTTGGCTCGCTGGTAGAAGCAGCATCACCTTTTGAGTCTTTCTTCATAGCAGCGAAAGCCTCTTCAAAATCAAGGGCTTTTTGGGATCGAGAACGCTCATGTGTGCGTCCCGCGAAGAGTTCGTCAAAAGAAATGTCTTTTTTAGCAGAATCTGGAGGGGAATGTCCTGTTGGGAAAGCGCCTGGTATTGAAGAAGTGGGGAATTTCTGTGAATCTGAACGATCAAGTGATTTTATTGCTCCATCAAAAGGATTGGTATCCTCCCCTTCTTTGGGGGATACTGTTTCTTTTCCGCCCGGCGAAATGCCTTCCTGGTCGGCCTGTGAATCGCCACCAAATCTACTTGCTGGTGGAAAGGCTTTGACTGATGAAGATTCTGGGTCCAAATGGCCCTGGATAGGGAGCTCGCTGGAAGTGATCTGTCTTGATCGTGGAGGAGGCGGTGGTTGTTCAGCAGGGTCAGGCATCTGATTGAGGGCGGCAGAGGGAGATGCCGCTCCGGAAGAGGGGCCTTCACTTCGTGGCTGAGGGGAAGATGTTTCAGTCTTGAAAGTTGTTGGTGGGGGAGGAGATGCTGTAGGAGGGGAAGAAAATGCTGGACCAGACATATTATCAAATATACTCTGAGCATTATTTTGACCTTCAGGCCCAGAATGACTTGGGGTGAGTCCTTTCTCAGTGGATGCACTTGCGCTTCTTTTGAAGAATGGATTTGTTGCTTGGCTCACACTAGACGCTGCAGGGCTTGTGACATCTTCTGAGCTGGGCATGGGATTCTCAACATCAGGCGCGCCTTTATTGGAGCCAACTTCTTCTTGAATGCGGTCTCGTTCTCCTTCAACAGTGGCAAGTTGTTTTTTGTTGATTGCCGCCAGCCCCTTCTGTTGGCGAGCTTCGGATCTAAGCTTTTCGAGCTGCGGCTTAAGTTGGGTTAATTGAGCATTCGCCAGACGTATTTTTTCTTTCAAGTTTGCGTTTTCGCGCTGATCCGCTTCGAGAGCCGCGAAAACTTGATTGTACTGATTTTGTAGGTCCTGACGGCTACCATCGATCATAGCGAAATCTTGTTGTAATTGTCCGGTTTCTGCCCTTGATGCAGCCAGCCGTTCCTCCAAAGCCTTGAAGTCTTTCACTTCTTGTTCATACATGGCCCTCGCCTGACTAAGCCGAGTTTCGAAGTCTCGCTTTTGTTTATTGGTGCGTGCTAGGTCTTCCTCTGAGTTCCCACGTCGATCCTGAACATTTTGCATTTCCCTCGAGAGTGTGGTAACTTGGTTGGAAAGGTTGGCAAGTTCTGAGGTCTCCTGCGTCAACTTCTGGCTTTCTTCCGGATCAGTATCACCGAGAAGGTCGTCCGAGGGGGGGACTGGGGAACGCGGCTGGGCACCAATGTTCGATAATCCTGTGGTTTGAGGTGCCAAACTCTGACCAAATGAAGACGATGGAACAAAAGGTTTGAATGTATTAGATGGTGGTGCACGTGTGGGAGATGACGGGACCTGAAAAGAAGGATTTGATCCGCCTGTTGACTGAGATGTTTGGATGGGCGATGTGAATACGTCAAGTCCGAAAAGATCTTCAGTGGCAGATCTAGCTCCAGTGATTTGCGGCTGTATTGTTCTGGGAGGCGGAGCAGATTGCCGGCGCATGCTTGGAGGTATCAATGCTGGCGGAAGAGCTTGAGGTAGAGCTTCCCTGGTAGCCCTCTGTTGTCTAACCAAATACATTGCGACTGCAAACTCCTCTCGGCTCAGCTGGCCATCCGAGTCAATATCAGCTAAGTCCCAAATCTGTGCCAAAACTTCTTCTGACAATTGAGCGTTTGCAAAAAAGCCAACGGCATCGTCTCCACTTAGGTAACCAGCTTTCTGCCTGTCGATCGTGGAAAATATCGAATCAAAATGGGCTTTTTCTTGTGCCGTGATAAGCCAATCGCTCCCAGTCATATGACTAGATACGGGTCTTATTGGTGGACGACTGAGAGGGCTTTGTGTCCTATTGGGCCCAGGGCCGCTGAATTGTTTTGGTATAGCTGGCACGGGCGGTACATCCGGGGCCGGGCGTGAGCCGCTAGGCGTGCGCACACTTCCCCGTCGGCCAGCTGCATCAAATAATCCCGGGGGTAAAGTTTGCGGTAAATTGCGTAGGGTACCCGTCTTGGACGCTGTTAAGAGGTGCATGGCGACGATGAACTCGGTAGCGTCTAAAGCACCCCGTTGTTTTGTATCTGCTAGATTCCATATACGTCCAAGAACTTCATTTGGGAGCCGCGCGCGCTCAAAAATTTGTTTTGCCGTCTCACCTAGATTTATCACGTTAGAAGTGTTGGTTCTAAATGGAGCTCATTGGCTATTATATACCGGAAATAAGTCCATTCTGGGTCTCTGATCTCTCAAAAAGCGAAAGGAATTTAGCAGTATCTTCTGGGTTCAATGGCGGTACCCTAGCTGGACCAGGACCAGGCGGAGGGCTGGCGGTCGGTATAGGCGGCGTTCCAGGAAGGCCGGTTTGTGTAACATCCAGTGTGATACCTGTAAACTTCGGCAATGGACCAGCTAGCAAGGCACAGCCAAGAAATCAGCGCCGAAATACCAATAAAAGAAGAAAAAAAACCTTACGCTGATATGCCAACTCTTCAGATGGGGAACGGCCTGCTTGAGCATGGCCAATCAACCGCAAAACGATACCAAATCCCGACGGTGTCAAAAGCCCGCGATTCTGCTTATCTGCGATTTGCCATATCTAGAAACGGAAATTCGTCTGTCAAAATCCAATTCGAGACATGGATAACCCGCATCTTGCTTAAGAGTGGGAACCCCCCTTACCAGACCAAGCGTTTCCGCGGGTAGATTCGTCTTTTCGAAGAAGGAAACGGCGACTTCTCCAGTAACAACGCCCAGGTTTGTCTTGTCAGCGGCCTGGAACAACTGATAAAACACCCGCTTCTCTTCGGCCGTCAGGTTGAGGTTTGGATGTGATACTATAATAGACGCACGACTTAGCAACAGGCCTTGCAGGAGCTTCGAAGACAAAGAAAATTGGAGAAAGTAAAACTAGAGAAGAGTTCTCACCGTCGGCCATGACTATATATCCCCCTCTGGGATGATAGATCCCTGAATGTCCTTTGCGCGCGGCAATACGTATACCACTTTCGGCAGCTTGTTATTAGAGAGACAAAGTAAGTAGCAAAACAAAGCTTTTTACGTGGAAGCAGAAACAGCCACGCAAAAGTCTTTGAAAGTCAAGAGCGGTAGAATAATGGCGTCCTTCGGTGATGGGGCTTCACGAAACGGCTGTTTGCTCTGCCTGATCTTTGTCAGGAGGTCCCCAATGGCTTAAGCCAAATCGGCGGTGCATGCTGGGATGTGGCTGCGTCCAATCAAAATACCCCAGTTGTGGCTTTATGCCAAGAGTATACTAAGGCAACTAGCTTGGTATTATATAATCCATTCCGACGTCATGGCTGGTCCTGCAACGGTTGCAAACAGCAAACGTTGTCAACATCAACAAACGCTTCTGGATCTGCAGCTGCTTAGAGACAACCGGAGCCGAGTTGTCTTATGAATATATTGATATCTACACTAACTCAGAGCTGCAAATTTCTCCCAAAAACCTACTGATCCATCCCCCATATCTCTTTACTCCGTCCGAGCGATAAGAACCTGTAGTCTGATTGACGGTCGTTGAGGACCACCGGCCAAAAATGCATAGAATTAAGCAGGACTTTCGGGTTTATGAGGCTGTTAGGAGAGAATGCGATATATATCGCCCAGTACAGAATCTCGAGAATATAGGTTCCTTACGGAGTACGGTTCCAGTCAACACCACTGCCTACTACAGCTTTTCATGGCATCGCTTGGTCTTTACGAATGGTTATCAGAGAAAGACAGCAAGTGCATATTATTACTCATTGCCAGGCTCAAAACAATTAGTTTAGCCTCCTTAGACTCGTGAGTCTCCCTGGTTCCTGATGTGGCCATCAGTAGATTATTCGAAGCTGTGTGGATTCCGAAATCTTCTTCCCATACAGAGTATCTAAATTGAGATGTCTCTAATACACCCGTGATGGGTTCTATCCGCTCAATATGCCGTACAGAGTAATTTAATGCCGGATGGAAATAATAACATTTTGAAAAGCCATTGTCTCTGAAAAACATAATAGCCTAAAATGGATTAAATTTAGTATTTACATGTTTCAAAAAGTATACTCCGTATACCTACCTCAATTGTGGACCTGTTGATCCAACCCATAGTCCACTATTTAGGACTCATTTGTGGGAAAATACAACAGCACCGACAGCCTACATCTAATAAGGCGTTCACCTTTCTAGCTGAATGGCTAAGTCGGCTGATATCATTTCGTCCCCCCCTTAAAATTACCATGCCACTTTCAGGCTACCAAGATCTTATTTCAACTAAGCTTTGGCTCTCTTATCACTCTATGACATCTTAGACATGTGAAAAGCAAGTGATATGGCTGAGCAGACCTCGAAACCTTAGATTTGCATTTGTGAATCTGATCTTCTATATGCTACTCTTGACGGGAAATCCAGGCTTGAAGCAAACAAAATAGTTCGCAGGCAGAGAAATTATCATACTCAGAACATTGAACGAATAAATTCGAAGTTTTTTGCTACAACGCTTTTATAAAGGCTTGGTAGGTGCTTGATTAAAATGTTAATGAAGGGAGAAGGGTTAGCAGGTGCTCATGGGCATATTAGAAACTGCTTGACAAAAGATTTAGTGTTAAAAAGAATAAAACTGAACAGAACCATTGGCAGGTGTCAGTATTCTTCTTCCGGTCTATCTTCCGGAGAATCCCTGGCAACTTCATCATAGTCGCGCTCAAGAGCAGCAAGGTCCTCACGAGCTTCGGTGAATTCACCTTCTTCCATGCCCTCGCCCACATACCAGTGGACGAAAGCACGTTTAGAGAACATAAGGTCAAACTTGTGAGCCAAGGCTGACCATGCTTCACTGATGGCAGTGGTATTAGATAGCATGCAGCTATATCCTATCAGCATGGTATCATTGATCGCAAGCTCTGGAGACACTTACATAGCACGGCTAACCTTAGCAAGATCTCCGTTAGGAACCATTTGTGGCGGCTGGTTGCAAATGCCAATCTTAAAGCCAGTGGGGCACCAGTCGACAAACTGGACAGTGCGTTTTGTCTTTAAAGTTGCGACGGAGGCGTGCACATCTTTGGGAACGACATCTCCTCGGTAGAGCAAACATGTAGCCATATACTTACCACTTCGAGGGTCGCATTTCACCATTTGAGTAGAAGGCTCAAAGCAGGCCATTGTTATTTCATGTACTGAATTTGCTTCGTGGGCAGCTTTGGCCGCCGAGACTATTGGCGCATATGATATCAAGGGGAAATGGATTCGAGGGTACGGTACCAAGTTGGTTTGGAATTCAGCAAGATCGACGTTCAACAAACCGCTAAATCGGAGAGAGGCAGTCACGGAAGAGACAACTATATTCAATCTGTATTGGTAACGCGAGTCTGCAAGCTAGAGTCCTAGGGATTGGGGCTTGTTATTTCACGGACCTTGTGCAATCAAACGATTCAAATTTTCATAGCTTGGTCTTTCCACACCCAGGCTCCGGCGGCAAATATCATAGATGGCTTCATTGTCAACCATAAAGCTGCAGTCAGAGTTCTCCAAAGTTGTGTGGGTGGTAAGAATTGAGTTATATGGCTCGACAACCGAGGTCGCATTCTGGGGGGCGGGATACACACAAAACTCGAGTTTTGTCTTCTTTGCATAATCCACAGCTAATCGTTCCATCAGGAGAGCACCGAAGCCGGAGCCGGTGCCGCCCCCGAAGGAATGAAAAATCAAAAACCCCTGTAACCCACCACAGTTATCTGCGACTCGGCGTACTTTGTCTACGACTCGGTCAATCATCTCTTTACCAACAGTGTAATGCCCACGAGCGTAGTTATTTGAAGCATCTTCCTTCCCCGTGATCATCTGCTCCGGATGGAAGAGGCTGCGATAGGGGCCTGTGCGAACTTCGTCGACAACATTGGGCTCAAGGTCACAGTATATCGTTTGAGGGACGTATTTTCCTTGTCCTAGAATACAGCCATTCGCTTAGTGATTGCAGTCGAGAAACGCGATGGGCGCGTACCTGTTTCGGCGAAGAATGTCTGGAAGCTATGGTCTGAGTTGTCGTGCCCTTCAACCAAGTATCCATCTGGCTTCAAGTAAACCGTTCAGTGCGTGTGTTACAAAGTAAATTGCTCTCAATTGACTGACCTTAATTCCATGTTCAAGACAATATAGCTAGGTCGGGGATGTCAGAAAACCATAAATTTGAAGTGCGGGTACACCCATACCTCCCAGCAAGCATTGGCCATCTGGCAGCCAGCCTGGCCGACTATGCAACAACATCTCAGTTAGCATCTCCGGGCGAATGTACGGTGAGTGGGAGGCGTACTATTCAAACTGATGACTTCTCTCATGACGGGCAACCAAATAAGACAACGGCGTGCACTAAAAATGGACCAGATACCAGATCAGAGGATTCTAGAAAACGTCGGCGAAATTTGTCTAGCGAAAAGGGTTCAGAGAGGGTCCGCGTGGAGAAGAAACGGTTTTATATTTCGAAGGTTCAGGAAAAACAAACGGCGCGACATGACCAGCTAGCTGTTCGTCGCCTGAGGTGACAGGGGCGTCTTTCGGCCCAACAACCGCCGGCTCAACGCGCCTCCGCCCGCCAAGCGACGAACTATGTAGAGACGGCAAGCCACGCCTTGTTCTCGCCTGTTGCGGCGACGACAGCTGGCCCACGCAAGAGAGCTGCACTGCCAACACGCTTCACGAGAGGCAGACCAGTACTCCGTACCCAGCCGGCCATCTCCGCAGCCGAAGATATTTGGCGATTCCAGCGACTGTTTGTTCATGTTGTGCCTGTTCGGTACGGAAACTACCGTCTCCCTCCGCGCGCCGCCAATCATCTGGGTTAGTTACGCGTTACAGGGTCACTGACAACCATCTATATCTAGAAGCTTTCGGGGCCCAATGCTTAAAAAACTTGATGATAACAATCTACATTTCCAGTGAGCTCAAATTACTTCTCAGTCAGCTAGGCTACCATACCCTACCATTCAGTTACCAGTGGCTACTAGTGCCAGTGCTTGGAATTACCAGAAAGGCTACCCGGCCACCCAGCGACCCTGTACCCCCTAGTCATAATTTACTAGGTACAGAGTACTCTGTAGTGAACTACATATGTTGTTAATCTTAGCTGGCTAACTGATGTTAATTATCTGCTGGTAATGACCTGGCAGCTTTTTGACCTTATTACCTTACCCTACCATCACAAACGTCTCAATTTTATTATCATTTTTTTCTGAGGCTCAGAAACTATGGGTGAAGACATAGGGATGGAGCCTGAGCTATACCCATGTGTTCCTACCCATTCCCTTCCCCTATTAAACGGGAAAACGACGTTTGTGGATGCTCTTGAAGAGGAGGAGAATATGTTGGTTCGCCTGAGCTATCCCAAACAGCGATTCGATTTCTTTGTTTTAATCGTACATCATGAGAAAGACTTTCAGGATGTCATTGCGAACCATCTAGGATTGACAGGCGATGAAACCTGTCGACTGGGTGAGGTTTCTGAATGGAGGCATGGCAGTTTCAATGTGTGCGTGCCAGTATATGTTGAAAACTGGAAAACGCATCCTGGAAAACGACTGATATTGAGGATCCCTCTTCCATATAAAGCTGGCGAACTGACCTATCCTGGAAATGTAGATGAGAAGATACGCACAGAAGCGGCTACATTTCTTTGGATTCAGGATCATTGCCGCGATATTCCGATTCCATCTTTATGGGGGTTCGGCTGCCCAGGTGGCCAAAGTGTTAGTGTACGCCATTTACCTCATTTTGAAATATACTAAATTGTGTAGTTTATGAGGCTTGAATATGCATCTTTTGTTGAAAAAGCGAAATGGTACTTTCGACGGGTTCTATCAACGTTGTTCGGATTACCTATTCCTTGCCGATATATATGCAAGACTCGTTCAGTGATATTAGACCAAGGTTACATGATTATGGATTACATTGAACCAACAGAAGCAAGAATGTTGTCCGATACCTGGCCTGATCTCCGCCTTAACCATACCCTGAGAACCAATCTTTTTCGGGGCCTTTCTCGGATCATTCTCTCTTTAAGCCAAATCCAACTACCCAAAATAGGCTCTTGGACAATCAATGATCAAGGTTTTCTGACACTGACGAACCGGCCTCTGCTTCATAAATTTCACGCTTTAGAAAACGAAGCCATCGAAACGTTAATTCCAAGAGACCTCACATATGCGACTTCAGACACATTCTATTCGGATATTTTGGCCTGCCACGATAGCCGCATTTATAATCAACCAAATAGCATTCTTGATGAAAAAGATGGCCTTGGACAGATGGCCAATCTTTTTTGCATGCGCGGTCTACTTTCTCATTTCACCAGCCGCCGTTTGAGAAGCGGCCCTTTCGCTTTCAGCCTCACTGACCTGCATGGCCCGAACATATTTGTGGACGATGATTGGAATATCAAATACATTATTGACCTCGAGTGGGCCTGCTCTCTCCCAGTTGAGATGCTTGCCCCTCCGCACTGGATCACGGATTGTGGTGTGGATCAGCTTGAGGGAGACACACTTGAAACGTATGCAAATGCACACGCGGAGTTCACAAAGGTATTTGAAGAAGAAGAGCAGAAATGCTCTCCTTTCTGTGGAAGCAAAACCTACCGTACTGATATTATGAGGAGCAATTGGACCTCCGGAGCCTTTTGGTACTTTCATGCGTTGAACAGCCTAAAAGGGTGCTTTAACTTATTCCAGCAACACATACAGCCGAGGTTCAACCAAGATGTTAATTACGATGGCTTTAGTCAGGAAGTTTTCTGTTACTGGGCTCCTAACGCAAAGCAAGTTATTGCCACAAAACTTGACGACAAAACGAAATATGAGCAAGGGCTACAGCAGCTATTCGATGAACAGATTAAAAATCCAAGTGTGGGTAATCAGGATTGAGCCAGCTGATCGCTTGAGCCCTTTACTCCATATATACAATATACTCAATATACTCTAAATTGGCGTTTGAACCCAGAAGTATCACCCGGTTTCAAGCTTTTCTCAGAAAGAAATCATTATAAAGCTCTTTTAAAAACACCAACGCCAATATGGTGAGCGACGGCTCAAAGGGTCTCCAGATTCCCAGAGCACTGCCAGCTTCAACATCAGCAAGAGACTGCGATTGAATGCTAATATTAAACTAAATGAACGTCAACAATAGGAGTAGGTTTTTGAAAAAATACTTTGAAAAGTACCTGAAGAAATAGACATTTTACGTCATAAAGGATAAATCTCACTGATGGGGAAGGGTTCATAGGTCGAAATTCCGAAAATAATACTATCTAAACCGTTGGATATTTATTTGTTTTTTTAACTTTAGGGTACAAGTATTCAAAATTAAAGTTGATGGTTTTTAGAAGTGTGGCGTTTCTGAAGCTTTTTTGAGTGAAAAACTGGTCTTCCTACAATAGCAGAGTATTGGAACAAGGGGTGTGGTCTCAATATCCCTTTATAGAGGGAAAAAAACATATAACAGCCGGGATTCGCTGGTGGTCACCCACCCAACTACTAGCCGGCCGGCAAGTGGCTGAAGCACGGCCAATTCCTTGGTGGTGGCATCCAGGGTGAGTTAGAGCGTGAGGCTGCTTTAATGATCACCCGGTCTTGGTGATCCAAGGGCGATTTTGGGTGAGCAGGGGAGAGTGGAGGGTGAGCAGCCAATGGAAACATCGTGCTTTGAGCATCGCCTGAAGACTAGCGGTCGCCTCATGCAAGTGTGGGCAAAGATACCACTTGTTGCTGGAAGAAAGAGCTTATATTCTCCAAGTTGCAGAGGCAGCCATTAAGTGCTTTCTCTAAATGTTCTTCATCATCCATGCTGTGGATTATCTCTTCCAGAACAATCACACAAGCATGGAGACACTAGCTGCGGAACGAGAGCGGAACGGGACGGCCCGTATGCCTCCTGTAATTTTGTGGAGTTTAGCAATATCCTGTCTCCACTTTGATCTCCTCGCCTGAAACCACTTCCCCATGTACTCCGTAGAGAGAACAAAAAGCCCTCTTCTAAACATAGCAACATAGACAAACTCAGGAGAGGTCCAATGAAAGTATATCACTGGATTATTTGAAACTATGTACAATAAGCGCAAAAGCAGGTGTGAACAGATCATGTTACGGTCATTTTGGAGTCTAGGGGCCTTATCGCTAGTTGTATGGCTGGCGACATCGCCGGTCACAGCAAAAGATTCGCTCACACGGATCCTCGGCCTTCTGAGCTTCCCGTGATCTTCTTCCCGTTCAACTGGGATGGCGAAGCTCCATTGAGCATCATGATACACGCCAGATTCAGTTGACCCATCAGATTCATCCAAGACAGGCGTTAACTCAGAAAGCGGCTGGTGCTGAGAGAAAGAATCTTGTGAGCATGCCTGGGAGAGCCTCTCATTTGCTGCTTGAATGAATTTGTCTCTTGTTTCCTTTGCCCAATCTCGAGCATTTCGGTATGCAGAAGCACCTTGCCGAAAGCCCTCTTGGTTGCCAGTCATGGCCCATGTATTGACCTGGGTCATGATATACTCAGGCCGAGTCTCACCGTCTTCAGGCCGGGTGATATGGGTAGTGTACATCTTTAGTTGACCACCATGGTAAGTTGATGTAAGAGTGTACGCATTATTATTGTAGATTGGTTCTTGCCGGTAAGATTGTAAGGAATGCATACCCCGGGCACCCAATGCATCATCATAACATGCCTGCCATGTAGCTACAGCAAGAGATCCATCAGGGCCCTTTGCCTCCAAAAACAAGTTTGGTGCCATTGGAAGGTGATCTTGTGTTGATGGGATGATATAATGACCAAGATCTTTCCGGATTTGACGATCAAGCTGCTCAGGGCGCGCGCCATAGAAATAATCTGGCTTGGCTGATGCTAAAGTCCCATCAGTCAAGGAAGCAAGATTCCCAAATGGGTAATCACCCCCAACACACTTAGGGTCATCAATTTCACCCTCAAGAATTGGAATAACAGAAGTGGTGACTGGTCTCTCCTTAGATGCATTTATATCTGCCCGCTTGAACTTTTTGAAATCCCCATCAGAGAATTCCGATGGCGAAAGGGAAGGTCGCGGTTGAGCCAATCTTTCAACTATCTCGTCAAAATTATTCGGTTGAGAAGGAACATTGCCGTCAGGAAATTCGTAGCCATCGGGATAAACGCCATGATCAATTAAATTTTGTTGAAAGTTCCGACTATAGGCTGAAGCGCTTGACGTGTTTGTTGTTGTTCTCTTGCCTTTGGAGGTTGACGACGGAGGAGATTCTGCACCACGCTTCCTACGTCGGGAACGGGACGTACTAGACGACATGGGTTGGTTAAAAGGGTCGCTGGGCATGGGATACTGCATTGAGTGTCAGTGCCAGAACATGACAGCATGAGTTAATCTGTACGTTTCGAAGGTCAGAAAGATCAGGGCCTCCCAGCCTAGCAAACCTCTTTAATCCCTTTTGACAATTGAGCGGGCAAGCAAGGATGAATTCAGGAGCGGACAGAAACGATCCACAGCGAGTCTTTGTTGTGGCTTGGAGCCGAGGTCTGCGGTTTGGAGGCGCTTGGGAATAGATGTTTCTTCGATCCAATTCTCTTAATGCGTTTTTTGTGAACCAAATTTTCGACAGAGCATCCCAATACGCAGGTGCAGACGCGTTTAACTTTCTCCTTTTTGGCTGGCGTTGCGAGGCGGCGGGAGGTGAATCAGGGTGCTGACGCTTGTTGGAAACACAGAAGTTTTCCAAATGCATATACACAACAAACTGCAGTTTACTTGCTTTGCATCTTCCTAAACACTGAGTCTCTGCCTCTGCCTCCCTAGCGCCTACCTTCTGAACACTTGCAAAAATAAAGCCTCGGCTGCGTTGATAATGGCCAGAGCAGTCACAAAGATCAGAATACCGATGTCTACCGACAGTATGATATTGGAGGGAATCAAGAATGAAGTATGTATTTTAGAAAGCCAGTTGCGCAATACAGGTTGCGATGATTGTGAATCCTTAATATGGTCTCCATCGCCAAAGGCAACCCAAGTTGACATTGTCCATAGCCAAGGCGCAATCCGCATATTTGAGAACGGCGACGACTTGTACGTTGACGGAGTTGAGACAGAAGACGCAGGGTACATGGTGATAATTCCGTGGAACACTAGCTGGTGGTTTAGAGTCTCAGGCTCGCTTCGTGTCGGATATGCCGCAGGTAAAAGCATCGTGCAGTGAGCTCTGATCAGATAACCTTTGGGCAGCCGATGATAAACTGATTACGAGCTCATTCGACACGGGTATTGTGATAAATGACGGAGTGTACGGGTTATACGTTTCGGTCAAGCGGATTTTGCCAGAAATCTGGTTTGGCATCGTTGCGATCATTTGAAGGTCTTCAACTGCCAGTTCGTAGACGTCTCCCGTCAAAAAAACTACTCTTATGTGTTAGCCATCTTGTTACGTCGATTTGTACGGTGTATTGTACGGTACCTTCTCCCCCTTGGTGGTGGGATACTTGCAAATTCGATACAAGGTTAGTGACTTAGGAATCAAATTATATGAAACTCGAATTGAGAAACGGAAAACACGTACTTGCAGGTGAAGTATTCTCACTGGAGACCAAAGCCTGGTTCTCTTGCGTAGCAGGCGCCCCCGGCTTAACTCTACCTTTGGCATAACTTCTTGCGATACCTTTTAAAACACTGGTTTCTGTAGTCTCCAGGATTTCCTTGAGCCTGTGTGGTAGGTAGACGCGTATACTTTCTCTATTACTGAGTATTGCCGATGGTCCAAGTCCGGCAACGCAGAGAAGTACTCCCACATCACCAGCGATTTCCTGAGCGGAAGAGTTTGCACGTCTCTTTGTTGAAGCGGTGCGCATTGCCGCTGCATCTGAGCCTGAGGCAGAAGCCTCAACATCTGAACCAAGCAAGCCGCCCACTCCCAAGTCTAAAGATGTTCCAATTGGGTCTATACCCGATTTCAAGCGGGTTGAGGAAATGTACGTCCTGAATTTGATATTTTTTACCAGACTGACCGATTTGCAGCTGGGATAAGGCAACGTCAAAGTTTAAGACAAGAGAAGCAGTGGTAGAGAAGGGCATTGACGAGCTTGATCAGTACGCCTTCGTTGTCAGAACCCGAGCCGGTGAGTGGCTACCCGGATTCTATCATGTTTGTAAACTCACTAACCAGCGTAACAGACATGCCTTCCTTGAAGCAAAGTGTTACTGTTCGCGTTAATTCGGATTTCATTCGGAAAGCCCTACGCCATGTTATGGGCGTTGCGAAAGCCATTGGCTTGCAGGAAGATAAGCCTATTGTATGTTTTGCATAGTGGCCCAGGCAGTAACCAACCAAGCACAGATTGATCAGAAGCTCCTGTATAATTTTCTCCCTGACCTCAAGAGATATGAGGCGAAAGCAGCGGGTGCCTTCGAAGACGAGCTAAAACACATATCTCTGTTTGTCAATTTTATCGCTCACACATATCAGCCAGTGACCCAACAGCTCCTGCCGCAACTAAAAGCTGGGCAAATTGCTTGGGACTTGCTTGGGACTGTCATGAAGCCTGGATGTATCCTATATGCCACATTCTTCGGGACAGGGAAGCCTCGTTGTGTGGTGTTGAATACTGTTGAACAGAAAAAAAACACACAGGTGTTGAGTATTATGAACTCAACTGCAGCTATATTGACTGTGACAGAAAATTACTGGGAAGATCTGGTATTCACCTGATAGTTGAAAAATTTTCAGATCTGCGCGCCATCCATACACTGCCGGTATTTCTGCTCGAATACCACCCCCAACACACGAGAGTAAGGCAAAACCTTATCGAATGCGGGAAGAAATCCTGCGAATTGGTGGGAATGCACATCCAGCATTGCCATGGGACGGCCTTTTTCATGCACAAAGGGGAGCCTGTGCAGGTAAAGGTCAATGACCGTATCGGCATCGATGCGGCATTCTTCTATGAAATGAACCCGAACTACTACCCCCCGCGCGTTGAGACGTCGAGCCCGATGAGGTCTGACACATGGAGATATTTGGTTCGACTTAGATGAACTTGAGAATAAGCAGCGGATGGAAGAGAAAGAGCAATTCAGGAGAGCTGATGCCGATGACTCCAGCATGACTGATGACGATTATTTGATATGCTGTCCCTCGATTCCGGCCTTTAGTTTCAGTGATAATGCTTTCTGTAAGCCCTTCTGCCTGTCTTTCTAGCAACCACTGACATTGTCTCAGACGAGGTTGTTGTCGATGACACCCGCAATATCGAGTGGTCACCAAGTCTTTTCAAGAGCTTGACTAGTTCTGACGATCAGAAACTCCTTCTCATGGCACTCATGAGGACCCAGTTGGGGATTGTCCCCTCTCTCCCATTTGACGACCTTGTCACAGGCAAAGGGAAGGGCTTAAATGTGCTTCTACTGTAGGTCCTTTCTTCATAATCCCTGGTGTGTCACTCATGCTAACTGACTCAGTGGCCCACCGGGCGTGGGCAAAACTCTGACTGCCAAGGCCATGTCCGAGCATTTTCAGCGGCCACTTCACTCGATAAGCTCAGGTTTCATTGACAGCCTGCAATTCCGGCTAATCCATTAGATATCTGCTGCCCAACTGGAAGTGGAACCAGATAGACTCGATGACAATCTCACTCACATATTTCAAATTGCTAAGCGGTTTGACGCCCTCCTTTTACTGGATAAAGCTGATGTCTTCCTCGAACGTCGGGCGTCTATCAATGCCTCCAAGGACGCTACTGTTACGATATTCCTTCGCAAGCTGGAGTATTTCCAGGGAATTTTCTTTCTCACGACGAACAGGGACGCGGAGCTTGATGAGGCAATCCTTAGCAGGATTCATCTGAAACTCAAATACGAAGCGCTGAACCAACGTCAACGGAAGGACATATGGGCGAGGTTTGCCACCCGAGTACGTACACATCAAGGGCCGGTGATGGTGAGCGACACCGATTTGGATCGCCTCGCGATTCTAGACCTCAACGGGCGGGAGGTAAGTCTCTATTGTAACCATCTCGTTCAAGTACTTCCGCTAAGACAGCGAGCCGGATCAAAAACATAATGTCCATTCACACGCACTCGCAACAGATGATGGTAGTCACGTTAATTATAGGTATATCAAGCAGGCCTCGATCTCAAATGAGGATCATTCTCGGGAGTTTAATCGTGTCAGCGGCATGTACATCTAATGTGTATTGTAGGGTTTCGGGATTTTTCTTTATTCCCCTATTCTTTCATATCCGTACAGCGACAGCTGGTTCTGCGCCGAAGTGGCCTTGGTATATATATATATAGATATATCAGACTGGCCTACGGAGTAAATTGACCTTTCATTTGAAAATCATCACGTGAGGAAGCGTCTGGCCAGTCATCAAACAAGCTCAAAAAAAAACATACAACAGCCGGGATTCGCTGGTGGTCACCCACCCAACTACTAGCCGGCCGGCAAGTGGCTTAAGTACGGCTGAGCGGACGGGAAGCCCTGTATTCCACTTCCTGTGGTCGTATGTGACAGGCACAGAAGGAAATACACTATTTGTAGTCCATCCATGTATCTTATGGTCTAGGTAATTTGACTGATATCCGAAAAGAGGCTAGCAGAGAAAAGCTGTTGTAATTAAACGAGATACATAAGAGTACGAAGTAAGACAGTAGTACCTATGTGAAAGGTTTAATCGTTTTCTACTTTATTGATAGGTTGAACCAATGGTCATAACATGACTAGTCTGTCATCGATACTACCATAAATTGCTCCAAAGGGGATACTCACAGCTTAATAAGTTGGTACGTTTATATTCTATAATTCGCCCTTCTTCAAATACGTTCGAGATGTATCCTTAGATATTGATGTACTCCGTACGAGAACCTGCAATGCATATACTTTATATGGAATGAATATTACTGATTTTTCATCAGACTTTACCTCGTGCTCCAAGTATTGGACGCTACAGGAGAGGTGCTTTCACAGGCTACTGAATTTTGAGAGTATTTTGTGAAAATTCGAAAGAGCACCATGCTCTTAAGCAACTTGAGGATATGGGGAGTGCTAGTGTTCTTTTTCCAGATGCGGTTTGCATCTGCAAATGTGGAGAAAACTATTTTTACTGCCCCCCCTGCGAGTTTAACTCGATGGCCTTCGTCGATGTCAGACATTCAAAGCGTGGATTTAAAGAATTTGGACATTCTCTCCCCTTCTATATCATCAATTCGGAAACGCCTTGAAGCTGCGTTTCCATCCGAACAAACTCCCCTCGGTATTCAATCCTGGTTCTTTCTGGCCGATTTAAACCCCGGCCAGCGATATGAACTTCGAATATGCTGGATTGCAACTGTCAGTGTTTATCCTTTTTCTTGTCACTTTATCTCGTGGCCCTATCTGAATCTAGAGAGCTCATTATTATTAGCAACCCACTTCATTCAACCTCAAAACATACACTATTTCTAGCGTTGTCAAATCTCACACTTTATCAGCATCTCTTAAAGCCTATGTAGCGGTTGAACGTCGTCATGCCGGGGCCCAATCCGCCTCCCAGGTAGCAAGCGATAAATCCTCGTTGCTACTTGCCGTGGACGTCTCAGCGGATTACTTTACATTGAACCAGACACTCATGGACCATGTTCCTCCTGTCGTTGCAGACATCATCCTTGATCCCTACGTCTTTAATGTATTTCCGAAGTCTCTCATACCGATTGGTATCTATATATTACTCACATCGGCAATTGCTTGGTACTTATCCTGTTTTGTCCACTCTCGCGTCATGGGAATTATTGACAATGGTACTACAAAGATGCGGAAGAAACATGATTGAGAAAGTGTCTGTGTGGGCGTATGAGAGTAGCCAAAAATCCATACCTATAGTATTGTACAATGTTATATCTACCTTTATGTTTTGAAGAAAAGATATCCTGAAATCTTTATTGGCATCAATATCAAGAAAAGTTCCAAAGTGCGGCGCTTGTCCAACTTCACGTCAAGCTTACTCTGTACATATCCACTCAAATATCCGATCAAATCAATGCCGCCCAAATTTAGATGCTCCAGCCAAAATGCGTCAGTTATACACCAAAACAAAGTCATACAGATAAATAAAAACATAGTCCGCAATATACTCAGTAGTCTCGAAGGACAGAGACGAGATCATCTAGTCGTGCAACTTCACCGAGCAACATCGCCTCCGTAGCCTTCCAAGTTTTTAGCTTTTGTAATTCGTTTGGAGACAGATAGCGCTCCTCGTTCCCTTTTACATCCGTCCGTTCCGTTTTTTCAAGAAAGTATTTCAGTTTTTGGCGTTCAAAGCGTATTCGCTGAAGACATCGAGACATCGCCTTATAGGAGTCTTCGACTACCATCATACGAGCTCGATCAGGGTCGTAAAACCAAAGGTATATCGTACGAGAAGGCTGCCGTTGAGCGTCACGTGGAACTTCTTGTAACTCAACGAAGCCTGCACCTGCCATCTGTCCCAATAGTTGGCGGAGATCTTTAGATGCCATCAAGCTAATTTCTTGCAGCCGTTTCTCGTCCAGTTTTCCTTTGGACGAGAGTACCCTAACTATACGGACAGCAGCGCTGCCAAATCGGGCTTCGATTATTCGTTCAAGCTCCAGATGGCGAAGTTTCCTGGCCAGATGCCGGTATTCGACAGCCCATGTAATCACACCCGATTGCATTCTTCGCGTGCAGAAAAAGTTTGGTTCCGCTGCAAGAAGAGATAGATGCTGGTCGACTAGATAGTTACGACTTGGGCCACGCGGTTTCAAGCCAGCAGAACCGTAATCTCCACCAGGATCCCCATCCTCATCCCCAGTCCCATTAGCTGCGTCAGGGATTCCAGCGATTGTCCCAGCAAGGTCCAAATCGGAGTCAAGGTCTTTGGAAATTGTATGTAAGTGAACTGAAATGGAATATTGCTCTGCCTCCTCCCCCTCTGGGATCGCTTCAATTCGTTCACGGCATTGCGGAGTTCGAAGTTCGATATGGGAGAGGAGAGTTTCGTAAATATGAGAAGTAACAGAAGTGATGCTTTGGCTGGCTAGATCAACTAATCGCTTATTCCGGAATGCAACGTCAAATTTCTCATAATTGACACGGATTATCATATTCGGCTGTCAAGAATCAGTATCGAGCTGCTTGCATAGACTAAAGAAGTGAAATGACTCACATCCAATGATGCCATATCATCATCAGAAAAATCACCATCCTCATCATTTTCGTCTTCGTTGTCTCCTTTGTACTCGTCTTCATCCACAGCCTCATCAAGCTTTATTTTTTTTCGAGGGGCAGATATGTCGTCATTACCAAGGCGTCGTTTTACGCCCCGTAACATGCTAGCTGACGGGAGGACCCGAGATATTGTGCTATCGGTCCATTCTTTTACTAATTTTTCCGCGTCCTCAGTGAGTTTGGCCTCCAACTTGTTCCCTTTCAGACCATGAGAATCGCCGTTACTTCTCGCGAACTTCAGAGCGGCCTCAAAATTATCCTCCGGGCTTTGAAAATTCTGGTTTCGCACACGACAGATATACCCAAAGGCCGCAAGCTGCTGTAGTATGGTCTGAACCTGCGGTTCGTCCTCGAACTGGTTGTAATCGTTAGGTGCTTTGACTGGTCCGTTCGATTGGCAAAATTCCTTGGTATTCATGTCATCTTTCAATGTACCATCCCCACTAATAAAGTCTGCCTGTTTGCCTTCCAACGTTCCATTTATGCCATTAGCCAGGGAGTACGGTTTCACAACTGGCCGGAGTTCCGGTAGGGTCTCAAGGTAGCTAACTTTCGCATGGCCAAGCGCCAACAACGTAGAAAGAACCTTTGCTGCATGAGCACCTAATCTTTCTTGAACGAGAGATATAGCCTTCCCAGATCTGACCAGGTTGTAAGCTGTTCTCCAGTCGGATTCGTAGTATGTAATTCCATCAGCGACAGAGGTGCAGTGGAAGATCAGGCGCTGTTGTATGAGGACTGCAAGTCCATGCCTGACCTGCCGAGGAGATAGATGGGTGTTCTGAACAATCTTCAGAAGTGGCTGGCGGCCATATTGGAGAAGATAAGAAAATATCAGCTTTGCATAGTTAGCTCTGATGCTGTTTCAATATTGCAGCGAGGAGAATTGACTCCTCTGAGCATCAAGGGACATTACTTACGGAATAGAGCTCCCCAAAGTTATCTGTAATTAGGAGATTGCAGAGCTCTGCGGCATACTACGGCTGATCAGCATCCCACCTCGCACTGCGGGGGGCTCCTCGAAGGCTCAGGCTCACCTGGGACATTTTGTCAGACTTCTAGAGTAATGCCAGCTCCTCTAGAAGGTATTACCGAGACAGCATATACATTTTCATATGTGGAAGCAGGGGAGAGCAGCGATCCGGCTCTGTGCAGCAACAAATTAACACAGCGCAATCGATGCTTGATCGACTCATTGACGGCATGAATTTCACTTTTTGACCAAAATTACCGTCTTAAAACCCGCCGATACGCGCTTGGTCGTGAGAAGCAGTGCTTCACGTGATGTCGGGCGTACCAGGAAACGGTACCGCCAGAAGAGCCAATCAGCGGCCGGCTGATCAAACCTCGCGCCAATTGGCCTGCTGAGATTTGAGTGTTTTCAGGTTGAAGACCGCAAACGACAAGCAAGCGACCCCGACGCTGCCAGCTCTGCCTCGCTATCCTCCAGCCCCTCTGCTCTGTCTCCCTCCTTTCGTCACATGCGATGATGCTGTCGCGAACCTCTGTTGGCCGGCAAGCCGCGCGCGCTTTCCGATCACAATGCCTGTCGTCCCAGCGAGGCATGGCCTCAGCGGCCGCTCCAAGAGGATACGACTACGAAACAACTGAAGCTGGTGGCATCAAGGTCGCCTGTCGAGATTTTCCGGCTCCAACAACCACATTGACCGTCGTTGCCAAAGCCGGCTCTAGATACCAGCCATTGCCCGGATATGCCGATACATTGGCCAACTTTGCGTTCAAGGTGGGAGGACCTTCCAATATATACGCTTTGGAAATGCAAGGAATAATTGGTAGAGCTCAATTGCTGACAGAATGTGCTTCAATTAATAGAGCACTAGTAAACGGTCGGCATTGCGGATTACCCGGGAGTCTGAGCTGCTCGGGGGAGAATTCTCCGCTTATAACTCCAGAGAGAACGTGGTCCTTACGGCTAAATTTCTAAGCTCAGATCTTCCTTACTACGCTGAATTGCTGGCAGAAGTCATTTCGAATACGAGATATCCTGGTAAGGGTACAATTGTGCCTCAATTGATACAACAGAATGCTAATTTTGACATCAGCCCATGAGTTAGATGAAGTTGTCTTTGACCTCGTGAAATTCTCCCAAAACAATTCCATCGCCAACCCCTCCATTCATGCCCTTGACGCCGTACATAACGTTGCTTTCCATCGTGGACTCGGAAATCCATTGGTGCCATGCCCCTCCGCCCCTATGAAGCAGTATATCACAGCCGAAGGTGTTGCAACTTTCAGCAAGAGCGCGTACACCAAGGCTACTACTGCAGTCGTTTCCAGTGGTGCCAACGCCAGTGAAGTCTCGAAATGGGTCGGCCAATTCTTCAGTGACGTACCTGCTAGCGCTGCCAACGGCCCATTCGCTGCTCTTGCCGGTGAACCTGTCCAATACTTTGGAGGCGAGCAGCGTATTGCAAGCCAATCTGGAAATGCCATGGTCATTGCCTTCCCTGGATCTAGTTCTTTTGGAACCAAGGGATACAAAGCTGAATACGATGTCTTGGCCGCCCTCCTTGGTGGTCAATCTAGCATCAAATGGTCCGCTGGCTCTTCTATCCTGGCTAAGGCAATTGAAGGCGTTTCTGGCGTCTCTATCTCCACAAAACACGCTACGTACTCTGATGCTGGACTTCTCTGCGTCACTCTCTCTGGTAACGCTGGATCTCTTGGCCAAGCTGGCAAGAATGTTGTGGATGCCATCAAGAAGATCGCTTCGGGCAACATCGCTAGTGAAGATATCAAAAAGGCCATTGCGTTCGCTAAATTCCGTGCTCTGGAAAGCGGACAAAACCTTACCACTGGTGTGGAATTGACCGGATCTGCACTTGTCCACGGAAGCAAGCCTTTCCAGATTGTTCAAGTCGGACAGAACATCGAGAAGGTTACTGAGGAGCAAGTCAAGGCGGTATGTATCTCCAGCTTCCCCCCAGATTCATTTATATCTTCTAACCTTTCGATCGTTCTTCAGGCCGCAAAATCTCTTCTCGCAGGAAGAGCCTCCGTCGCTAGCGTCGGCGACCTCTTCCATCTTCCATACGCCTCTGATCTTGGTCTGACTGTGTAAATATAAAGCCATCAATATCGAACATACCCGCAACTCCTCGTTTTCAATTTCCTTCCCTGGTTTCTCTTGTCTAAACCCAAAATAAGTTTTCTATAGATCCACACCAGGTTATTTGTATGCTTGCCCCTCACAATGACCAACTTTCAATTTTCTAAGGAATATTTCCTGTGCCTATCCACTACAGCGTCTGCTTCGGAGAACCCCTTTGAGTTCATTGGTGAGACCTTTTGGGATGGGTGAAAAGTGAGATTAGAGGTCATTGGGAAAGGAGTGAACAGAAAGAAGAGAATATCCTCCCTCTTGTTCGGATAATTAGATCCATGTGCATTGTATTTTTACTAAGTCTAAGAGCAATGTCCCCTTTTGTTAAATCTCCTCTAGAATCTCATATACCAGGATGACACAGCACTTTACAAAAATCTTTGACAAGGTGATGTGTTGAAGGCACGAATACAATATAGAACAGGTGTATCCGAGAAATCGAAGAAAGTCTATACTAATTATAATCCACATAGCCATTAACAGTTCTACGTAGCCCGGACAGAAAATACTAGGAAAACACAAGCAACATGAAGCAATAATTCTACACGGTGCCAGCCGGCTTAATGTTTAGCAGTGACCTGGTCACCGGTGAGTCTCTCCACAGTTTCCTTGGCCCTGCAAAAGACGTGTAAGTAAGATGAATATATAGAGAATCAGAAAAGGGGGAACTAACATATCACCAAGAGCAACCATGCAGACTGTCTGCCAGATACCAAGACCAATACGAGGAGTTACACCTCTGTAAAGGCCTTTGATACCATTGGTCTCGTAAATGTATCTGAATGTTTTTCCTACAGTCAGATTTTTAGGGCGGTTAGGATCCTCGGTCTTGCTTTGCATTTCAACACGAATAACCTCAATGGGCTGATTCCAAGCGGACAAACCACCACCAAGACCACTAGCAATGATCTTCTCGAAGCCGCTCAACTTCTGCCCCTCGTCTTTACCGGTGACGTTGCGAATTGCAGACTCCGCCAACCGGGACAAACCGAAACGCGATCCCCAGTTGGTGGTCTGGCGAATAGCGACGGCGTTGACACCGCGGTTGATTCCGCGGATACCTTCGCGGCGATAGATATCCATGAAAGTAGCAAAAGTGCTGGGCGGCTTGACACCTGCCGCGGCCATCTTGTGCTTGGTGATCTCGACTGTCTTCATGCATGTGCAGAAACCCATGGTGGCGTATGCCTGAGCAACACCGCCGGCCATACCTCCGCTGATTCCTGCAAGGAAGTCTGGCGCGCCGAAGGTCTTTGCGTGGTATTCGGCCTCAGATGCCACAAAGAGGAGGACGGCACCTTTGGTCGATGCCTCAATCCAGGCCCAGGGAATGAGACCTTGATAATCTATGCAATTCATTAGTCAACTTAGCACGCATCGCACAACGCATACGTACATCCGAGAGCACCGCCACGACCCCAAATCCGAGCCATGGCGCCAGCAAAGCTATCCGCTCTGTTGGCGGCCATGGTTGTCTTGATCACTTCCAGCGGCTAGAAAGGGATCTATTAGCCCGAGCTTGATAATGAAAATAGAAGTAATATTCACCTGTCCCAGCGTGGTGACCCTGATCAATTGCAAAAAGTATTGTCAGCACCATGCCCCATCATTCAGACGATCCGACTCCCTTTCTAGATATTTTACCACTTACTCGAATAAATTCAAGCCGGCACCAACTGTATCGTAGAAATTTGATTAGCCAGGCCAAGTAATAGACTGAAAGGATGAAAAGGAGAACACTCACGCAGCAAATTGCTGAACTTGACGGGCTTTTTTTCGATAGCTTGAGGCGCGCTGGTGGCGATGGAAACCTGAGCGGCGGACATCTTTTGACACTGGGACGCTGAAAGGGGCCCTGACCAAGGGATGAAGGGGGCGTCTTCGCCGGTTGTTGTCTCGTTTCTAGATAGTTTCCTGGTGTGGAAGCGATGCCTTGTAGCACTACGTAGTAGGTACCAGGGCGTAAAGTTTCAAGGGTAAACAGCGGGCGACGGGGAGTAGAGGTCTGGGAGAAAGCAAAAAACAATCCGAAATTGGGTTCGGCTGTCTTGGAACGGTTTCCTGAAGATAATCTGCGGAGCGTTGTCTCTTCTTGGTGAGTGTGCGCCAGGGGAAAGGGAGGTTCGCTCCGACTTCTAACTCGGGGCTCGGGAGTTCAGCCAAGAGCTGTTGAGCAGGGAATTCGGGGCGAAGGCTGCGAACCCAAGAAGCACGCGCGCCGTCGAACTCACCGAGGTTTAACAGGAACACCACACTTAAAACCAATACGACGCTCCAGAAGGCCCGTGAAATTCAATACAGCAGCAATCACCGATAAAGAGGAAAATCCTGCAATGCGGATTCACAACTGGTGGGATTTCGCTGCATCGAACACTTCCAATGGAGAGCGTGTTGCTGACTCAGCACTGCGAGGCTGACGGAATCCCAGTTCCGCTAGTCCGCATCCGGATATGTCGACGATGACTCAGCTATCCTGGCGAATCAGGTGGCACGTGGCTGAGCACTGTGGCGTCCGCCCCGCTGGGCGTCTTTTGTTGAACTCAACAAGCTCTCACCCACCACTCAGCTCTGCGGTGCACCAACCCGTCAATGCTTTCTTGGGCTGACAGCCGAAATTAAGAATATTCGGATTGAGCCTACTACAGAGTTAGCTATGTAAGATTATCAGAAGCAGAAAAAAATATACCAAAGGAATGTTTTGATGTGCTCCATACTCCGTACAAAGGATAGGATCATGCTTTTCACCTTCCCCCAAAACATGGAGGATTAACATGTTGTGTTTCCCCTATTGCCCACCGCCGCAGCGGCACCCCGGGAGTTGTTGGTTAGCTCATCATTTGCTCCCGTATACTCTGTACAGAGTACCATATTCTGTCTACTGTCTATCACTCACTGTAAAAAGCTGCCATGTGTCTCTCTTTTATATCATTGGCAAAACATTTGCGTAGGCTTAGTTAGGTTGTATGGTCTATCCTTCTAACTAAATTTGCACCCCTTTGACAAGTGGTGAGCGAATGTTGGGGATCATGAGAACATGCTGAAGGCCTAAGTAGCTATTATCTTTCGTAATGATAGCTAACATGGCATTGGCTCCTGGACACGGTCCATACATACGGAGTACATCAAAGCGCACGGAGAGAGTGGAGAGACAAGAGGCAACGTAAGACACGTTCGTTGGCATTTTAAAAATACATCCAAAAGGAAAAAGAGACAACAGTACTTGTACATAACAGAACACGAAGCCGAGCACCTTTTACGCTGCACCTCCAATCTGAACCCTAGGAATTTGCCTAGAAAGAATTTCTGTGCTGGAAGAGGAGGAAAAAAAAAACTCCCCTAATGTAGATATGTGCAGTAGACATCCTGCCAGGGCTCGCAAGCCGCAGGTTTAGAACTTAGCACCAACAAGCTTAGCATAAGCTTCGGTGCTGAAAGACTTGGGTCGCTCAATGGGAGCTCCAAGAGCGCGATCGATGATGAGCTGTGGCAGGACACCAAGGGCGCGAGATACACCAAAGAGGACAGTGTAGTAGCTAGCTTCGGTCAAGCCATAGTATTGCAGCAGGACACCAGAGTGCTAAAATCGAACGCCATTAGTTTTGCACGGAGATGAGAGTAGGGGTACCACAGGGAACACGTACAGCATCGACGTTAGGATATGGGTTCTTAGTCTTGCCATGCTCGGTAAGAACGCCTGGAGCAATCTTGTAAACCTGGCTGACAAGCTTGAACATTGGGTCATCTGGCAATTTGCGGAGAGCAAATTCGCGCTGAGACACGTAGCGGGGATCGGTCTTGCGGAGCACAGCGTGGCCATATCCTGGAACAACCTGGCCATTGTTCAAGGTAGACCAGAGGTAGTCCTTGATGGCCTGGTCGCTGAGATCATTACCAATCGCCTTCTTCATTTTCTGGAGCCAGACAAGCACTTCCTGGTTGGCCCTATTGTTTCCGGTCAGTAAATCAAATACAGTAGTTTAAGTACACCGGTCAGACGAGTTTATATAAAGTCTAGATAACTTACAGTCCGTGGAGAGGGCCGGCAAGGCCGTTAAGACCAGCAGCAAGAGAGAGCATTGGGGAGCTGAGAGCACTGCCGACAAGGTGAGTAGTATGAGCGCTGACGTTGCCACCTTCGTGGTCCGAGTGAATGGTCAGGTAAAGACGCATGAGCTCAACAAAGTCCTTGTTTTCGCCATAACCAAGCTGGTTTGCCAAGTTGAAGCCGTAATCTTTGTCCTTTTGGATTGGGGCGACTTTGCCATCCTTGAAGACATTACGGTAGATCTTGGACGCAATTGTGGGCAATTTGGCAATCAAGTCCATAGAGTCCTCAAAAGTATACTGCCAGTATTCCTTCTTGTTGATGCCCTTTGCGTAAGCCTTTGCGAATGAGGACTCATGTTCAAGGGCCGAGACTGCGAGGGAAAATTGGGCCATTGGGTGAAGCGTATTAGGGCAGCGGTCAAGGAGCTCCTCCACGAACTTTGGAACGTCGGATCTGGCCGCCCATTCTGCTGAAAGGTCTCTGACTTGCTGCTCGGTGGGGATCTCACCCGTCAAGAGTAACCAGAAAAGACCTGCCTCCTGTGATTAGCCATTGGCCGTTCAAGAGGCATGTTTCATATCAACGCAGATAAGAAGGAGATCGTTGTACCTTCTGGGAGAGGCTCCTCGCCTCCGGGGGCCTTAGGAAGTAGTTTTTGGCATTCAGGGATCTAGAAAGCCCGTTAAAAGTGAATCGTACGAGTAAGGCACCACACGACGTACAGTGTATCCTCGGAAACGAATGCCCTCTTCAGAATCAAGAACAGATCCCTAGTCAGAGTTAGCATCCGCAGACCGTCATGTTTCATTCCAGTTCTTCGCACCTCCCAAACGAGAGCCTTCACGCCGCGAGCGCCTCCGTAGACCTGGTCCAACGTAACCTCTCCAAGGACTTTTGATCCAAACTCCCTATCAATTAGAACACAATTAATTGAGCCTGCCGTCAACGGTCCAGAAAGATTTACTCACTTTCTCAACTTCTTGACCTTCTCAACCTCAGCAGGAAGCTTATCGGCAAAGGTATCTTTCAGAGACTAGAAGAGCACAACAAAAATTAAAATATTTCTCTAAAATCTTAAACCAGAGAAGAATATTGACCTTGCTCTTCGCCGAGGAGTAGTAGCGGAGGCAATTGAAGCTCGCGGACTGCGCGACGGATCTCGGAGCAATGGAGGCGGAACGGAGCGCAGCGCTCCCCAATCTAAGCGTGGAAGCCATTATGGGACGACAACAACAACAACAAGTGGTAGTAGGGAGAAAGGCCAGTCCCTGGACGTGAGATTTTGGAGAGGAGAGGTGGTTGAGATGTCACAAGAAAGGTGAGAGCAAGAAGACTGCACAGCAGTTTTATTTTTTTCTGTTTTCTCTCACCTTGCAGTATGTAATGCCGTACGGTTGGGGCCAGGAAGAACGTTTTTGCAGGGGTGGACGGGAGCCAGCAAGCGCTAACAACGAGCGCTTAAATTACCACTGTGGCGTCAGGTACGGTAACAGCTCTTTGCCATGATCAATCTTAGTTGCCAGCCTAAATAGTGATAGCTGCAATGGTTACTACGGAGTTAAGGCTGGTCGTTTATCGGCGGCATACAGCCCATATGCACGTTCACTATGGCAGCAGTAGACAAAGGAATGTGATGTCGCCGCTGTGGCCTTGTGTACTGCAGCTGTAATGTATGGAGAGAGGCTCCGCCTGGTCAATGAAGCACACCTTAATGCAGACAATGGCGGGCAGGCCCGGAGGCCGCAATGATGCCGAGGTCTAGGCGAGTTATATTGTACCAGGATCTTCCGGAACAACGGAGCCCCCGAAAACAGCCATGGTTGACGTCTCGGAGAGCTACCGGAGGGCTACTAAGGAGGCTACGGAGTACGGAGGAGAGAATGGCCATCATATGTGCAGCGTGCATAGGCTTGCATGTGAATCTCTAGGTCTCCGTACTCCGTACTTTATCGTATCTTCCGTAGAGCACATCCAGCAGTCCATGCCTCGCCAATATCATGGATAACCCACTTGCTGGACAGACATACCCGGCCACCACTGGCTGCTTTTCTTGGGTGTTCCGCTTCGAAATGATCAAGGGTGTACCGAGTAGCAGGTGCTATCTTGCGTATGTTGTACGTAGGTGGCAAGGTTGGGTTCGAAGCTCACAAGCCTCCCTCTAACATAGTTTTCGCGAAGGACAAGGAGAGATGAGCCTTGAGAGCCCAGAGCCCATCCAGCTCCCCCCTCCTCAACTGGCAAGCAAGCAGGCAGAGCTTGCCGTCGACTAAAATAATCACGTGATTCTTGAAAATGGCCGCATTTGGTTTAGTGCAATCCAAGCGAGAGCGCTTTTCTTTTACCTTTGAACTCCACCGCGTATCTTGCCTTCGCTTTCACTCCTCCTCATCCAACACCACCCTCCCCTTCAACCTCTGTTGTTGTAAAACCATCCTCTTCATCAACCTCTCTTACTTATTAGGTGCTTCTGCGATTGTATGACGCTTTTGGACGCTGGCCACGTCTGTTCTGCGCCTTACCTCGACTGTAGGCTATCGCTCGTTGTCATTAGCGTGAAAGAGCTGTAGTGGCGCTCTCTTCCATCAGTCAACCGTCAGAACCAGCGTTGGGTTTTACCCTTTTTCATCATTTAGATATACTTACCTACTGAATTTGGATCTACCAAGAAAATCAGTTTGTGCAGTAAACCCCGCAAAGTGCTTTACAAAAAAGATCTGTACCACGGCTGTTCACTTTTGTCGCGTGGAAGTTGACAAATATTTGCAAGCCGCTGTTTACTTTTAATATACTCAAGTCGGTATTGACTGACGTGACTACAACCGGCCATGTCGTCTGCAGTTGCAGAGCTGGATGGCTTCCTCCAGTCCATGCTTGGGCTGAAGCCCCCTGGCGTCTCGGGTTCAAAAATCAGCAGCATTACCTCCCTCTGCACCGCCAACGTTCAGGTATGACCCCCATTTTCCCGCTATATACGTTAGCCCTTCTATGCGATGCACCCTTCTTTTGGCAAGCGCATTTTGGTTGACAACTCGCTAACATTTGGTGCTCTTTTTTTTCCTAGTCTGAATCGGTCCTGATCCAAAAAATCTATACCCACTTCAAAAGAGCACCGGGGACTCACAAGCTTGGCGTACTCTATGTCGTAGACTCTGTAACTCGACAATGGGTAGATTCCGCGCGCAAGGCTGGTCAACCAGCAGGTAGCAATGCTCCAGATGGCACATTTGCCGCGGGTGTCAACAGAGTGACCGAATTACTTCCTGTCCTCATGACTGATATTATAAATACTGCACCTGAAGATCAAAAGGTACGCGTACTCTTAGATGTGGGATCGAGAATGCAACTGTTTCCAAAGGGACGCTCCTATAATAAGCCCTATAATCACCCCCATAGCCCCTAAGCCGGCCAGTATGGACCTAGAATTTTAAAAAAATGTTTACCCTGTGACATTGTTCAATTTCCCCATTTTCAACAACTGGACATCTCTTTAACTCTCAACTTTGTGCTTCATTCTCTGGCTGAATAGACCCGACTTACGTATGATCGCTTTCTTCATTTAGGACAAAATCAAAAAGTTGGTTGATATCTGGGAGCGCGGGGCTACTTTTCCAGCCGCTATGCTCTCATCCTTTAAGGACAAACTAAACGCACCAGTATCTCAGAGTAAGCTTTCCCCTTCTCGTATTGCACTAGATTTTCCGCTACGTGGTTCAGAATGTACATCACCAGCGTTAGAACCACTTGGAAGACCTCTATAGGGTGTATAACCCCGGATTCTAATGTATGATTTGCTCTTATAGATGTACAATCGACGACTCCTGAGGGGTCACCGGCGCCTGGTATGAATTCGCTTCTGGCTTTAGCTCAACAGCAAGCCCAGCAAGGAGTTTCTGTCAATGGCTTGGCTCCCACACAAGCTGCTCCGGATACCTCAAGCATTTTAAAAGCTCTAGCAAATATGGCCAAACAAGGTACAACCGCGCCAGCTGCTGCGGCGCTCGCACAGACTAGTTCCAATAATGTATTAAATACGCAAAGTACAGCTCCTCCTCCAGTCTCTTCGTCTGTAGAACAGACTGCGCAACAGTCAAACGGACAGACTGTAAACCCGTATGCTGGAAATATTGCTGCTCAGTTTGCAGGTTTAAGTAATCTCGCACCAAATATGTTTCCTAACCAACCTGCTCAACCTACGAATCCACCTGCTCCACAGAACCCCCTCGCTGCTCTACTACAACAGCAACAGCCACAACAACAGCTTCCACAGCAACCCACAAGCACCATGTCGCCCGATGCTCTCCAACAGCAGCTTGGCCTCATCCAGTTGCTTGCCGCGCAAGGAATTCCGCAAGATCAATGGGCAACTGCCCTGCAAATTCTAAGCTTATCAAACTCTGCAAATGCTGGCATAGGCGGCCTTAATCCTGCAGCCCTGTCTGCTTTTGGCCAAATGCCAACCGGTCAAGCCGCATGGGGTGCTCCAGCCCACGACGCATCATCACGTGACAGAGATCGCGATAGAGATAGAGAACGTGATAGAGACCATGATTATATGCGCTCGCCACCTGGCCAGTATCGTCGCCGCTCCAGGTCTCCTGGGTGGGAAAGACGTCGAGACGGCTCTCCTCCCCGGCGCCGTGATAGCCCTGTCTATGGAGAGTATCACGGCGATTCACCTGGCCGTAATAGAGGTGATCAACGAGATGGGCGGGGCCGCCGTGGTAATGACTATCGTCAGCGTAGCCCGCAAGGAAGACGTCGCCGCAGCCCTTCTCCCCAAAAGGACAGCTCATTGCCTCCTCCCGGGCCGAAGCACGTCGAATGGGATTACTCTATTGGACAAGGAAATATCAAAGGTAGGCTCAGCCGCATACGGGCCATCTACTCCCTGTAAATATATACGAGCTCATGCTGACCTATTGCGCAAATTCAGTCCTCAGCCGAACCCTGTTCGTCGGTGGCGTTACGTAAGTATTCGATTCCTGCATACATTCAATGCTTATTGATTACTGACTATGAGACAACAACAGGTCGTCAGAGTCACATCTACGATCCCTTTTTAGCCGCTATGGAATTGTCCAGACTTGCATCGTCAATATTGATAAACGACATGCTTTTGTTAAAATGATCACTCGACGTGACGCAGTCAGTGCCCGCGAAGGAATGGAACAATACAAATCCGGTGACATGCAACTTAGAGTAAGCCTTCCCTTGATCCGTACCATAAGCGAAGTGCCTCTAACAATTTAACTAGACACGTTGGGGTGTTGGATTTGGCCCACGAGACTGCAGTGATTATCAAACCGGAATCAGTATCATCCCTATTGAACGACTCACGGAGGCAGATCGAAAGTGGATGCTTACCGCAGAATACGGAGGCACTGGTGGCAAGCCGATTGATAGTGGTATGGTCGTTGAGGAGCCTGATATTGAAATTGGTGCAGGAGTGTCGTCCAAGGGTATACCCCCCTATTCCGTGAACGCCATGGACACTTAGCTAACCGAATGATAGCAATCAGCCGAAGAATGGCTACCGACCAGGGAGGAAAACGCGGCCCCCAGTCATCTCGACCATCATTTGAGCAACGGTTGCGCCGTGACCGCCAAACGGATGATGGGCCTGGCAGCGACCGCGATGCCGACCGTGACAATGCCAATGCGAATGCCGTCGCCGTTCCTCCTGCCGTCCCAGGCTTTGGTTTCCAGTTCCCTGGCATGCCCATGTTCCCCCCAGGATTTATGATGGGAGGTGCCCAGCCAGCCACGACGAATGCAAACACCGCTCAACAACCAGCTCCTGGCTCGGGAAGTTGAGGCCTGCTATAAAACAACTTCCTCAAGCCTCATTCATAGATAAGTAGTTTCCATCATGGCGTTCTTCCGGTCTGGTAGCATTTGGGAAATTTTCTTGTCAGCTGGTTATTAATTTGTATTTGGCCTCTTAAAAAAATGCGCTTCCAAGTTCCAACTACACTTTCTCTCGCTGTGTTTGGTGAACTTTGACCTGTTTAGGGGCCTCACCTGGATGCAACTTTTTACTCATGGCTCCTGTCTTTCTTACCCTTCTTTATGTTGCTTTCCTTTTCATTGTCTTAGGAGACCTTTCCACACTAAGCTCTGTGAAAAACAAAAAAGATATGCATTGGATTGTGGAGAAACTGACTTTTTGACACTTGTATTTGTACACACGTTCATCTGAATACTCCCTTATTCAACTTACCAAGGCTTTACTTTTTCTGTTCTTTTGTTTGTCTATTCGTTTTCTCCATAATGTGTTTGGTTTTTGGTAGTGATACAAAATGGCCTACATATGCTTACATTGCTGCAATGGAGACAACTTGTTCCTAGCACTTGTATTAGTAGATGCTGTATTATTTGTATGCAATAATGTGAGGCATGTTGTCTTCGATAGGAAAATAATATGTATTTATTAGGTACCTTGAACTCGGAAGCAAGATACGAAATAGTATGTAGGCATATACGTGGTAGAACGTATCGATCCAGGTGGGAAGCAATTCAGTATATGGACAAACAAACCCCTTTGGGTGTTTATTGCCTGGCCAGCAGGACGGTAACAATCATACATCCAATCTTCAACTGATGCCATAGCCCCCTACGAAAGTGATGAACTAGACGGATCTTTGTAGAAAGGCTGCAATGGAGGGCGCCTTGCCAACCTGCAATATTTTCCCTTCACTGTGTGTTTGAAGAATAGTCGATAACTATCCCTAAGCAGGGCTCTCATCCCGACGGTTCATCAGCACGTACTCCGTACAAGGTGAACAGTGCCAGAATTGTTCACCGACTACCTTTTTGATCCATACAAAAGCGTATAAAGACGACCCGATGACGTCGTCGTCGTCGCCGCCCGCCCCGTGCAGCCGACGTTTTCCCTACCTAAACTCGTCGTCACTCCCTTCACCGCCTGACAGGCAACGTCTGCGGTGAGCTTTTCCTCGGAGGAAATACCACAAGCTCGCTACACACGGCAGGTGGGAGGGCGGGATGCCTGGCTAATTGTTGCATGTGTACACTACTCCGCATTCGCTACGGAAAAAAGGCATATGAAAAGGAAAATAACGCCGTCGACCGATGGAGATCTACAGCCGAAATCCGGGAAGGGAGTTTTTCGAGACACACACGACAGACAATAACAGCAACACGGTAATGAAAATAGAGAAAATGATCAAAGACAGGATACTCAGCGTATCCCCCCCCTCGTGTCGCAAAGAATGAATCAGCCCGGAACGCGATGGCTCCCCCCACGCCGAATTGGTTCACGAGTATTGAGGCCACGATGTGGCTAGCTACTGCTACTGCTGCTCCTTTTGAAACAGGCAAGTGAGAGGCAACTCGTTTGATATGGTCTCAGTCTGGGCGGCCAGGCCAGATGGAACGGCAACACTATTCGGACTCCGAATCATGTGGCTGGAATCGCACAAATCCATCGATGATCGCTGATCGAACGGGGTGAAAAAAAAAAACGAGGATTGACGAGCAACCTCCATTCCCCCAAGTATCGGCACCATAGGTGCGGAATAATAGACGAGATCGGGAGTCTTCACGGATAGCCCCTGTTTGAATCAGCTAATATAGCTAACTAGTTCAACCGTGGGAAAATCAAAACAAACACACACAAACACAAAACACGCGAAAAGAAAAGAAGAAGAAAAAAAAAATAAAAAAAAAGCTCGCGATGGCTGAAACTACAAAGATAGTGCGAGCTTTAATATCACTTCAAAACAAAAAGAAAAATAACAAAAGTAACAAAAAACATGGGGGAGGATTGGCATTGGCAAAGCTTGTCCTGCTTGTGACTAGCAGGCAGCTCATACACGTTCCTGGAAGCTATCCTCCTGCTTTCAAGTTTTATTTTACGCCAGCGGCATAGCACTATCCATATTAATGGCGTATTTGAGGACTGACGAGTGGATAAAACAGGGGGGAGGGCAGACGGCCGGTGTGCCCCGTGCTTTTTGTTTATGATGATGAATGAGGTGGTTGTTTTTTTAAATTACCGCCAGTGGACAGCTCGAAATGATGTCTTGCATTTTGATTGCTGAATCCTTGAAGCCTGCCAAAGTCAGTTTTCAACAGAGAGGTGTTTGCGTACAAAAGAAACGCGCGCGCTCCACAGGATTTCAATAATAATAATAATGACAATGCGCAGGATGGAGCTACTGCTCATGATCTACTGCCGCGCGGGGACCATCGCAATTACACGGGCCAGGGAAATACTACTGCTCTGCGAGCTAACACTGCGTGTTGTTGTGATGTGATGATGGGATGAATGAAAAGTGAGGCAGATCGGCTGCGCGTCAGGCCAACCAAAAAAACAAAAAAGAAAAAAAGCAACGAGACAGCTCGTGTTGTGGAGAGCGGGCGGCGAGCGACGTCGGGTTGAACCGGGCCGCGCACGTCGCTGCCCACATGGCCGCCAAACCGCGCAGGGCCAGGCGAGCGTGTGTGTGTGTGCGTGCGATGAAGCGGTAAAGGATGGGGTGAAAAAGTCAATCGCGGTGTGCGCGCGCAGTGGGGAACGGAGGGAATCGAGGGAGGAGAAAGCGGGAAAAAGAAAGAGAATAATAAATCCCTTAACCGATGACTATTATGTGAATCTGGGGAAGAAAAGAAAAAAAAGAAGCAGGTCTGGCGGCCATGGGAGCGGGCTGCAGCAGGCGGTGCTGGGGGCTTCCCCAGACCAGACCTGCCGTTGATGCAGCAGCTGCTGCTGCAGGCTGCATGGGCAGACAGACAGACAGGCAGGCAGGCAGACAGGCGCACGCCACTCCTGAAACGCTGCGACGCAGGCCTTGGTGGTTGTTTTCGCACCTGGCCCAGCCAGCCCCCTCCCATGTCCGTCATGGTGTTGTTTTTTTGCTTTCGCGATCTGGTGATAGAGTTCGCAGCCGAGCAACGGTAGCTAGCGCGTTACATAAGCTCGCGAGCGATGGCTTTCGCTGGGCTTTGCGGTGTTGCGGTCAGATGGCGTTGTTGCTGCCGAAGTCGACGCTGGCGAGTGGCCAATTGCGCTGTCGTAGTCGGTCGCAGACTGGCCGGCCACACACACACACACACACTCGCCCTCTCTGCCTCTCGCGCTGCCGTCGCGGATTAACGAGTCCCGGGCCCTGGTCCCTGCCGCGGTGACCGGGAACCCACGCACTCGCGGTGCCAAAGCCCACGCGCGCGGCGACCGCACAGCTCCCCTGGCCAGCGGTTTCACGCTACCGCCTGACGGTACCGTACGCCCGTACCGTACCGCCGTACGCGAGCGGTACGGAGACTGGCTAATGCGCGGCGTCCCATTGGCGGCGGGAGTGTCGGTGTTCCTTCGCGGCTTTTTAGCCTTCTTCTAGAACACACGAAGAACGCTGCTGCCCGGAGAAAAAAGCGCTGGTGAGGCATTTTTTCTGGCTGTTCTGGCTTGCGTGCTGCTGCGCGCTGCACTGGCTGATCCGCGGAAATAAGGCGCGCGCCCGTCGCTCTCTGACGTACGTCGCATTTGCCCGGAGGCAAACCCGCCAGAGTTTTCGCATCGCTTACTCCCGTTGCCTGCGGCCTGTCCCGACTGCGACTGTGGTTGCTGTCGAACTGACACTCGCTCCAGCACATCGCAGCCATGTAACTAGGTAACTAGCCCCCCGGCAACTGCCAAAACTCTTCAGGGCTGTACTCGCTTAGCTCGATCGCCGATGACGGGCTGCGGATCTCGGACGTGGAGGAGGGGAGCGGATGCGCTACAAAGCCCGCGATCCTTCAGCTTCTCTATCACCCGGTGTTTGGTTTGCGCTTCTTTCACACGGCCGGAGAACCTGATGCGACAGCCAGCGCCCGTTCCCCGCAGAGCTCCCGCCAGGCGCTAAGCAGGATGCGCCCGGCCCTGCGTGGCGACCAACGGCGCATACGGCATATGTTGACTGGTCATAAGACGTTGTCTGCCAGGGGATCGCCCACCAGCATTCTCTCGTGGTGGCCGGTTAGTTCGTTGGTTACGCATGCATGATAATAAGCGCTGAGTGCGATGGGAATAATATTCCGCACTCTCGCGCCCGCAACGGGTTCAAAATCCGGTTTATCAGAATCCCTGGCACACGGTCGCACAGCTTTATACCGTCCACACCAGCACTAAACCAGATCTAAAACTATACGAGGAGTTGACAGCCAAAAAGCAAAAAGAACTCCCAAGATAAGCTGTCGGAACGGTCCGTGCGACGGAAGATACATAGGTTATTATTATTGCCAACCTACCTTGTGTCACCCCGTAATCGATCGTCTGCGGACGCGGCCATGCAGACACCATGCAGCCGGACTGAACTTTTTTTTTTGTTCTTTTATGTCAGCCAACCTTTAGACGGTCTTGTCGTCCGATCTGGCGTGCCGCCGAGACGGGGGCTGGTTTGGAGACGTTCCCCTATTGTTGCAAACAATGGGATATGTCCAAATCAACATCCATCTACTCTTCTGTAGTATCAATCTGTAGGATTGCACCGACCGTCCTTCTGTCCTGCATCCCTGCGCTGATCGGCCGATAGCGCGATTTCGTAACAATCTCTTCGGTTTGAAAAGCCTACCAAGATGGAAGAGAAGAAAAAAAAAATCCAAATAAAAACAACGCATCACTCATTCGTTGCCCGTTCTTTTTTGCGTGTTTTTGGCCCAGGGGCTCACGAGAATAACATCGTCATCAACCAGGCCCGGCTTGTCTTGTATGGTAAGATATCGTCTTTTTTTCCCTGGGACCGGCCGGCACGCCCTGCACGGCGCCTTCCAGATCCCAAAGACATGGACCGAGCTTGCCGGGGACGGCGGCT